ATTAGCTGCTCTTCCATTTTGAAGGCATTAAATAGGCTCCTGTTGCCTATTCATGACTGCTTTTATTTTTTTCCCCATCTACCCAAACTGTTTTATTCCCAGCTGGATTCCTCCAACAATTTTTAGTTATTTTCTTCCTTTTGAAGAATTACCAGGGGTTGGTTTCCTTATGATGTAATAGTTTTCACTGGGTTGTCTCAAAAGTCATTCCTCTTTTAGGCAAAGCATCTTTTCACAAAGAGTTCTCTCTAACAATGCAAGGCATTTGAGGTTTGATGTAGTTAATGTTGTGCTTTTACTTCAGTTATGCTGTTTGCTGCTTGTCATACTGCTTTTGGCCACCAATAGAATTTTGTTGAAAAGAGTAATTGCAAATCAGCACAAAATTTTTGTTGGTGAGCCACAAGGGAAAGACTGTTTTTCAGATGTAGCTGTGGATCTCAGAATCTTCCAGTTAGTGATGGCCTGAAGCTGAACTACTCCACAAATTCAAATACTTAGCACCAGAATTTCAATAATGCATGCCAAAAATGGACATAACAGAATATAAGTTAGAAAAATTCAACCTTGCTTTGCTCTGTGCCTGAAAGTGTTCTTTTCTGTTTGCAAGATGTTTTAAAAATCTTTTTGTGCTGGAATTTGAGAGAATCTGGTTTATCATTCTATTTTTTCACCAGGGAGGGGAAGGGAGGAAGGTATTCTAATATCAGGATGTATCTAGGGTATTTTCTCAAAATCAAATTCATTTGTACCACAGCATGATTGTTTACTTGAGTGGCGGCCAAGATGGAGATATTACTCAAAACAAGAATACTCTGTTACTTGTTTAAAGTACCTTAAGATCAGCACAAATGAAACCTGTTCTGCTAATGTCTTCCCAAAAGTAATCCCCACTCACCTAGCTGGTTGCTGTCAAGCCAATTATGCCTGTGCTCTCTGCTGGCTAGTAGGCCTATCTATGCATATCTCTCAGCTATCTGTGGATCACAAGTGACTAAATGGGCATTCCTCACAAGAGGTTTCTTTGTGGTCTGCTGTGTTTGTATTTTTAGAGCATGATTCTAAGTAGATTGCACACAGGTGGGCTCAAAAGTGAAGAGCTGGAACAGTGTAAGGGCTTCTGGAAAGATACTAGAGGACTAAGATGTCAGCAGATGTGAGGGCTTGTCTGCTTCTCAGCGGGTTCCCTGGTCCAACCCAATGACTAAGTAGGTCACTGATCCTCTTTGGGTCATTTAATATGAGTCGACTCATATTGCAAAAACATGGTTGACTCATGGTAGCAAAAAAAAATTAGGATTTTCAAGACCCCTTCCAACTTGGGCTATTAAATGATTCTGTAAAATAGGATTCAAGAGCAGTAAGATGGGATACAAGAAATTGCTTCAAACTAACAATGGGATTTCTTGCTTTTCCTCCTTGTTTATTTTGATCTGTAAAGTAACTTTATACTATGCATCAATAAGGAGAAAGAGGAAGAAAAGAGAAAAACATCATGTATAAGTTGTTTGTACAATAACATACGAATTACCATGGATTTCCTCTGAAATTTTCAGTTTGTAGTTCTGTACTGTTTTGAAACCTGATAGTAAAACTTGTCAGCATTGTCTACGGTTGCACCACTTTCATCTGTGCAAATCCAAGAACTAGTCAGCTTCTGGTAGCTACCAGTTTGTTGAAGGGAATTCAGTATAGTCATTTGAAGTGCGGTACTTCTGTTACTGATTTAGCATAGCTATTTTCCTTCAAATAGATACAGCTAAAGATTAGTGAAGAAGGCCATTTATTTACCTTGCCCTTTGGGTCTGAGAGCAAAGGAAGAAAATGGGAGAAAAGTGACCTCTTTCTCAGCAAGGGGAACAAAGTAGTAATCAGAAGCTTACAGAAGGAACAGAAGATAGCCATTAGGGCATATATTAAGGATAATATGGAATTGAGATTATGACTAAATCACCATCACCAAGGAGATGGGAAGAAAGATTTTCCTAAATATTGTCAACGCTGACTCAGTTGACAGAATCTACCTAGAGTTCAGCAAAGCCTTTGACACTGTCTCTCATGAAATTCTCTTGGAGAAATTGGCAGCCTGTGGCTTGGACAGGTACATTCTTTTCTAGGTAAAGAACTGGCTGGATGGCTGGGCCCAGAGAGTGGTGGTTTTATATCCAGCTGGCAACCAGTCATGAGTGGTGTTCCCCAGATGTTGCTACTGGGGCCTGTCCTATTCAGTACTGTTATTGATGACCTGGATGAGATGATTGAGTGTACCCTCAGTAAGTTTGCAGATGACACAAAGTTGGGAGAAAGTGTTGATCTGCCTTGGGGGTAGGAAGGCCCTTCAGAGGGATCTGGACAGGCTGGATAACTGGGCTGACACCAGTGGGATGAAGTTCAACAAGACTGAATGCTGGGTCCTGTACTTTGGCCACAAAACCCTGGGCTTGGGGCAGAGAGGCTGGAAGACTGTGTAGAAGAAATGGATCTGGAGGTGTTTGTTCACCCTCAGCTGAACATGAGCAAGCAGTGTGTCCAACTGGCTAACAAGACCAATGGCATGTTGGCTTGTATCAGAAGTACTGCAACCAGCTAAGAGCAAGGAAGGAATAATTACTCTGTACTCATCTCTGTTGAGGCCACACCTTGAGTACTGTGTTCATTTTTGGGCCCCTCACTACAAAAAAAGGCATTGAGGTCCTGGAGTGTGTCCAAAGAAGGGCGACTAAGCTGGTGAGGTGTCTGGAGCATGAGCCTCATGAGGAGTGGCTGAGGAAGCTGGAATTGTTTAGTCTGGAAGAGAGGAGGCTCAGGGAGACCTTATTGCTCTGTATGACTACCAGAATGGAGGTTGTAGTGAGCTGGGGGTTGGCCTTTTTTCTCATATAACTACTGATAGGACTAGAAGAAATGGCCTCGAGTTATACCACAGGAAATTCAGGTTGTAATTCATTTTAGGAAATACTACTTCTCTGAAAGAGTGGTCAGGTGCTGGAATAGGCTGCCCAGGGATTTGATGGAGTCACCAATGCTGGAGGTGTTTAAGGAACGTTTAGACATTGGTTTGAGGATCATGGTTAATGAGAACTATTGGTGGTAAGCAGACAGTTGGATTGGATGATCTTGTAGGTCTTTTTCAACCTCAGTGATTCTATAATTCTGTGATCCCCATATGAAGCTACTGGGGACATGCAACTTTGGACACCAACAAGGTTCCAAACAGCAGAAACCAGGAAGGGACATCAACAGACTTCCAAGTCAACTAATATACATAGTGATACTAATATCATAATGATACTTAGTAAAGCATTCTACATGGCATCAAAGTTTAGGATTATTGCCTCTGATTGATAACAAATTACATTTATTAAAATTAAGTATTCACCTGAATTCCATTTTATAGTATCTTACTGCAGAGAGGGAAGCATATATGAAAGGATAGTCTTTATTAAACATTTGTGTCTAAAAAGGAAGGAAGGCTTATAGTATTTGATTCAAATATGAGATAAATAGACTTCTGCATTAAAAATTTTAATCAGCCACAAAAAAAAAAAAAATTAAAAAAAAAATTAAAAAATTACTGACTATCTTATTTGCATTTTAAGTACACAATAGTTCTGTAAACTATCCTCAGTTGGAAGAGACCCCCAAGTCCAACTCCTGGTTCCACAGAGGACCCTATGTCTGAGAGCTGATAATATTTTTTTATAATAAAATTGCTGATAATATTTTCATGTAATTGCAGTGTGATGATAAAAGAAGTTGTTTCCCAAATGAGGAAGGGACCATCATCCTTTTCCCCAGGATGGTGCCTTATCACTGATAATGGCAGAGAGTTGAGGTGTCTCAAACTACTGTCATTTCCTGGGATATGACAAAGTAGCCTTTGTAGAATTGGGATGGCTTCCTGACTTTTTTTCCTGAGTTCATTTACCTGATCGCTCTTCAGACAAAGGGTTTAATTGGAGGCAAATGTTTTCCATCAATTTTGCTTACATCCTTTGTATAAAGGAAAGGGGCACGAAGAGTTTGGTCTGGGTCTTTTCAGACAACTGCAGGTACTCATCACTACTACTAAATCATTTTCAGAAAATGGGACTGTGGCCTCTCAGTAACTCCAGTCATTGTACTTTCTCCAGAGGAAGAGTAGTGAAGTGATTGCTGAGAACCAGTTTGTACTTGTCTTAAGAAATTTTGAATATCAATCTGCATTCATCTCTGGAAAGAAGAGAGAAAGGAGGAGGGATGTGTCAGGAGAGAGAAAGAAGTTATTGCTCTACCCTGTTGTGTAATGACAATTCATACATCTGTCATTGTTTTTCTTTAGGTTTAGCTTCTGCAGTAAAAGGACTTTATGAAAATTTTATAAACATTCCAAACAGTCAGTGTTTTAAAATGTTTCTTGGAAATTCTGTAATGTGTATGTGTTAGTCTAGGTGTTGCAGTTTAATTCCAACTAGAAAATTACATTTCCTTCTGAACACGACTGAAAACAACTAACTGCTGTAGCATTTTTATTCAGACGCAGTTACCATTCATCCTCTAATTTTGCAATAAGTCTTACTGCTATAGCATCCTTACAATTTTTTTTTTAATTATTATTTTTTTAAATTTTATTGCTAACAGAAGAGAATGATCTCCTGACTTGCCATTTTGTTATCTCTGGATCCTAAATTACTGCTATAACTCCTATATTTAAAGGAAAAGATGTTTAAATTTTTTCTGATTACTTCATTTATATTTCTACAATTGTATAAGAAGCTGCTAATGATATTACTAAACTGATGAAGGGAAAAAAGTAGGCATGTTAGAAACTACAATTAAATGTAACAGCTTGTTTTCTAAAACACACTGAGTTGCCATGAAAATCTACCTTCAAACAGTTGTTTGTTTGCATCTAACAAACTGAAAAGTGTTATGTTGCTATAATGTCATATTCTGTTACTAAATACGTAATTACAAGAAAATACATTTTGTTCTTCTGTTATTTTTTTCTCTTTCTGTAGTGAAAAGACAGAGTCTGAAAGTTCAGATCAATGCAACAGACGACACTGTTTGCATGAGGTATCTTCGACCAAGCCAAAACACCAAACTTGAAGGTTTTGTCCTGGGTTACGGAAGCAGCTTCTTCTCTAATCAGTACATTCCTTTACCTTCAGATGGAAGCACCTACATAAATGAACTTGGTAAAGTATTATTCCTTTCCATGTTATTGTTGTCATGATGTGGAAACAGACCAATGAAATTATGAATCTTTGGGTTTCTTAATTTGTGTTTTTATTGGGGTATTGCTTTGGCTTTTTTTGTGTGTTTAAGGCTAGTTTGGGAAGAATTTCAGATCACAATGTTCCGTTAGGGAGAAAAAATAAGTTCTTGTTGTTTGGAAGAGCTTGTTATTTATATTTGAGGATTTTCACTTGGGGGAATCTTTAATCCTAAAAGAATGAACTCTATTGACTGCATTGCAGATAGTATGAGACGATTTGCATAAATCTGCAGTTATGTACATGGGAGATGTTTATGTTTCTATCGTAGCAAAGAAGCAGAAATAAAAAAAAATTAAGTATTGTGTGGTTGATTCACTTTAATGGAAATGTTTATAACAAAAGGATGTATTTTCTTGCAGGGGCACATGTTGCAGAATAACCTGTACATTCTGTGTCAGATGTTACAAATATAATTCTGTGAGTTGTTGTAAGGAAGAGTTTAAAATGCATTGGAAATCTTGTATTTTGTTGATTGGAACAGGAAACAAAGAGTAAATTAGGTTGTCTTTTTAACCCTGGATTGTCAGTATCGATAGAATAGCAAACAAGGAGAACTGAATCAGTTATAATTTTCTTATAAAACATCGATTTATTAGAATTTTACATGATCAAAAATCTGTCCAATGTCTGAGAATTTCCCTATTGCTTTCTTTAATCTTCCCTAGCCTGAAATGAATCCAGAATCTTGTGTTACCCTCATCACTGCAATGTCAGTGACCTTTGTGTAAAAGAGAGCAGAAAAAGCATGCATAAATGTAGAAGTATCAGTTGCATTGTTTTTAATGTGGTAAATCAAGGCGATTCTAGATGTGTGCTCCAGGCTGAGAATTATAGAGTAGGAAAGGAGAAAAATAAGATGTTAGACATAGAATAATTACTAAGAATCTTCATTAGATTTCTCTGGAAAAGGTTGACTTCTTCCTTTTCATGAGTTGCTATTTCTGTGATCTTTCTGTACTTTTATCACAGTACAGTGTTTGAGTTCATAAACATCACTTAACCTGTAAGGATCTAATGTATGCCATGTGCAACTTTCAGCACAGCTCAGTAGAAATGATGTACGGGCTTCTCTGTAGAAGTGGGCATGAGTAATACCCACATAGCTGTATTACAGGAAGAGTGGGAGTTAGTATTTTTCACATACTGTGAGATCCATGGAAAGAGGAAAAAGCTCTGAATGTAGTCACATGTAGATAGTTTGCCCTTCTCTCCATTTAATACCGGTGTTACTACCTAATGATTTGTGAAACCATATGAAAATATAAAGCTGAATGTCACCTGGAACATATTGGTTCTTGGTAACTTTCATACTAACATCTAGTGACAGGAACTGTAGATGCCTTTATTTGGTTCTGCAGTCCAGTGGAGTGGCTAGCTGCATGCATATTCATTAATCTTACAGTTAAGCAATCAATATCTTGAAGTAATGAAAAATCTTGAAGATGAGAAACACCATTCTATGTACCCCCTCTATTGAAACTAAAACATTTTCTTAAGTTTATCTGGACAATCCAACACAATATAAGAGAAAGGCACAAGTGATGAGTAATACTGTCTTAATTATTTTAAAGGAGATTAATATCAAAAATGTAATTCACTCATGCTAATAAAAATTGTTAGTAAGTTTTCTAGTTACAGTAAACCTGATTATAAGTTCTAAACCTCTAATAGCTAAAAATGCAATCTGTTAGTACTGCTAGCATTTCCAACTTGAAGAAAGTGTCATCTTTGATAGGAAAGGAATAAAAGATACTAACAGTAATAGGTATGTATTTTAAGTTTCAAACATTTGTTTAAAGCAATTAACAGTACATTTGTTAAAAATATTGCTTTTAGTTACAAGTTTTAGTGTTACATTACATGCTTAGTATATTTGTTCAGGGAATTTGGAAGCAGAGAACACAACATATTTCCTACTGCATTAATCCTAACACAACATTAAACAGCAGCATTGGGTATGCTAATGCATGAATATAGAACTTGAGCTAAAAGAAGAAACCTTTGTTGTGCTTTTGGCTCTGTTTTAGAATGACATACAACAGAGTTAAACAGAAGACATTAGTGGCTGCTAGCACCTCCCATAATTTCAGGGACTGGGTGCTTCCAGGATGGTTCTTAGTTTTAGGAACTGTGGATAGATTTAATTCTGTCACTCAGAGATCAGGCACTGCTTTATATGAATGCTGGAAAAAACCCAAGATATGGTAGAGGGGCAATATTAATATTCTCAAGACACTTTCCAAAGGTACAAGAACTCCTAGGCCATATTGTTGAAAATCTTTGGTTACTTCTTGTGCGTCTGGAACATCTCAAGTTGATGAAATTGGCCTGGTATTCTATCTTCATATTAAAACAAGCATTTTTATTATTGTTTGGTTGGTTGGTTTGGTTGTTGGTGTTTGTTGATTTTTTTTGAATTTCACCCCACAGGTATTTTCTATTCTATGTTTTAGATATTCTAGTCATTCAGATGGTACTGTGCGCTTTGCAAAGGCTATGATCCAAACATTTTTCCCCACCACAAAACGAGTTAGGCTTCTAGAAAGGTATTCACATTCAGTCCAACAACTCTCTCAGTCCTCTCATGCTTCAGCTTCTCCCACTTTTACAGAAAACAGATGGAATTTACAGGCTGCACTGAAAAGTGATTGATTACAGCTCCTTCTAAACAGTATGGTAGGAGTGAATTCCAAATGTGAAAAGATGTTGTGGCCTGTTTAGACCAAGACTAGCACAATTTAAGGTTTTTTATCACTTGCCAGTTTTAGTAGTTCATGGATAGAGAAGACCTTTCCTGATAGCCTTAGAGACTGAAGCTGACTACAACTTTAAACTGGTTTAGTTGCTGAAAAATAAAGATTAGAATTGGATATTCAAGGGCATTTGGTGGTAACCAGAGGGTATGTTTCCCCAGCAGGATAGGGGAATATTACTTTAGAACACCGTTTTGTGAGAACATGACTAGATCTGGGAGAATCTGATCTGGGAGAAGTGTCTATAGACACTTCTCTGTCTATAGAGAAGTGAATCTTGATTTGATAGTATTAACATTGTCAAGGAACATGGTTTAAAGGGGAAATACTGGTGGTAGGTGGATGTTGAACCAGATAATCTTGGAGATCTTTTCCAACCTTGGTGATTCTGTTAATGTTAAACATAAAGTCAATAAGATTTAATTTTGTGATTTTATGAGATCACAGAGGTATGTTCATATAAATTTTGAAGTAAATAAATAAGAATATGGTCTTTATCACTTCCAGGAGAATCACGTCTTTAAAGAAAGTGTGACATCCACTTTCAGTTCATCTACTAAAATATTCAGCTCCTCCTTGGAGTGGTTCTTCTCTTAAAATAATTTTGTTTGTTTGTTTGTTTTTTCTTTTCTTTTGCATAGAATAATAGAATCATTAAGATTGCAAAAGACATCCAAGATCATCTAGTCTGACCATCCACCTGCCACCAATGTTGCCCGTTAACCATATTCCTTAGCCCCACATCTACAAACTTTCTTAAACACCTCGAGGGATGGTAGCTCAATCACTTCCCTGAGCAAGCCATTCCAACAACTGATCATTCTCTCAGAGAGGGTTTTCCTAATATCTAACCTGAACCTCCCCTGGTGCAAACTTGAGGCCATTACCTCCAGTTCTATCACTAGATAACTAGGGGAAGAGGCTGATTCCCACCTTGTCACAACCTCCTTTCAAGGAGTTGCAGAGGACAAGAAGATTTGCCCTGAGCCTCTTTTCCAGGCTGAACAATCCCAGTTCCCTCAGCCACTCCCCCTAAGATCTGTGCTCCAGATTCCTCACCAGCCTTGTTGCTCTTCTCTGAACAAACTCCATGGCCTCAGTGTCTTTCTTGTAGTGAGGGATCCAAAACTAAGCACAGTATTCAAGAAGGACTATCACATCCCTGCTCCTGCTGACTACTATTTTTGATATGAGCCAGGATGCCATTGGTCTTGTTGGCCCCATGAGCACACTGCTGGCTCATGTTTAGCCAAGCGTCAACTAACATCCCCACATCCATTTCCTCTGCACAGTCTTCCAATTGCTCTGCCCAAGACTGTAGCATTGCCTGGGATTGTTGTGGCCAAAATGCAGAACCTTGGATTCATTGAACTTCATCCCACTAAACTACACTGCAGCTAAACTGATAACTGAGCCAGTAATTGTGTAATATCATCCATGAATTAGGAATTGCCTGCAGATGGTATGTAAAAAAGAAGAGTTCTGTTGGATTTCCTGAACTTTTAATGAGCTCATGCTGCCAATAAACTCTTGAGCAGCTTTATTGAGCTGCTAGACAGCTCAATTTGAATTAACCTGAAGTGTAAATGACAATGGTGAGGTAGCATTAAAGTTTGGTATGAAGAAGTATCAGGATGCAAGACGTCTTTTCCTTGGTGCTGATGGTACTTCACAAGCTTACATGATAGTAAATGACATTATTGTTGGTCAAGCAAGCTAAATGGATGGTGTCAAAAGATATCAGAATTTAAATTCAGATAGACTAATAAGCAAGGTGAAAAGACCCATCCAAATGTTCTGTGCTTTATTTAGACTTCCATCTAAATCTCTTCAGTCTTCACAACTCACAAAGAATATTTCCTTGAGATTTTTACACTAGTTTGATCTAACTCAGTTAGGAAGACAATAAAGTCAGTCTCCCTGAATATATTGTTACTTTTGGAGGAACCCAAAAAATTGGATGGAGACAATGAAATTTTGCAAGAATGGACAGCAATTAGCAATTAGCTAAAATCTGAACAAAATGCATTCAAAGAAACAAGTTGGACCACTTTGTTTAGCCTTTCCTTTACTTGAAGCAGACAGTGTAGTGATGAGGAGAATGCGCTGGCAGTTCCACCTTGTAGCAAATGTAATAATTTGTGCAAGAAATTTACATACAAAAAGGGAAGAATTCTAATATCTCCTTGAAAACATTTTAAAAAGCATGATTCACGGATGTCCGCTAGATCAGTACTTAAGTAAGCATTAATTCAGGACTTATCACTAGTTAGAAAGCATAACTCATAGTGTATAGAATTGTTATGTTAGTTTGGATTTGTGACATGCGTTTTCATTATATTCCTCAAGACTGGTTGTCTCTCCAGGCTGTTCAGGTGGGTAATAAAGTTTATTTAATAGTTTTTTATCATGAATATCACAGAATCTTAATCAAACAGTTGCTTTTTTCTTTTATAATGTTGCCAAAGTATTGGTTTATTTCTGTGAACTTAGCAGTCCTTGAAATGTTTCTTCTGTAGAAAATTGTAGACACAATGGTAGGTGTAGTGTGCGCATGCGTCTTTCAGGCTGCTTGAATGAAAAAAATACTGAGTCACTGGAGTTGTTCAGAGAAGTATTTCGTTTACCTGGCGATGGTTCATTGAGCTGTAATAGGTGTGGTGCTTAAAAGAAATGACAGATTTAAGAATATGTATTGAATGTATACGCAGGTGTGTTCTGTATGTATTGAATGCCATAGATAGAATTCCCAGTGTTTTACACATCCTGGTGCTTCTAGTCTGTGAGTAGGATTCCCTCCTACTGCAGAGGTTATTTTTTGAGTGTACGTGACCATCTGAGTGTAGCGTTTTGCTCCAAACTGGCACTTCTTTATTCAGCTGTGAATATTTAAACTTGAAAGAGCAATACTGATGACATACTGGAGCCACCCAAATGAATTATCAAAACCAAAAAATTAAAAAATAAAAATTAAAAAAAATGGAGAACTATAACACTAAGAATTTAGCATGGATTTGTTGATTAGTAATCATCTGGCACAACTGATCATTTTCCTACTGAAGATTTAAGCCTGTCACTGTTTGGACTTTTGATTTGCAGTTTCAAGGGGTTTGTATAGAAACAGTTGTGTGCCAGCTGAAACAATCTGCTAACCATGGTGTTTGTCACTCCAACCTTAATAGTGGGCTCTTAGCAGGTTCTAACAGATCTCTAATGTTCTTCTTTTAGTATCAGTTCATCAAGAAGGCATTAAGTTAAGGAAGCTGGAAGATTTTGGTATTGAATTTGTAAATATATTTCAAGCTGAACTTGTTCAAGTTCATGTAGTTCTGTAAAGATTAATCATTTATAATATTTTCAATTCTTACAAGACCACACATGTACTTATTGTATACTGGATATATAATTTTACAGATTCTGAAGAGTGACTTTTGTAATTTATGAGGTTTAAAAATGTTGGTCAGGACTAATGATATTATATGTCGGTTACTCTGAAAGTAATGCCTCCTATTTATTTTATTAGAAACTACAACAGCTACAAAGAGCACAATAACAATATTTGATAGAGGGAATTCTCAGCTTCAAAAGACTTTTTCAGCATGAGCACTACCATTAGCTTTTTTTGCCAGCAATGAGCAAGAGCCAGCATGATGTGCTCATAAATATCTGCACCCCTGGAGGCAAACCCACTCTTTCACAGTTGCTATCTCAGTGTTATTATTATGAATATGTTGCCCACACCACCAATCATTCATTGGTCTGAACAGATGGAATTAAGAAGGCACCAAATACAGACTATACCGTGGTTGGACAATCTGGTCAAGATTGGCAGTGTATTCCTCAGTCTTTAAAATGGTCTGGCATCTGGTGTTATGATGTTGCAAGCAAAAGGTTGTCTTATTCTCTTGCCTGAATATGGAAATTTGAGTCTTTCCAGGAAATCTGGAAAGATTGTCCTTTTCCAATCCCCAGACACAGTGTATGTTGCTGTACCCACTGAGAGCTGCATCTTGGAACGTTTTCTTCAATGGAGAATTCACATATTGCCACTCTGTGGACTGCTGTTTCGACTCCAGCTCACAATAATAGCACCACATCTCTTCACTGCTAATGATGTGATCCAGGAACCTGTCACCTTCAGCCTTGTATTGGTTCAGTAGGTCCTGGCAAACTTGCATACAGTGTTATTTCTGTTCCTGTGTGAGAATTCCTGGGACACTTATGGTGAAAGCTTTGCAATGTTCAAAGGTTGCCACTGTCATTTCCTATGCATTAAAGCCAATATTCAGCTCTGTGTACTGTTCCCTGGTCGTAACCCTTAAATTCATGTGGATGAGCTGACCGAGATACTCTGCATTTCATGGATATGGAAGCTGTACATGGCCACACAGAGCACGGTTTATCTTCATGTCACTGTCACCATTGCTGAAACACACCATCCACAGCCTCACTGTGCTTACATCCAGTGTTTGATCTCCATCAGCATTCAGCGTCATGAATGTCAATGGGTGCCATTTTTTCTGCACGGAGGAATTCAATGACATACCACTGCCATTTCAGATGCCATTTTGACATCTTGCCCCTCTGCCCCACCTGTCACATAGCAAGAAAATGTGGGGGAATATTGGTGGGAAGATTGACCCTCTCCAGTCGTACCACCAGCATCCACCTTTGATGTTGTGGGCCAATGTAATAAAATAGGAAATATTACTTTTGGACCAGTCCTCATAGTCATGTAGTTTAGCACATTGTGAGAATTATAATGTTCTCCCAAACAGTCATGAATGCATAGCATGAGGAAATATTACTTTAAGTTTTGTTGGTTTTGTTTTATTTTAAAACAATTTTTAAAATTCATTTTAAAATATAAACATATAATATTTAAGAAGAGTTTGAAGTAGTGGCTAGAATATTTCTGAATGATTTTTGAGTTAACTTTGAAGAAAATGTGCCTAAAGACCCTTAAAATTGGATAGAAAATCTTCACTGAATATTGGACTTTTTCTTAATAAATTATAGGTTAATCCCTGTCTCAAATAAATGTTAAATCTATACTAATTCTTTCTTCATTTACAGATGCAGAGCCACGGTATTTGGTTTCAGTGAGACCAGCGCGTGTTTCAAATAACAAGAAATCTTGTTCAGGTATTTGAGCACTACTGAATTTCTTTCTTAAAGTCGTTTTGAGGAAGATAATATCCCGTTTTTACTAGGTTTCTCTGAAAATGTATCTGTAACTGTAGGTGACTTACTGAGATGCGTGGGAAAGCAAAATGCACACCAATACTTCCCAGACAGTAGTTAGTTATGAACGTGGTGTTAAAAACGTGAAGGTTGTATAATACCTGAAGATGGTTCTTGTAAAAAGTTCTGCTAATGAGAATTGAAAATTAGAGTATTACAGAAAAAAATTTCAGTTAAGAAGTTTAAATGCACCTACATGCACTGGTTGAAAGTACAGATCAGATTTTCATTGAGCTTGTTGAGTGAAGAGATATTAGGAATCAAAAGGAATGAAAAAAAAATCACTGTTTCAGTGGCTTAAACTTTTGGGGAACTTACGATCATGTGTATATTTTGAGGAGTTATAGATCAATCAGATATTTCAAGTATGAGCAAATGATACAAAGAATATATGGATTTCTTTTCATTTGTCCTCTTTCATACAACTAAGGAACTAAAGTTCTGACAAAGTTCTGAGGGTCTGTAGCAGTCCATAAACCATAGGTCCAAAATATTTGCTCTAGATCACTTCTTCATTTCCAACTATTTGTTGGAAAATCTTCTGAAAGTATTTAAAAGCTTTTGAGCATCATGTGAATAAAGTTGTTTTTCCACGTGATGGATAGTTGTGCTTCTTCATTCAGAGCAAATTTAATCTAAGTATGACCCAAAATGTAAGTATCTTGAATGTAGTATGTGGTTAAAAAACAAAAATGTCCTAGATACAGACACCAATTCAGATCTGCCTACAATTCAAAACAACAGAATTTTTGTTGGTCTTATTTTATTCTTGATGGAAAGTGCTGTCAACAGTATAAATTATCTGTGGACACACCTGTTGTGTTAGTAGGAATCCTGCCAAGAAAACACATTTTTTTCCTGTCACACAGAAAGAGGAACCTTCTAATAATCTGAATTATGTATATACTAATAATACAAAAAATAAACATTAAAGTTTTCATAGTCTCAAAAATGAGACATAAAGAAAACTTCCAGTAAGGCAAAACTGTTCTAAAGTTTTGTAAATTAATCTTTTCTGCTCACGAAATAATAGTAAGATGTGTTATTTCTTTTTTATTTACCCTGAATCTGCAAGTCCGGAAGTGAAAAATCCCAGTATTTTCCAAGGTTGAAATACATTCTGTGTAAGTTCAGGGAGAACCTAATAAAACTCCTCTTTAAGTTGCCTTTTCAGCTTGATTGTGTGTCCAATGCCTGTTTGTTTTAAGCACTCTCCCAAATTCTTTTCCTGTTGGTTTCTATATGTATCTTCCCTTCCTTTCTGCGAACTTCGTACTGCACTTTTTTATTCTATTCATGCTCAGCTAGCTTCAGAAAAGGAGCAGTCTCTTTCTTTCAGATATTTTGCTTGCTTCAATGAGAAGCCATCGAGCAGATCAGAGACACCCTCCAACCGCATTTTTAGGCAATATTTTAGAAATGCTGAGAACAGTTGACCCCTTTCCTTGAAATTCGGAAGAGAAGTAGGTCTTCATTTATTTGACTACCCAACTGCAAAATCTTTCCCCTACATAATGCAAGATAAACTAATTTATAATTGGAATTACATGTTTCTTGCCTAGGTCGGAACAAGAATCAAAAGCCTCTGCAGCTGGTAGTTGGCACTCTCACCCCAACTTCTGTGTTCCTCTCTTGGGGCATCCTAGTCAACCCTCAGCATGACTGGACAGCAACAAGTAACTGTGCTAGCGACAGGTAAAATAACAGAAAACAGCTTTTGCAGTGATAATGTTTTAATGTGACATTTCAACCTTGAAGCTGTGCAGGTTGTTAACCAGCATAGCTGAAGAAAAATGACAGTGTAAATTAAAACACTGCATTAGTTCTGACTGTGAAGTTTTCTTCTTTACTTAAGTTAGTTCTTAGCAAGCCTTTACCTGTCTTGATAGCAAATGTAGTCAGGTGCCTATGTGTCGAAGTACAGATCTTACTGTTTCACCATAGATCCTTTATTGTTCTTACAGCAGTGGTCTTGGCTCTACCTTTGTTTGCATTTGAATAAATTGGAAGAAACATTGTTCAATGAGAGGAGATATGTTGATTTAAAGTTGGCTAAATAGAAGTAAAATATGGCTTTTGTTGTGCTTTAATAGGAGAATGGCACCTTATTTTAATACTATCTCATTTTTACTTTCTATGTTTTGTCTTATCACTTCCCTACTTCCCTGATATTTCTATTAGAGTACAGCTTTCATTAATTTTCTATTTTAAATAGAAGTTCTCTTATATTACAATATTTGTTTTGTTGTGGTTATTTAATGAATGTGCTCAGGAAGTCTTCCAAAGTGAGAGTGTTAAGAAAATCACAATGCTTGTTAGCTTCAAAGACAACAGCAATCTTACATTTTTGAAAACTTTTAGCAGTTGATAACATGTATTTGCAAGTACTCTTGAAGGTGCTTTTTATGTTTTCCCTGTGATTTTAGTATTCTTTTTGTATTCTTCCTTTTATGACGAAAGAGTATTTTGATCTTCATTTACTTCCTGTTAAGCTCCATACAACTCAGCAGTGTAAAACAAACAAAAAAAATTGTGCACCACATTAAGGATGCATCTACATCTGGTTTGCAAGCATCAGCATCATCTTTTTCTTTGTTGCAATCATGGAATCAAAGAATATCCTGAGTTGGAAAGGACACATCATTAAGTCCAACTCCTGGCTCCACATAGGACCACCTAAAATCCAAACCCTATGCATAATGCTCTCTATGAGAGATCCCTATGTATAATGCTCTCTATGTTTGAGAGCATTATACAAACACTTTTTGAGTTCTGACAAGGTTGTGATATGGGAGTCAGGCTGTCTAGCCCTAGATGACCCATCCAACCTAGGTAGACCTTTATTCACACTATGATTTGCCTGCTTTCAAGTTCCAGAACCTGATGTATAAGGGCATTTGTGTGGGTGAAGTATGCAAGAAATGAATTTGCTTGCTGCTCTCAGAAGAAACCTGCTTCCATTCCCTCATCTCTTAGGTCCCCTCCTTCTGCCATGTGGCAGAGGACAAGAGATTCTTTATATCTTTGTAGTGACTGGCTGACATGTCCATATCAAGGATGGCAGAGCATGATTCTGCCAATCTGTCTCCTCCTCCAATTCCCTGTTGCTCTTCAGCTTGGTCACCTCCTCTTGAAGCTCTGTCTTCCTTCAGGCTGAGCAATTCTCCTCCCACAGGTGTGCACTCTGCTGCTGACAAAAAATTTGGGCACAACTAAAAAAAGGGGCTCTCCTTGTTCCGTCAGGAGAACTCTGGATAGCTATGTCAGTTCCTGTGGATGGAGAGGCTGAAGGAGACTTAGAGGGCATGGCTTCTTGCCTAGTGAATACGATGACACCATGACGGGAGTTCTCTGCAAATAGGTGACATGTACTGTTGGAAGCAGCAGAGTGACAGGACCTTCCCTCTGCACTCTCCTGCACCATCTGTGGCACCATGCTCTGGCTGCCCACTCTGGCCATAGAACTCTTCTGTGTGTACAAGCCTTTACTCCTGGCCAGCCATTCTCTGAGTGGTGCTAGGTCCCATTGGGAACTATCCTGTGGTCTCCACACCTCAGAAAGCTCCCGTGCACTGCCACTTCCACTCTCTGTAATGTTGAGAAGAAATTTTTTTGCCATCATTGTTCTAGTTTATCTATATGGTTCACTCTGAAAGTACTGCCTCCTATTTATTGTGTTGAAAACAACAACAGATACAAAGAGTACAATAACACTGTTTGATGAAGTGAATTCTCAGCTACAAAACACTGTTTTTTGGCATAGTCGTCGCCATTAGGTATGCATTTTCATGTTTCGTGATTAACAAAAGCTCGAATGCTGTGCTTATAAAAATTTGTACTAGCAAAACTGCCTCACACTTTCACAGCTGCTACGACAGCATCATTGCTAGGAAAATACTGCCTGCATAGTTCATTGACTTGAACAAATAGAACTCAGAAGGCACCATATGCAGACTATACTGTGGTTGTAGCAGAAGACTCCAGCTAAGATTAACAGTGCGCTCCATGATCTTTGAAGTAATCTGCTGCCTGGCATTATCATGTTGCAGGAGAAAAGTTGTTGCCTTCTATGGCCTGACTCTGGAAGACTGAACCTTCAACATAATTAGTATCATGATGGAGTGGTCAGAGTTGATGTTTTGTTTGTGTTTCAGGAAATCCAGAAGAATTGCCCCTTTCCTAAAACATGTAGCACAATCAGTTGTCAACTGTGATAGTATTTTCCACGATTGGCCATTTTCTTGTCATAGTTTGTGTTTTAATAATTGAGTAGGGATTTCCCTATGCTCTGCAGTCACCTTTCATGTATACTCTACTCTTGGAGTGCGCATCTGTACATTTGGCAAAAGGAAGTTTATGCATTTACAGAGTTTTATTGGCATATTAAGTAATTTTAATCTGGACCTTAAAACTTCATACATTTTTCAGTGTATTACAAATGTTTTTGATTGTTGTGTTAAGGTCCCTTCTTTTACCACCTTATATTTTCCACAGAATATCTGTTTTATTTGTACCTTAAACTCAGATTCCTTTTCTTTTTGTTTCTGAGTTATTCTCAGGCTTGTAGCAGGGTTTTGAATTTCCATTTATTTCTTGGCCTTAATTTTCTTCTCCAGAAGCCACTACCAGAAAAAAACAGCTGGATGGAATTCATCCTTTTTCAGTGTAAGATTGATGTTTTACAGTATGTGAAACAAATCTCAGTAATACTTGGATTAAAGAATTACTAAATATCTCCAATATTAAAAACAACAACAAAACAAACAAAACCACAGAAAACCACACTCTAATTTGGCAATGATACAGTCTGCATATTGAAAAGGACACTAGCAATCAGTAGAGTGCTTGTACCATAACTCAGCATTTACATTGTATTGTTTTATTCTGATTAGTGTTACAGTCATACTTTTTCAGGGTGGTGCTGCTTGATTTAATTGAGTAATTTCAGTGGACGTGCTTTTTAATTTTATAATCCATTAGTGTTCATCACACTGACTTTAACTGCAGAAAGTAATGTCTTAGTTTACTTTCTTGTTCAAAGGGTGGGCAATATATGAGAACACTGGATGAGAAATGTATTATGTAAATGTCAACTATTATTTTTTCTTCCCCTTGTGAATATTTTTGGACTAGTTTTAGGGGGAACACCTTACCACGGAGAGATGCAGAAGTTTCTAAGAAATTTGTTGAGGCTCACTAATGAATAGACTCATACGTCCATTCAACTGACTTGTTCCAGCATATATCAGAACTGCAGAAACTACTTGTAAAATAAGCTTGTAGCTTCTGCTTAGCATAACGTGGATGTTCATAACTAATGAGACTGTTTTTTTTACTCTATATATACTACTAGTGATGTTGGGTCCTGTGTGAAGAGGAATATGTATGTATCTGGAAAACGATGAGGTTCACGTTATGTTTGTTCGCTGGCTTTTCAGATATTTGATAACTCTAAGGAGTTATCAAAAGAACAAAAGCAATATTTAGTATAAGTCATTTTAGCAATTAATAACACAAATGATTGCAGTGAGTTTTTTTCTGAAGAAAAACTTGTTTTTGTTGAGCAGGTTCTACACTGTTCGCTATAGAGAAAAGGATAAAGACAAGAAATGGGTTTTTCAGCTTTGCCCAGTTACAGAAACAGTGGTGGACAATCTGAAGCCAAACACACTTTATGAATTTGGAGTTAAGGACAACATGGAGGATAGCATCTGGAGCAAGACTTTCAATCATAAAACAGTTCTGTCTAGTAAGTGCTTTCTAGTAAATATCTAACAGATAATAGTTTTGACAGCATTTTTTCCTCTGTTGTGATAGAGCTCAAAAGAAGCTACTGATCAGTTTTTCATTGTTTTAATGCCACCTGCATGCCCCTAATAAATTCTCGTAGGAATTGGTGAAAGTAGAAATAGTTTGTTTTTGAAAAAAATATTATCTACTTATTTGAAAGATGTTCTCATTTAATTGTGAATGATAGAGAATCTGTTGCAGTTTGATAGAAGTGTAACAGTTCGGGTAGATACACACCAACCGTTGTCCACATATTTGTATATCTGACTGGATTCCAAGCTTTTTCTTTGGGCCTAGAGTAGTAAGATCTCTACTAATCTGATTTGATGGAAAGTATTATTCTTGTTTGAGTCTTCTGCTTATAAATTTAAGCTGGTGAAAAGCTGGAAAGAGCTTGTCCTAGCCAGCATACATCAAAATGGGCCCCTTATGACTCTTCAGAAAAGTTCAATTTGAAGTTAATTTTCAGTCAAGGAATTATATAAATTGTGTTCGTAGGAAACTTACGTTCTAATGTGTGTCTTTGTTTGGGTCTTCATGGAGACAGGATATGGCATTTTTGGATGTTCACACAGTTATATATTTTTTTTTTTTTAATACAAAGTCCTAGGAAAGTGCAGGCAAAGTGACATCAATTAACCACCGAAAAACCATGTACTGTTCAAAGAATCACTGCTGTCAATGGAAGAACTATGCAGCAGCTGCGTCTTCCTCCTTTTAAAGAAGGACAGAGAAGAAGTCTGTCACCTCAAAAAAGATTTAACATACTTTTTCCAATCTGAATTTTCCTCAGGAATTTAATTAAAGACATTTCTGAGCATGATGTTTGTCAGAAGATGCTTCAAACTCCTAAGCTCAGTATTTATAGTTTCCCTGACACAGGAAGAATGGAAATTCTCATAATAGAGCCTTATTCATGTGAGATTTCCATCTGAAATTTTATTTTATCTTCAGTTTCATGTTGCAGGCAAGTTAACATAATGAGGATAAGGGAGCAGAGCCTTGGAGCACTGCAAAATTCCACATACACTATACTCAAAAACTTATCTATGGCCTTCAGCATATATTAGGAAGGTGAACTTTATGGTACCTGTCCAGTGCCTGTAGAGTCATTCTGGGAATCCAAAAAAATGCCATAATTATACCATGAACTTAATGTGGAGAATACTCTTTTCCCATACCCACCTCACAAAAATTGCTTTGCTTAACAGATTGAAGAAGGCTTAATAAATGGCTGTTTTACCATGGAATTTATGGAACAGATGCTGAAATATATTTGAATATTTAAAAGGAAATAAAAAGTGCGTAGTGCTTATAGTTTAGTACTATGTTCAAGACTGTGATTAAAATATGTACACTGCTATCACTAAATTTGCTGTTTATACGGAAGGTCTTTTCTAACTCTGGTTTCTTATGCATGTTGCATTTTTTAACATGCTGGAAGGATCATTCAGTTAGGGAGGCACACTGAGTTGAGTTGAAAGATATAATCCCATAAGAATTTGTATACTTTATAGGTGAGATTTCTTTTTTCTGGAGTGTAGTCAGTGAGTGCTTCTGCAGCATCTAAATATCGAGGGCCTGCTCTTATCCTGGATGACTACACTCTGGTTTGTTGATACAAGCACTATTCTGTTACATATCCGAGGTACTTGATTTCAGCAAACGTTAGTGTTCTAATCAGATAGCTGGCTGCATATTTCAGATTCAAGCCCTTCATGTTGTCAGTTCATAGTAGGTAGATGGAGAAATTTTGAGCAGTAAACAGAGTGAACATTCTAAATCTACTACCATCTGTCTGTATAGAAGTTTACCAATCAGCACAAATTGCCACTTTTTCTGATTTATTGTAGACTGCCTTGCAGCCACTGAAAGTCTTTTCATATATTCAGAAATTTCCTTCACCATAAACATTTTTTTTTCTCACTAAAGAATATATTAATTATTATAAATTGGTATTACTGCTGCATGTTCCTGAATTTGTTGAATCTGCAGGCCACATGTTGAGAGGGTTTGGGAAGATAATCTTTTTTTGTGATTCATGATTTGAGAAAGACATAAAAGGCATGGCAAATGTTCAACATTTATTGAATGAAAATTTACCAAAAGAGATGAAAGTTGATTATTTCTGACCATCTTAACATGATTTTGTCATGAAATCATTGTGAAATATTTGTCTTCATGCCAGCAGTAGATCCTGTTCCTGACAAATATTAAGCACTTTGAAAGATTCTGCATGATAGCATGTCTACTTAAATGTCACTTAACTCATTTTTCTGTTGATATTTTTTCTATCGCTTATTCATTTTGGATGGATTTGTGAAGATGCATGCTATTACCTTGATTTTTGTTTATTGGTTTGTTGACCCAAAGAACAATCCAAAGGCAAAATATGTAGACAAATTTTGAAGCATTGTATTAGGATATAAAAGATGAGGAAAAGAGATTCTTTTCTTGTATATTTTCAGTTTATCACAAGAAGCTTTTAATTCTAAGAAGAGAAAAAAGCCAAAGTGAAAAAGTTTAGAGACTCCAATTCGTGAGTTATTTTGATCAGATATTGGGACAAAGGAAAACATGTCAGATCCAAAGAGAAATTATATATTTGCTCTATACTGCTGGAGCTGAACATATATTTCTTTTGGATGGATACATTTGAAGTGCAAACTACTGAAGAGTTTACAGTATGCTACTTCAAACCATGAGTACCAGCCTGATAAACTGCAGAAATTCTTCCTCTTTCAAGTCTCTTCCTTGCATATTGGTGGTGTTGGTTATTTAAAAATCTGTCTTCCCCATAAAAAGCCCCCAAAGACTATTCAGTCTTTCTTAGCTCTGTGGTACAACTGAAACATTTTCTCCTTGTCAAAATGCGAAGAAGAAGCTTTGTAGATCAATTAATTAATTAAAAAAAAAATCAGGAAAAACAAGCATGATCAAAACAATTACATGGTATATTTTCACACATTTGAAATTTTTTCACCCTTTAAATTAATTTCCCAGCTATTGAAAAATCCAGATAAAACTTGATTTGATTTTCTTGGAGAAAACAAAAAATGATAGTGTGTATTTATTTTTTCTTTCTCTCAAATCAGGTAAGAAAGTAAATGGACAACTCCAGAATATGTACAAATTGGTACCTAGTACCCAGTCACAGGTAAGCAAAAATAGTATTATTTTTTATATTAGTTTTGTATTTTGCATTGTCAAATTTTTGCTTCTCTGTTAAGTAAAATGAGAAAGAGCTGACAGCCACAAATGTCAACATGAAAAACCTGTTAAGTCTCAAAGTTGGTAACTGTGTGTAGAAATGTTTAGAAGTGTGGACTGATAAAATTAAGAATGTGGACTGATAAATTAAGAATGGTAGCTGAGTTGCTTAGAGCTACTGATACTGGTTTAACAAAGAGAGAGTTTTTTAAGTACATAGACTCTTAACATTGAAATTTACTTTCCCTTTTGCAGCAGACAAGTTTGTTAATCTGTGATATTTGTGCTGATCCAAGAATTTTCTATAGTCAACGTTATACTTACAAATAATTCATTTTGTGATAAGTTAGTGCTGTTACTTCATAGAGAAATCTTCTGTGTACTGAAAACATTAGTCTACTCTCTGAATTAATTGATCTCTCTTGTATGTGAGGCAAGCATTTACAGAACCAGAGAAAGCTGAAAAGGGCAATTTAGTTTCCTAATCGAGAAGGGTGTGCAGCTCACTAAATCCTTGCAAGTGGGAAGGTAGAATTTTTAACTGTTCCATCAAACCAATATTATTCATCTCCTTAGTTTTTTCTCATCCAGCACTTGCATTAACAGTCATGTCTCTCATTCAAGAGATGTTTTATTTGTCAGTGATGTGAAGCCGGTTGAATACATATTCAAGAAGGTGCTCATTTCACTATGTTGTTGATTAAATCAACTGTGCTGTTTTTCCCATTGGCCCTGTAAACTTTATTAAAGATGTATGTGAAAGCCTAAGACCAGGTAATACGTTCTGGTATCTGGTATGAAAGCTATGTTCCTGTGTGTCAAGACCCTAACCTTGTTAGGACACAGCTGTGGGAGCAGATATTCTATTTATGAAAGAGAAGTCCTGAGAAAATGAGCTAAAACAGTTTTCCAAATATTTGCACAACTTAAGCATGAAAGCAAAACTGGAGCCAACATCTTGTCTTTTTAGTCAGCTTCACAAAGCTCAGATCAAGACTGGTACAGTTTTATCAAGCTCCACATAAATATCGTGAAAACATTCCACACATTATTCCAAAAATTCACTTACCACTCTCACTTAGTGGTACAAAAAACTAAGTCATAAAACTAAGCTGATGGTGTCCAATTCTTGAATTTATGTTATTAGTTCAGTTTCCACAGCATTAGGTGGAGTATTTCTCAGTGACGCAATCATATCATCAGTGCAAAGCCAAAATAACTGTTATTTAGTCCAAGATTTGTTTACGCCTTGTTTTGCTCCAAAGACACAAATGAATTGTTTTGAGTATGGTTCTATTTCTTCTCTTCACTGAGACATTTTTAAAGGCTGTTTATTAAGGCAGCATTACCAATCCATCTAGTCATCCTCCACTTTCAACATCAGTCAAATATCAGCTTGTGTTTCTTTTGGCAGATTCATCCACGAAGTTTGACTAAGCTCCTGGGGCTGCTTAAGCTACGACCAGAAAGGGAGGGGAAAAAAAGAGACCTTAAGGGGGACAGTCATTGTTTTTTCTCTTCATAAACAATGAGAGGTGGTAGGGTGGAAAGAATACAGAAGAAATTTCTTTACTTTCTGTCTGATGAGGTTCCTAAAGTTTCATAATGTCACACTGAAAAATGAACTCCTCCTTTACTTTTTCAGTCAAAAAAGCATAGCTACCATCTTCTATCATTTGAAAATGTGTTTTTCCAAACATTATCCACTCAACGCCAACTGTGGTGCTTGAAGAGTCTCTTTTAAATGTGTTTCAATTGCTTGTAGCTATTTTGGTTATTGGAGTATAAGAAAAAAAGAATAAGCACCTCTATAAGTCTTGTTGCCATATGCTATTTGACAGAATGTTGAAGAACTGCAATATGTCATAGGTGTGCCATCTGAACTTAAGATGTTTGATTTATAGCATAGCTTAGAAATCTAATTTTCCTCTGAAATTAATTAGTACCTTATTTGTCATCCTTCTTCGTTCACTGAGTTGCCACTATGTTAGGAACTAATGTTCCTAATGCCTAATGGACTTTATGTTCTCCCGCTGGGAAATACAATTAAGAATACTATTACTACATGATATCTTGATGTTTCTATATCTAGTAAAATTTTCAACTAAATCAAACCATTTCAGAAACATGTGTATTAGACCCTTTTAGAGTCTAAGAAGATTGACAACAGTGTTAGATTTCAACAGCAGCAATTGAAGATTGATGTAGATTAAAGTTTATGTACAGTAACTGCAGAACATGGATTTCATGTCAGTTATTTGTTCTCATCTGAGAGGATAGATTTTGAATTTATCTTAATGCGTGTATAATGTATAGCATTTTAATATCACTGGCATTACAATCATTCATTATTATTCAACAGAGAAAGTATGCTTTTGTCAATGAAAGAATCCTATATTGGTAAAAGGACTGGTAATAATTATGATTACCATTTCAACGCTGGAGGCTTGCCAGTGTTTGCTAGGAATACAAAAGCTATTTATTTTATTATTAAGGCTCCTGATGAGAAATACAGTAAAATGGACAGCTGCTTCTTATATATGCATTTATTCCCACTTGTGAGTCAGATAAGTTGCAGGGTTACTTCAAAAGTTGATCGTCTGAAACAGTTTTTCACTAGGAGGCAAATAAGAAAGGTAAGCCTTATTAATGTGTATTAAAGGAAAAATACTGAGTGACAAGAAAAAAAACGATTGATTTCATATTCTTTGTTAAGGACAATGACTGAAAATGACAATATCTGACTATGTTCATACCAATGCAAACTTGTTTTTAGGTAGCAGAAGGTACTGGCTTTCATAGAATAAGCAGCCACTGTCCATTTTCCTGAGAAAAAGACTTTATTTCTTAAGATCTGACTTCTTCCAGGTTCCTAAGCTTTTAATTTGTATTGAAAGCTTCTCAACCTGTGCTTTATAATGATTTAAACGTTTGGAAGACAGCAAAAATATATATTGTTAAGTAAATAAATCTGTCATCAAATGCTAAATTCTCATGCAAGCGTTCTCACGTGAAGTAGACCAGCTACCAGGAAGTGCTAAACAAACTTTAACTGACGCTGACTTTAAGTGGTGCACATTTAACACAGAGAGGTATTTTGTTTCCGATTTTTTTTTTATTTGTTAACCAGGTATAGCTGAAAAAGGTCCACTTCTAATGTACTTAGCATTTTCGTATTGCTTGCTTTACAATATCCCTTTTCCCCTTTCTTCATTATAGTAGCAGGCTCTCAAAAGTTGATCCTATGACACGTGGTAGAGCATACTTATTTATAATCTTGCAGATCAGTTTTTTAATTTGTTTTTAAAATGCAAGGTTCATTCATGTGCTTCTTCATAGTTATCAAAATGTTGAAAAAGATTTGCATTTAAGCAAAAATATCTGAGTACAAGACAAATTAGGAGAAAAGTGCAACTATTTAGTGTAAGAACTCTGAGAACACAAATGGCTTGCCAATTTGTCTTTGTAAACAGTTTCACCAAATAAAACAGCTCTTGACTTAATCTTATTTTAAGCGGAATACACACACAAGTGCTGAGTACAACTGGTTCTAGAATAGTTTGTGCTGAAAAATACTATTCCTGAGAGTATAAAATTATCCTGAGACCAAATTTGTAATTGCACGTATTTCTGATGTTTTATTGCAACTAAATGTCAGTTTTTCTTAGCTTTCTGGTCTACTCCCTAGTGAGTGCTCAAGAGATTTTTAAAAGAAAAAAAGATTGGGATTTCCTAAGCTGTCAAATACTGTGTTTTTTATGAAGCAAAACATCTTAAGCTGGAAAAAGGAGATAAAAATGTTATATTCCATGGTAGCCCTTGGGAACTGAAGCAATAGCGTAACCTTCAGTAAGAGCAGCCGGAGCCATATCCATTGTCAATGTGGGGCAGGCGTGGTTTTGGATCAGAGCTCTCTATTTTGGTTAGCAAGAAAGTTCAATTACTATTATGGCAGTTATCCCAAGGATTTTTTTTCCATTTCTTCCAGCTTACGCTAAGAGATAATAAGAAGTTGGTTCCTGTTACAATAATCAAACAAGGTAATTTTGTATATTGTTTAGAATTCTTTTAAAATATTCTACAAATGTCCTTTAAAATTAATAGTGGTGGAAAACTTGTTATTATGTTGTAAATGTCATGAATATTTCCTTTTAGAAGGGATAGAACTTTAGAAACAACTACATCCTCAATTTACAAATACTATCAACTCATGCCTGTTTGCTAATAACACGAGTTACTTATTTTCATTATGAACAATGCCTTACTTGAGTCAATGAATAGCTGTCAGTATTTTTTTTTTCTTCTACTACTACCCATTCTTTTCTGTCTCAATTGAATTGTCCAGTTATTTTGGTCTCTCAGCTCAATGTTTGAGCTTGAAATGCAACAGTATAGATAAGATTGCTGTTACAAAATTTTTTATGCCTGCATTGCAGATATTTTAAAGCAGATATATCACTGCTTTAACCTCCTTTCTCCTCCCTTCCCCAGTCAGTGGGGTGAGACATCTACAGTCGGCATACGTGTATCTCCCTTTAGAAACTCCTGTTTCTTAGTAGCAACTATAGCAGTGAGAATTATCATGATATTGGAATTTTTGAAAATTAACTACTTGAAGTAACAAAAAAAAAAAAAGTCTTCTAAAGCAGTTCACAGTTCAAGAACAGGAGGAAAATGGGAGCTGATATGAGGACAAATTACAGCAATTACCTATAAAATAAGACTGTACTGATACTTACTTCATATCTGCTTTTTCCATCATACATCTTTTCTGAAGACATGCGAATGGTAGCATAATGAGATAGGCTGGAGGTGGATGTATATTAAAATAAGCGTGTAATGTGTTTATATCAAAGATATCAAACTAACGTGCTAGGGAAAAGAAGAGATGTACCTTTAAGGGACTTTTAAACTGAATGCAAATACAGAAAAGACGAAGATGATGTCCTCATCTCTTAGCATTAAACTGAGAGAAGGTTTTCAGAATGCTGAGATTTGTCACAGGCATGTCTTTGTTTCCTGTTTCAGTTATGATCTGCTAGCATGTTTGTTTTGTCTCCACAGTTATTCAGAATCGGACGCAGTCAAAAACTTCAGATAGTTCTTCTCTGCCAGGAGCAATTCTAGGTGACAAGAAGATTTTTAATTTTCCCTCCTCTGTGACTGAAAATTAGATCTGTGTAAATTTATTGATTCTGAGAGTTCTTTCCTTATATTTATATATAATGTAAATGTAGAACTGCCTGTAATAGACACGAAAGGTTCACTGCACCTCATGACTAGTTTATTCCTGCCTTTGGGAAGGTGTTTAATTTCTTAACTATGGAACCACTTTAAAACTACGTAACTTTAGCTTAAGTTTGTTTTGTATGAGTTTCATGTGAGTCAAACAGGTAGTCATTAACCACACGTTTGTTGTTGAGTCTTCTTTGGCCCACCAGATAGTATGTTCATATATCAATGATACTACAGTACTCACGGATTGTATACTTTAGAATTTGTTTGCCATTTTAATTAGTAGTAAAATTGTGCTAGTATATTGAGTACTAAAATAGGGAAATTGCACTCATTGCTCCAGTGGGGAGTAACAGTTACAGAACAGAACTAACCCATTTTTCAGATACTCAGGCTACACACCCACTGGTTCTGTAGGGCAGCCTGTATATTGTTCTTTTTTTCTTGAACTAATGGCTCTTTCATCTTTCTTTGTAGTGCATCTTATTGTTCCAGGTCTCAATGAAACTCAGCAAAAACTTCTTCCTCCCCTGTCAATAGATGACATAAGTCAAGTATCCAGAAAAAAACTGGGTAAGCAGTAATGAACAACGCTTTTATTGTTCGTGAGCAGTATCAGTATTTTAGCTGGTATGAGATTGTGTATACAAGAGAAAAGCTTTTTTTCACTATTTAACCATTCTTTTTTTAATTTATTTATATAATATTTTAATTGGAATTGTTAGAGTTCATTGGAATCACCTATTTTAAAACATCTGGTCAGGTTTTTAAGATATTTCAAAGCCATTCAAAGGAATGAAGAAATGATCCAAAGAAAAGAAAAGATGGGAATCCAAAGCCATGTTTATAATCCTTAGAATTTTTTTGTTGTTTTACTTTTCAACTTTTTTTTCCATAGATACTTTCTTTTACTGTTTATCTTGAAAAATGGTAGGTTTATGTCCTTTTGTAATAAGAAATTTTCAATGAATTTTTATTGTATGAATTCTGATATGAGTAAATGTGAACGACTGTTTCATGGAGAGATTCTTGCAATAAAATTCATGGGAAAAAAAAATTGTCACAAAGCAGAACATTTCAGTACAAGTTTCGTGTATGTTTAATTAATATGACTGGAACCTGCAGGTTCCAACTCACTCTGAACGAGACTTCATGAAGTTTTTGTTTAAGATTCATAAATTAGTGTATTATCTGTGAATGGTGCACTCATGGGAAATTCAGCTATTTTTTTAAATGTTAACAACACCCCTCGTCCATTTTACAGAGATCTCCTGAGAAAAACTCTGGAGCTCATAATTTTTGGCTTTTCTAGTCTTAGTACTTAGTTTTAATTCTTAACAACTACATTAGATTTTCTTCCTTTCATATTTCTAATTTGTTTATTTTATTCTCTTGCTTCATTACTGACCATGATACATTCTCAGACTGACTTGCTTTGCAGTGAGAAAAGAACACTGCTTGTTTTTGTTCAGATGTTGGGTGCACGTAAGGGTAAAGAGACACAGCACAGTAAAATTTGAATGTGTTTGAGTAAGAATGTGTTTGAACTGAAGCTGAATTACTTGGATTTCAACAAAGCTTTCAGTACTGTTCTCACAGTATACTTCTATACAAAATGATCAGCTTAGCCAGACAAAATGATGTGTGAAGAACTGGCTGATGGGTCAGGCTCAAATGATCAAAGTAAATGGGATTGCAGTAGGCTGGCAGCCACTAGTGAGTTTCCCCAATCTTGGGGCCAGTTCATCAATGGCCTGGATGCAGGACTTCAAGGTTCACTAAGTAGGGGTTCAGTAGGTGTGCAATAAAAGTAGCAGTATGTGACTGTGGAAAAGAGAAGAGAAGGGAGGAGAAGGGAGGAGAAAGGGAGAAAGAAAAATATAAAGGTAGTTTCAGTTGTCCTGGAAGTTTCTAACCTCCTCTGTTGGGAAAGTGTAGAACTTCTAAATTTAGATGCTCTAGTCTGTTTAAAACAGCTGGTGTGATGTCAGTTTGGAGCCACTCTTCATGGTAGATTGCACACCTTTGTGAAAATAACTAGGGTAAACAAGTGATGTTTTATTTTCCATTTACCGTGTGTTCCTTACCAGAGAACATCAAGTGCATGGGTGTACTTACACACAGGGGAATACTGGACTTCAAAGTGTAAAAGAGGAAAGTCATTGCTATCATTTATTTAATATAATTTAAATTTATAAAGTAATTGAGAAAAAAGCATACTGACCAAGTACGGATATCCTTCACTCGTGCCTGTAAACAATGTAAGTCTATAGTAAAATGCATTAAAGCTTTTGTTGTGGGTGAAGTTTTGACTAAGTGATTTTCTGACATATTGCCACTACTACAATTCTGTATTATTTAGAAAAGTCAAAACAATGCATTCCGGGATACCATGTTTATTCAATTCCCAGTTTTTTCTATTTACTTTTTCAAAAATATACCAGTTTTTTTTTTTTTGAAGAATAGTAGCCCAGAAAAACAGAAAAGATCTCACCCACAAAATGAATTTCCTTCCTCACAGTGAAAATAGAAAAACACAGATATTACTGTTTTCAAAATGAACGTCCCCAAGATCCGCTATTTTAATGTATGTATATCTGTTGAAATTAAAGGATTTTGTCCAACCACTATACTTGACAGAAATAAGGTAAAGGAACACGTGCACTCTCTGTCACTGTAATATTTGAAAATTTATTTGACTGTTCTTATAAAATCCTTATATCTATATTACATCTTCAAATTCTGAAAAGTATTTAACTATTTTACTGTTGAAATGTTAGGCAAAACTATTTTGCACTGTGAATGTAATGACTCAGAAAGCATAAATTTATGCTGTGAATCCTATTTTCAAAATATCTTTTAGGAATAAACCAATATTACAAATGCACGTGTGTTTAACGTTTTTAGGCAAATGCTTGTATTCATTGTAGTGGAATTTATTGATTCCTAAAGGTATTCAGCTTTCCACATTTATCCATATTGATTTACTTTGGCAAACTGAAGTGAGACAGAAATAAATCTCTAGTGGAAAAGAGCAGATGCAGCTTTTCTGTAACTCTCTAATGTCTTTGTCCCTTTAGGTAAGAATGAAACTCAAGTATGGCCTGCTGAATCCAAAACACCAGAAGTTCAAGAAATCTCGCCTCAGTCTCTCCCAGGTAATAAGTGTTCTATTTTCAGAAACTCTACTGAATATATTTGCCAAAGATATAAACTGAAATTAAACTCATTTTTACATTGCTTACTCTGCAGTTAAATGCAGTAGTTGGAGGACAAAAGCATAATGAAGCTGAGTTAGTAGCTGTGAGTGATGCATAGAATAAAATGTAGATAAAATTCTGATTAATTTTGGAGCAAAGGTTCCAATACTCCTATTGTTAGGTTAGTAGATATTTATATATTAGAACTGTATCTTTGTGGACTGCTGAATATCTTGAAATTGTGAAAAAATGGCAAAACAAACAACTACACATGTTCTTATTGCTATGATACTGTTAGTTCTGTTCTGAAACAGAACCTTTTTAATCTACTACTTGCTTTTTCTGTGGTTTTGCTTCCATATCTCCTTTCCTTTGGTGACTATTCCTTTTGTTTATACTTTGTTGATCATAGCACCAAGTTCTAATATTAAAGTAGATATTTCAGGAGTTTCACGCTTATTTACATCAAAGAATGCATTCATTTTGATTACGGTATTTCAGTTTAAAAATGACAGTAGGAAACAGCAAAGTGAGAGCAAATCCTTCGAAAGAAAACCAAAGTTCTCTCAAACATAGGATCTATGTTTGCATGTTGTCCATGCAAAAATAACTTTTGTAGTTACACATTTAAGCAAGACTTGCACAAGCAACTGAAGTGAGAGCTCTGAGCACCAGCCTTTTGCAAGGGCTGCATTTGACAGACAGGATAACATGTAGACACATTTTGATTTAGGATTAGGATGTATTTGATTATATTTTGTTTGGATTCACCAATTTGAAAATCACACTGGATTTTTTTTTTTTTTTAAAGTAAGACATAGTAATTATTTGCTGTGAAACATTTAAAGAGGGGTGCTAGAAGAGGCATCAGAATGTTTATTTAAGAGGAACTATGTGATCTCTGTCATTCAAGAAGGGAATAAAGGCGCTTAGAGTGTTTCAGCAAGCAGAACTACCTGAAAGGCTCCATGAGCTGGGCCACTCTTACATTACTGTAAGCCTTTGCCAAAGGGTGTGTTCTGTTCTGTGTGGGTCAGTAACTATTTTGTGTTTGTCAGACAAAAATCCCACCGTTTTCTTAATTTCAGGCCTCCCCTCCCTTGGCAAGCACTTTTACAGAAAGACTAACTAGTAAGCTCTTTGTTGCTTCATGTTTTCCACTTAGGAATATTATATTCTAGAAAGAATACTATTTGTAATGGTTTTTAATTTTTTTCACAGACTTTTAAATTCTCTGAATTGAATCAAGTGTGAACATTTTCTTCACTTGGCAAGGAAATTGTAGCTGACCAATGGTTAGAAATATCAGTGCATTTGCCTAGGACATGGAAGAACTAATTCAGAAAACAGACAAACAAAAAAACAGCAGGTTATTTCTTTTAGTAGGGGGTTGTACCAGAAATATATCAGGGTAGATTTGTGAAATAGAGAACAGAATTGAACTGAAATGGACCATCTGTTAATCCACGCTAGGGCTAGTTTTAGTAGGAGCAATTTCTGTGTTGCTGTCCTTTTCAAGTTCTTCCTCCTTCTGGCCTCTGAAGACTTCCCCATGTGCTCACATGAGATATCAAAGTGAGGACTGTGCTTCCATCATATCTTCAGACTGGGGAGGAAAAGAAGATCAGGAATGAAAGAGTCAAGGGAAATGCGACCTAAATGGATTCTAGCTCTGTTCCATGCTGTGATAGCAAACTAACTATATTTGCTTGGTTTTGTTAACGATTTACTTTGCAGCCACCACTGAACCATCCCAGGAAATTATTAAACCTGCTTCACCTAATTACTGGGAAAAGTCGGAAGTATTTTTAACTTCGAGGCCTAAAGTTTCCGTGTCCTTTATCTCTTTTTACAAAATTGCTTCACTTCATTTCTACAAAAATCTGTGTGAAACAGAGGAGAGCCTCATTTCCTTTATCCCAGTTTTAGACATGCTCAGCTAACTTGGTTGTCAAGGGTCATGCTTCATGTGAGTGAAAACCAAAAGACTTCTTATAAAAGAAATCATAATGATGTCTAAATATCTGTATTTGCTTTTTTCTCATGGTTACATTTAAGCAGAAAGAAATGTTTGCTTTTGAAGCACTTCTGAGGAATTTGTCGGGGTTTGTTTGTTGCTGCTATTATCTTTCAAGGTCTCTCACGGGTGAATTTTCTCCCACAGAGTTCATAGAGATAAATTGCTTTAACTTCTCTGTAGAAATAAATCTCTTTCCACTGATGACATTAAGAACACTGTAGTTGACATAGTAGAAACTGAATTGGGTCTTAATAAAGCAGCATGTATGGAGATTATAGCTTTCAAAGCACTGAAACACACTGTCCTCCAAAACAGAAAATAGTAAAAAGTTTCTAACTGTAGTGGCAGCTATCCATCTATTTTCAAGCTGGGAAACAGCATGTTTTCTTCAGGAAATGAAATAATAAGCTTATATATTTACCCTTTCGGTTCTTGCCTGAAGCATGCTTAACATGCTGAATGGGTTGTGAAAGAAGTATGGAGAATAAGGCAAACAAGCAAAAATAACTTCTCTTTTACTCCATTTCAAAATGAAAATGATCTTAAACTAAGTAAAGACTAAAATGTAATCCGATATTGAAGCTAATCACCACTATCCCCTGTATATACCAATATGTGCTAAATACTGTGTAATTTGCTTTCTGGAAGGAACTAATGTTCTCACCATATTTAAGGCTGAGAACTTAACATCCCATGTTCCATATTGCTCTTGTTTCATAACCTCAGACTTTCGCTCATATGTCCTTTATGACTGATTAAACACTAAAAGACCTCTGACAAGATGCAAGAAAGAAGTGATATTGACTTACATACCTTAAGAATTAAATGTTACGCAAAATAAGGAGTATAATTATGCACTAGTATATTAAAATATAGTTAGCAATTCAGTATAGCTGCAATGAATGGCTGTTTGATTAGCTACCCATACTTTACTGTGAAGGTGTAGAAGAAAGAGTAAAAGTCAAAAGACTGTTATATTGCTATCACTGGATAAAATGAACTAAGGTATTATTACAGGGGAATCTTTATTCTTTTTTTTTTTTTTTTTTCTTATCATTTTTCAATTAGAATAATTAAAAAATCCAGAATGGTAGAGAAAATATTTGTAAATACATTGTGTGATGTAACAATTCTGTTATTCTGTGTTCTATGAATGAAACTTGAGAGTCTGCAGCAGAAGTGCTGTTTGAGTTTCTAAGTCTTTTTGACTAACATGTTTGGGTTTTTTTGTTTGTTTGTTTGTTTTTTCTTATGTAAAACTGCTACAAAATTAACCCAGTACTCATGGAATTCATAAGTGAAGATAAAAATGAATTATAATGAAATTATCCGTTGCTGCAAAAAAAAATACTAATCAGCTGACATAGAATAGTGGTTAAAAAAGCAGTGGGCTTTGGGCAGTAGATGAACAGAAATGCACAGAGAGATTCAAAATTAAATAAAGCTTCTTTTTTTCTAGCTCAGGCTGAGAAAAAACACGGACCTAAGGAATTTAAATCAACGCCTAAGCCCGAATTGCAAACTCAAAACATATTGGGTAACTAATTTTGCTGCTTCTTACCTTCTATATACAGTAAATGTATTTTTTCCATTTTCAGATGACTTTTCTACTACATTCCTTCTACTGAGCAGCATCAAAGAAAGTCCTAATTAAAATTTTTTGTTCCCTTTGTGCTTCCAGCATCTCACAGATGAAATGTAAAGCAGAATGGATCCAGCACTGACTGAGCTGTGTCTGTTATGCATGATTATTGCTAGCAGTTTTGACTGGGTGATTCAATATTGTTTTTCAAAGTATTGCTTTCTCTGTATGTCATCTGAATAACTCACATCAGATAAAAATTCCATCAGTAAAGTGGTTTTAGTGATAGAATGAAACTTGCAAACTCGATAATTTTCCTTTGACAACAGATTCATTTGGATAACATCAACAGTGATGTAAAAGGAATATTTTTTTATTGTGTATGACATGTATTTGTGTTTGACTTGGAGGAAAAAAAAAAGAGCTGTAATGTTTGGGTTTTTTGTTTTTTGTTTTTTGAGCTCTCCCATTACTTGAAAGATTTCTTATGTTTCTTCTGGCATTTAGAATTCTAAGTTCTCCAATGTTGGTTTTGCCTTTATTTTAATCCTAAAACTGCGCAAAATCATGAACATGAACTTCTGGCTATATATGTATACACATATTTAATTTGGATTAGATTTTCTAAATCAAAAATGGCATAAATACAGGATGATGAGTGTTAAAGGAGAAGAGTGAGCTTTTTCAGCACAGAAATACAGATGTTCCACATGAAGAGGACTGCCAGTTCTTCTCAATTGTTTTTACGTATTCCTATTGATTCATGATAATATCATCCTCTCTTTTGTCTGTTACAGTTGCAAGCAGGTTTCCAGAACATACTGAAGTTAAAACATTGTCTCATTTTCAAAGTTACATTTAATCACCTTTTAACCATAATTAACTTTGCCTGTTTTCTAACATGCCTTTTAAGATGGAGATATGAAAGTGAATCAAGGTGCGTCACTGCTTAATTTCAAACTAGGTGATCATGGTTACAGGTGGATTTTTATTACTGGCTTCCTCTAATTGGTGGTTCTTAATATTATGATTATGGGAAATGATGATTTTATTCAGATTCCACACATCTTTTTAAGTGGCAAAACTGCATATGTTTTGTTTTTTCCCCAGGGTGGAACTCTTTATTGTTGTTATTGGTAAACACCATTGGTTTCCAGAATGCTTTAGAAGTCAAAATACAGTCCCATACTTTGTCTTCCAATACTCTGTATTAAATAAAGCCTTGATTATTTCTTTTATCATAGTTTCTAATGAAATACATCCACTTCCTTCTGGAACCAGAATCTTTGATGCTCCAAAAAGTCCATTGACAGAACTTGGTAATTATTTTGTTTGTAAATTTGAGTAAACTTCTGTGTAAAATTATCTGAATTACCTAATTTTTTTTGTTTGTTTTTAACACTTCAACTGCAATAATATTTTGTATGTAAATTATTGCAGCAATTAGTTTTTTCCCAAAATTTGCAGGTCACATCTTTCATTCTCAGTCTTTCTTTTTTGTTTTATTATAGTGACAGGTTGCTCTGAACTCATGCGTCTTAAAGAATAAAAGGATATATGAGCTACCTTTTATAACTTTTATTTATGGTATGATGATGGTAACTTATGCCTCGTTGAAATATAAGTCAACAACTGAACAAATACTTACATTGTAGTACCCCCTAAGATAATCAAAAGAAAAAAAATTAGATATGGTCACCTAATCAATTGGTGAAGTTGTCACAGCTTAACCAAATTAAAACAAAACTGTAAGCAGGTCAGGGAGAGTTTGGGTAGAGCAAACCTGACTAGTCTTAGTCCTGAACTCAGTATAAAGCTTATAGCCTATTAGTAACAGTGGCAGTACCATATTGCAGGGCTGCACAATTACACCCATGCCATTACAGATTGTGATCTTTTCATTAGTTAACAGAAGTGTCCTAGAGTCGGTATAGATTTGTATTTCACTAAGCTTTGAATGAGAATTTATCATGTAATGGTGCTGATTTAATTAGACAATGTACTTAATGCACTGCCAATTTTAAAGTCATTTCCTGGAAGAGCTCGTGATTTCTTGATGTGCTTATTTGAACCAAGCAGTACAATTTGAATGATCTTGAGAATTCGCTGTTGATTTGTTGCAATATTTGACAACTCTGCTTAAGGGGATAGAGATTCATATTTATTTTCACTGTAAGTTTGGTTAAATGTAATTAGAGGTAGCATTAAAAAGAAAAAGTCCTTTTAACATTTTCCAAACAAGTTTGACAGAATTGTAGTTGTTTAAAGCCTGAAAATTATTATGGATAGGAAGTATTTTTGCTTTCTAGAGAATAATCTGCTCCTATGTTTCTGTCTGTAGTAGAGGTAAAATGGTAACAGTTGAGCAAAAATACACGTTAAATTCAAGTTCTGATGTCTTCCATTTCTGCCACGTAGCAAAACCTGAGATTTAATTATGTGAGGTTGGACTCTGACATTGGATCAGGTGGAGCATCTGTGCTCCCAGTGAAGTAAGTGTGAACTCAGTGGTACTCTGTGAGAGTGACTGCAGGAGTTATTTGCGGGAAATTTTTCTGCACTGTGCCTCAGCATGTTGTGATCACCTCAGGTCATGAAATCAGTGGGAAAAAAAGAGAGAATTTAGTTATTGAAGCTAAAGTGCGTGACCTGTATTCTGTCCTAGTTTCTCAGAAGACGTTTTCCTTTATTTTTCTATCAAGATTGTACCAGAGGGAGACATCTCCCACTATTTTATAAAATTTCTGTGTGGTCAGTGTATTTTGAATTCAAACATTTCTGAAAAGATAGCTTTGTTAACATAGCTCCACTCTTCTGATGCCTTTGGGAGATCTCTCATAGCTCTTACTATATGTAAAAATATCAAAGGAAGCTTTTGTTGGCCGAAGTTGTGAATCATAATGCTTGTTTGTATTCTTTTCTGTATCGAAATCAGTACATAGTAACCAGGAATAATATTTATTAATGTGATCTGTTGGTTAAAGGCAAATGAGGAAGCAGATTCAATATATGAAACAGAAGTCTGTCCTTTTTTAGTCATAAATTCATATTGTCTGCATTCAAACTGAGCCCTACACCTTTTTATTTGAATTTTTTTGTCAGTCTCAGAGAAGGTTAGCTTTAAAATCCTGGTGTAGCTACTTTAAAAAAAAATCATACTGTTAAGGAGCAATTAAAAATGTATATGAAATTTTGTCTTTCATATACATTATAACCTAGGTAAGCATTAGTGACAATTGCAGCTTTTTTTTTTTTTTTTAATTGGAAAGAACTGTTTATCAGGGGCTTGTACGCATGATTTAATAGGATCTGTTTCTTATTTCTTACCGTAAAACCCACACATGATGGAAGTTCACTCATGTTGCCCTTTAGGTAAGAATACCCAATTCCAACTTGATTCCTTGTTTCCATTAAAGCACAATAGCTCTCTTGAAATCACCTATACTTCTAAGTGAAATAACATTAAGGTCTTGTAGTACTATTCATTACAACACAGCAATTTAAAGATCCTGTTTTCTCCTTTTCACAGTTATTTCACTGACTTCGTCTTTCTTACTTCTTTCATCATTTCCAATTACACCTTTCTTTAAAATAGTTCTGTGTAATATAATAGGAACCAGTTGATACACACTTGCAAATGCTACTTCAAGTGTGTTTGTTTGGCTTATAGCTTTTTGGTTGTGTATGAAAACCTGATTGGATTTATCTAAAGGTTGCATACAGTAAAAAACACCCGTGAGAACAAAAATTTAATCTAAATAAGAACTTAGTTACAGCTAAAATTAAATTTCATGCCATTTACAAGGAGACTATTTGCCTGGATATCTTATTTTTTTTTCATGTTTACTCTTAGCTACTCAGAGTCCAACCTTGAAATCTGTATCTCTACCTTCAGCAGATACCAGAGAGATGGAGATAGGTAATCCGTGGATTATTTCCATATTTTTCCATTATATTTATATCAATTAGATCTGCAAATGGTAATTTTAAGATTTGCGTTAGAATCTTGGCTACGAACACTCACATCAAGCTGCTTTTGTCTGTGTAATCATCCGAAAAAGACATTTGTTACTGGCTTAAAAACTGACCACATAAAGACAACGTTGTCAAATCTTATTCTTTCTTATTTCTTTCACTTCTTATTGTGAAGCTGCATCTCATATCTTCCAAAATTTAATAAGGTAAAATTTCATTCTTTTGGGCATGTGGAACTCTAATTGCAATCTGAAGACTGGATTGTAAGCCATCATCTCCTGTTGTCATTACACAGTTGTCTTGCGCCTCACTTTTCGTCTGTAGTGCTTTGCATTGGCATCATCTGGAATTTCACAGCCTTCACAAAGCTTCTTATGCTAACTTATTAAGTCACAGGTCTCAGCAGTTTAAGCTCAGATTCTTTTTTCAGCTGTTGATGAAACGCAGCCTGTTTCGTCAAGATCCAAAACATCTGGTACCACAGAAGTGCAGCCCACAAAATCTGGTAATGATTTCTCATCAGATTAATTCTCTTGACAGTTAGGAATTTTCAGAAAAGGCATACTGACTCTCATTAAACAGTTTGTTGAGTTTGACATAATGAAGAATATCTACAGATATGGAAGTGTTATATTGATTTACAGGTTTCTTTATGAACTTTTATACGAAATTATAATTGAACTTCTGGTTTGTGGATGAGTTTTGTTGTTTATTTGATTGGTTGTTTTGAAAGCATAGGCCTTCCTTTAAACTTCATAGATGAATATAGACATGCCATTCTAAATCACCCAGATCTCAAAACTGGAACTATAAAAACATGTTACTGAAAACATAGACGTTCATTGAATTATAGAATGCCTTGGGTTGGAAAGGACTGTAAAGATCCTCTAGCTCCAAGCCCCTGCCCTGGGCAGGGCTGCCACCTACCAGCTCAGGCTGCCCAGGGCCCCATCCAGCCTGGCTTTGAATGATTCCAGGGATGGGACATCCTCAGCTTCTCTGGGCAGCTTGTGTCAGGATCTCACTACACTCTGAGTAAATTGGCTACTTAACGTATTGAAAATATCTCCAAATATACTACTCCTATTTTTAAGATGAGGCAATTTGGGTGTTTGAGTAGGGCTTTTTTTTATGTGGGACCACTGCCAGTATCCAAAAGAAACAAATGTATAAAGAGCCAGCTGGAAAGATTTCACTTCCCTAACATGCCAACAGTGTAATGCCAGATGCATATGTTTTTGGACGAAATCCATTACTAAAGGGAAGATCACCTGGAAATGTCAGCCATTCACATGCCTGACAAAAGATAGCTCCTATGTTTCATTCTTGCTTTGTTATCTTTTCTTTCTCCTTCTCCAGTTTCAGCACCAGGACATCCTACTGCTTGATCCTTGAAATTCTAGACAAAGATTCCATACCGTACCAATCTTCTCATTTTTATTCATAATTTGTTCTCTTTCTTCTTCTCCATATAAGCTTCTTCATATAAGCTCAGAACTTCTTGCGTGATTTTGATGACAGTTTGGTCATCACTACATTATACATCTGTGCATTAATATTAATAATTTTGGAAATAAATACAATTTTTTTAAAGTCACAATTGATTATAGTATATTTGAGTCTACCTTTTTGGAGGACTTAATGTGTTAAATATTAGCTAAATTTTTCTTCAGCTCATAAAAGACAGTGCTGCTGCAGATGGTTCTTGTCATTTTAAAATAATACGACATGATTTGTGTTTTTATTTTCCAGCTTCCCATGGCTTTCTTCATATTACTTCTACTCCTCAAACTTTTACAGCTTCAGAAATGACAGATGCTGGTAAATTACACTAATGTTATTTTAGAAGCATAATCTTTTAAATGTATTTTTTATGCTGAAAGTTTACTACTATTAGTGGTTTGAGTCACTTATTCTATATTGCCTGCATTGGATGTTGCAGTATGTGTTAGTTCTTCAAATCCTATAGCAGTGTCATAATTCCTGGGACCAAGCACAACCCAGATGAAAAGTAAGACTGCAACAAGCACACAGCTGAATAGGGCAGTATTGATCTAACAAATTCATCAAGAGAAGATGTAAATTTTGCAAGGTAGAAGATTGTTACTGTCAACTAAGCTATACTTTCTGATGATAAATCAGTTTTCTTTCTCACTTTCTTTCTGTCAGTGTACATGTTCCAGTACAAATTTTGCTGTGATTTTTCCTGTACATTGACTTAAAAGCAGCAAGTACACATTTCAGTCCAGTCCATTCTAATTTAGCTATACTGTGGACTAGAGCTGTAGGGATGGGTTGTTTTACTTTCCTGAAGCTTTTGGTATGTGATGATGCTTGGTATTTTTGGGTTTTGTTTGAATGTGAGCATGTATATGCATGAGAAGTGAAAGCAATGAGAAAGAGATAGAAGGAGGTAAGGAGAAAGGAAGCAATTCATTGCTACAAACTTACAGTAATAGAGCTGTAGTTTAAGTTCTTTGCTGTATAATAAACTGGATTCTGGCACCCTAATGCAGTTTCTGGCAGTTCTGACTTGGTGCAAAATATTATAGAGCCTCCTAGTCCCAGGTAATGATTTTAAATCAAATTAGTTAATTATTTTATATAGAGCAGGTGCACACAAGTTGAGTTGAACAAAATTTGAGAAACTGCATAGAGATTAGTGGCTTAATGAAGTGGAGTAGAGAAACTTTTATCTCCTGAACTTACAGTCATTTTCCCTCAGTTTATGAAGATTTCTAACATTCGTGGAAAGATGTGGTATAAATTGTGGGCCCATTTTTTTTCAGATGCTATTTGAGGCAAACCTATATATAGTTTTATAGATAGATTTTCAGTTCCTTTGTAGATATTCTCACATGTAGGAAAATAAGAAAATACATTCAGCCATATAGTTAAGGTATTTAAAATACTCAGACTAGCACAAGGTTCATTAAAAAAATAAATAAAATTTTGACTTCTGCAGAGCAGTGGAAGTTGAAATTCCTCTCTTTTCTTCAGTTCTACCCCCTTAATTTATTTACATGCAACTCTTTCTCAGATGTATTTGCATTTTTTCTCTGCAGCTGGATTTACTGCTGATTTGGAGATTACCATGCCTGTAATTACCACAGAACCGCAATTGTTAGAAACAGCACTGGGTAAAATTGATAAGTTGACTTGTTTTAGTTTTAACGTCTTACTTTCCATTTCTATCCTTACTGCTGTTTTTGGAACATTTCCCTTGCTTTAGTTGTCACTGTCCCAGTAATTCATACCATTTATTGCTGCAGTTAACCAGATTCTCATCTGCACTTGTCATTCATCTTTATAGATGGGGGATAGAGTCCTTGCAGTGGGTTTTAGTTGGTTGATTTTGGTTTTCTCATTATTGAGGTTGCCAGCTGTGGGCCTGCTTTTCTTAATGTCGTTTTTTTTTTTTTTTTCCCCCTATGCTAAGAGCACTTAACAGTGGAAGGTAATGAGGGGTTTAACATACGTTTCTGTGTAATATTTCCGTGAAAAGGTTGTTTTGACTGGCTTTATATTAGATGGCACATTGTCTGCCTTCTGGATCAAAAGGTGTTATCTTACTACCTGCAAATCTTAATACATGTTTTAAGACTCTTAAACAATAATAAGAATTCTTGCTAAAATGAATAATTAAGTGATATTTTTCTACAATGACATGCTCACCAACCAACAGTTCGTGAGGCATTCTCATTTCTGGCTAGCTTGCAAGCAGATTTCTTTCTGCTTTTATTTTAGCATTGCAAATTTTGTCTGCTGAGTCATGTCCTATATGTAGTAGCTCTGAGGTAAATAAACCTATTAATAGACATTACCTTTTCAGATTTAGATGAAACTAAGCCTCTTTCTTCAAGATCCAAAACATCTGGCGTGCCAGAAATGCTTCCAATCTCAGCTGATAATGATATTACTCTTCAGTGTACTTCTCCTGACTTGTAGGCAGTCTTTCAAAAGTCATAGCAATGGTTTGTTAGATAGAGGGTTGATTCTGCTTTGCCATTTTAACTGAGGAATGCACACTCCCCCGTGTAACTGGGAGTGTTTTGAGATCTGTTGTATCTGCAGGAATTTTTCAGGAATTCATAGTTGAATATTAAAGTGATATAAAAGTAAATTTTAAAAATGCTTTTGAGCAAGTGGCAAGACTGTGTCCTCCATTTTTCTGTAAAGGATTTTATAACCAGGCCTGTTATTTCAAATGGTTAAATACATCCTAGCGTGTCAAATCTACTCCTTTTGTATATTGCATGTGCAACATACTTCTCCATTGGTGGAAAAAGCTTTAGCTATTCTTAATATCCCACAAGGTTTAAAACCATGGGAAAAAAACATTTAGTGATTTGGTTAGTGGCTATTACCACCAATTTTTTCAGGTTTCTGCAGGCTTGAAAGATTTCAACAACAGTCTTACCTATCTTAGAAATTGAATAAGGCCGTCAATGTAGCAAAGGGATGCAATACACTGAGAATAGATTTTCTACCACATTACATATTTTTATGTATTTTTTCTGTGCAAAATTAGAACGAGAGCTACCGTACAAGCAATTCAGCTTACTTAAGTCAGTTTTTTTTCAGTGAACTGTCAGACAACAGACCACACAAGTATAGGTGGATGAAAAATGTCCCAAGAACTCTTCAGAAAAATGGCCATTCATCACTTGTTTGCTGGCATCTCTCTGCTGAGACATTGAGCAAGCATTAATAGAGCTCGGAGCTTAAGGTTACTGAACAGCAGAATTAAGGCTTTGGAAAATTCTAGTGAAAAGTAAGATCTGATTTCAAATAGTAATATCATGTCAGTGATTTGGCCAGTCCTTTATTTATAGTAAAAAGGACATTAATATATTGTTAAGTTTCTCAGCCCCGCCAAGTCCGTTTTCTGCTAGATATGCCTAGTTCGCTACAATGTTAGCTGTTTCCAATCTGTATTAACTCAGTTGAGCTACCCTGATTTAAAAGTGAAATAATACTGTAATGAGTGCACCTGTTAATGTAAAATAACAGAATGTAATATGCCCTTCATAAATTGAAAACTCCATACTGGCACTGCTTGGAAGAAAATTGCTCATCCCTGGAATCTGAAGGCAGTTCTCTGGTTTGATCTTAGCTACTCAGAGGCCAAAGCTGAAGCCTACTTCTCCATATGTTGCAATCGAAGGAAGAGTGGGGGGTAAATACGATTTTTTCTTTTTGATTTCTTTTCCCCTTCCATCACTTCACATCATTTTCATCTGCTTGGAGCAACACCAAGGTTTACTATTGTACCCTGTCTTGCAGAAACGCTTGTCACGCTAGCTACATGATTCTGTAGTTTAAAGCCATGCTTTTCCCATCACCTGGAATCCATTTTTCTGCGGGGACATTTGGCACAAAGAATCCATCACGCCGTGCCTTCCTTCTCTGTGTGCCTCTCCATGCATTTCTTTTTTGTTGTTCTGAAACTTCTTTCTAGGATGCAGTTTTCCAATATGGCAGAAGCATACCTTTACTACTGCACAGGTGTCGCTAGAGACATGGGATAGGTGTCTCAGAATTTCCTTACGGGATAACACTTATTCTTTTTTCCTTGTTTGTTTCAGTAGCTTGAGCCCTTGAGTTCTAGTTGGATGAGTAGCTGTGTTACTCGTTGACTTAGAGACTAACGCAAAGAGAGAACTGGGGTTCTCAGGTGTAACGGGGAATGGTGAGGCCTTCTGTGTGTCCTGTTTGGGAAAGATTGCATAGATATCTCAAGATCATTTCCGTCTGATCGTAGCAACCCAGAGAAGGGGCCCGGACTTCACCTCAACTGCTTCACCGAAAGCCACGAGGACTATGAAGGGTAAATAACGTGCAGTTCCCTTCCTGCTCTGAGTATTTGTGCAGTGCTTTTTCTTCTGCAGATGTGACATGTGACAGATGTTTTGCGTGCTTACCATCCTAAAAAGGGGCCAGTGATGCTGCTGGTCTCTTATGGCTCTTGAGTAGACATTGCTTCATTTATAATCTTTCTGATCCCTTCTGGGAGGTTACCTACTAGAGGCTTCACGCATTCTTAGGTTTACTCTGTTCTCATGGGCATACGTGTACCGCTTGAACAATAGGGTCATGTCACGTGGAGGGAAGTAATGCTGTAATGTGTGTAATGGAAGCCTGCTTTGAGCCGGGCTAGGTCTGCCTGCGTATAGCTGCATCTTGGAATCACTCATGTGACTGCAGCCAGTGTGAGGAGCTGGTTTCTGAGAAGGTGATTTCTGTGTTTGATCTTAGCAACCCGGAGACCGAGGCTGAAATCCACCACTCCTTCCTCCCTGACGACCCAGCAAACTGTGATTGGTAACTAGCAAACATCCTCCTTTTTCTCTTTTCTCTTGCTTCTCTGGCTCCCATTTACACTCCATGCCCCAACACACGCAGCATCATTCTCATGTTTCTTGGAGAGTCTGAAGATTTGCTGGTGAGACTTGGCTTGCAGAAACACCCGCCACACTTGTTACGCAGTTGCATTGTTTGAACTCATGCTTTATCCATTGCTTGCCAGCACTACCTGTGGGGGCTGAAAGACAGCTTCTTTAGAGGGTGTATTATTGTGCCTTGCCTCCGGTACCATTTCACTGCTCCCTTTCATCCTGGGAACAACCTTCCCTGGTGAGCTGCACCCAAATAGACGTCGCTGCTCAGAAACCCACTCCTTCTGTGCGCATCCAGGCCAGTGCAAGATGGCGGCACTGCAGTTCTGCTGTCCTTTGGTGTTTCCTTTTCCAAGGGTGCAGCTGTCAGGTTCTTCACCACTGACTTTCCAGGTGGTCAGCTGTCAGCTGTGCATGCAGAGATGCTGTCACCACCTGGAAAGGAATGCTCTGCTTTTCTGCCGCTGTTGAGGTCGCACTAGGACTTGAAACACGCTGCCTCTTCTCACCTTTTGGTGAAGCACAGCACGTCCCTTCAGGCTTTTGAGAGACCTGATGGTGACGCTGGCCTTGTCTGTTCATGGTTCTTGCCAGTCTGGTAATGGTGCAAAATGGAATTTTTTTCCCCAGATGTTGTTGTGCTTTTAGGGGAACTTATTTTTCTTGGCCTGCTTTGAGTGGCACATGCACGTGGAGGTGAAATTCCCGTGCTTGAAAATTGGTGTTTGCTGTGGCATTTGGTGACAGTGGTGGAGTAGCTTGTGGTGGCAGATTCTATAGTATTGTCAGGTGTAGAGGTCTGGTGTGTTACCTTGCAGTATTCGTGACCCATGGTGTTATGAAGCATTTTGTGAGCAGTATTTGAATCCTAGAAATTTGAAATTGAGTGTAAGGTAAAGGTATTTGAAATCATAAAATGTATATGTTTGTCTTTGCTGACAGTATTTGTTTCTCTGCCTTGTGATATTGCCTAGATCTTTTTTTACATTATTTTCTCCTTTTTATGTATGTCTGTTCTTCTAGTTTCCTGTCATCAGTAAATTTGGAAAAGCCTTCATTTTTATGTGTTACAGAATTCATACTGTGCACAAACATGGTGCAGCTGCATTAATACTCCATGGGTGGTACTGTCAGTTATTCTGCCTGCCTCTGCTTTAATTGTTTTTGTTTCCTTTTCAAGTTGAGAACTGTATTCTATCCAAGGTCATTTCAGTCACATAAAGCTATCTTCATTAGATGGAACAATTTCATCTAGTTAGGTGTGGCTTTATTCTCTGTCTCTTTTTCTCTGTGGTGTGTTTTGTCAGAACTACCAGAGCATTATCCCTCAGTGTAAAAAATCAGACAATTTAGGTTTCTTGTTACTTGTTATTTAATCTGAAGAGGTCATGAGCTTTCCTAGCAATAGCGGAGCACCTACTTTTCAGTTTTTCATATACTGCTATTCATAGAAACAGTCAGTCCACGTTTCTTTCATACTGGCTGCATAATATTTCCTGCAGAAAATCAGATTATAATCTCTTTTTTTTCATCTATTTTTTCATTAAAATGTAGTCACAACAACTTAAATGTGCTTTTAAGCCATTTTCCACCAAAGAATGATCTTTTTCAGTATTTATATTAAATTATCTTTATGGCAGCTGGGTGAACATACAACACCTTGGCTTGCTTATGAATTTAACCATCACCAAGAAGGGTAATCCTTTGATACCTTGTCTTCTAGAAACAGCTTGCTTCAGTGTCCTTTCTCATTTGATGTTTGCTATCCAGAAACCAACTACAGAATTTTTTCTTTTGTCCTTCATGACAAATACAGGGACAATGCTGGCTAAATAGAATAGATTCAATAACAATTTACATTACTTTGTCATCAGTCAGAGGCTTACTTAAGCATACTGGCAGCCAAATGTCTGCAGCAAGCCTTTTATTAAATCTTTTATATCAACTTCTGTGTAACTTCCCATACCATTGTTACAAACGTATACAGTCATATATTTGCCAACAATTTCTTTAAATTTTTTAAGATACTGCTCTGATTATATAGATTTTAGAAATGAGAAGAGAAACTGTAGGAGAAAATTGTTAATCACATGACAACTATATAGTTGTATGACCCAAGTCCTTTTATTCAAAAAAATGTGTCATACCTTAACTATTCTGAAGACTGTCTGCTGTCTAGCCTGCCTTCTACATCATCACAAACTGCACACTGCTAGTAAGGCAATGTGAACTGTCTAGTTTTTTGAACTTAACCTCACTCCACACCTCTATTCTCTTTTCAGCTTATGATGAAATATAGCCCACTTTCTCAAGATTTCAAACATCTGAAAGAAATAGTATCCTCAAAGTGCCATCAGCCTTATTTGGTTATATGTCTTGAAAACTTAGTTAGACATTTTATATAAAACTGTATTCATGTTTTACTATTACATTAATTTATAAAGAGAATATTAAAGACAAATCAGTGCAGCTTTCTATCAGGGAAGGTTGTAGTGGACCTAATGATGTAGATGAGAAACCACTGAAATTAATTTTATATAACAGTACTAGAATTTATTATGTTGTTTCACAGAAAATTTTCATAAAGCAGGCTGCGTAGTGTAGATTAACATACAGAAAAAAAATCGTGTGGAATGATACTGGCTTTAAGTGGTTGTCAAATAAGAATGATATGTTTAAGTGGATTTTGTGGGAGAAAGACCTAAGCCCAGTATTAGCCAATTATTTTCTTAATGACACAGCTGAAAAAATGGAATCACTGATTGTTTGGCTGGTAAATGATACCAAGCTGGGAGACATAGGAGGGTAGGATATGCTTCCTCAAGGACAATAATTTGCCATATGCAGTACTAATCAATTGTATAATAGCACGATGGAAAACCACAATTATTCAGGAAAGGATCTTTTCATTTTGTTGATCAAAAATGTGACTGTGCCAAAAAGAGAAATGCTAGAAAAATTTTCACAGTAGAACAACAAACTACAAGGTATAAGTAGACAAGTACATTTTTGTGCTTCAAAAAAACATGGTCTATACCCACTAGAGTGGTACAGAGGATACCAGCAAAAGTGAATAAAAGTCTAGAGAATGCAGCAAATAAGTGAAGATAGAGTGAATTCTGGTTGCTTAGTTTGCTTGAATGAAAAAGGCATCAACATGCAGACGTATCTCAGATTTATTTGTGTTTTTCCTCTACAGCTGTTAATAGTGCTGAATTGGAAATATTTGTTCATCCAAATTGCATAATATCACAGTTGTTGCAAACAACAGTTGGTAATGGTGATATAGTCCCTTTTCTTATTTAATCACTATTTGATTTGTACAGATTTTTTTTTACAAAATCTGACATGCTGGGTGTCCCTACTGCCCTCAGTTATGCTGGGTGTTTTTGATTCTGTGATGCTGTTTTAGGTTGACATTACATGCTTGTATAGGGCAGTGAAGCTGGAATGCATTTAAAAATGCAGGTTAACAGGATTTAATGTGCATATTGTGTCTGCTTTGCTGTACAAACAAAAATAGTGCCTCTTGTATTTACCCCACCTCTTTGCTTAGAGGATGTCTACAGGTTTTTCACAGGGTCAATTGTGTAGGATTTCCAACTTGTGTGCTTGAAGTGATGTTTTTAGGTGGAATTTAGCTGTGATTCATAATTTTATGCCTAATTGCTAATGTGAAAGCATGCTATGTGAAATTTTAAAATAACATGCAAACAGCTGGCTTTGTATAAGTGCATCAAAGCTAGACACTGTGTATAAAAAAAATAAATACAAAGAACAAAGTAGGCTATCACAAATACTGTCTTAATAATGTGTATACAAGAAACCTTAAGGAAATGCAGACTTTTGGCTTTGCTGGCATGAGGCCAAGGACTTCTTCATTTGAAGACTAACCTCACTTAAGTTTTCAAGATTTTTTTCATATTTGATCCTAGCTACTCAGGGACCAGTCTGAAATTCACATCTCTTCTCTCCATGGAGACCAGAGAGCATGTGATATGTAAATGCCATATAATTCTGTTAACTTCTCTGTCCTTTTTCATCACATAGACAATACTAAGATTCAAACGCATTGCTTAGAAGGCTACTTGATGTGATGCTTTTTTTTCTTTCCAGCTCATTCATTTCAGTGCAATCAATTTTATTGCAGAGAATACTTTCTCAAGTCCATTCAGATGTATTCCACCAAGCATGAGATGCAGAACTGATGCTACTTTATTTCATGCTAGCTTCGTTATTTTTGTAGCACTTTATTTCACAGCTATCTTTAAGGCTGCTGGTACCTTGCTTGATCACATCAGTGTTGTCTAGAAGCTCAACAACTGCTCTGAAGTCCGTTTCCATTTTAACTCTAGATTTTCTTTCAGCGTTTGATGGCAAGCAGCCTGTTTCTCCAATATATGAAACATCTACCATCCAAGAAATGCTGTCCTCTGTACCTGGTAATACTTGAACATATGATTTTTAAATGTTTAAACAGAAATTATGACAGATACTTTATCGTATTTCTGGTTTATTATAAGTTAACATTGAATTAGAATAGCTGCAGAATCGTAGTATTTAATTTGTTCTCTCTTAGATACCAGGCTAACTTAGGAAATTTCGTATGATGCTGCAAAATAATAAATATATTGTTTTGGTCTACATTTGGACTATATTTACAAGTCTGTATTGTTGTGCTTGATGATAATAGGCTTTTGTCTTATTACATACAGTAGCATTCTCTTTTTCATATGCAATACTGCAGGTGTATTATTAGTGTATAGTAGTATATAGTGTAAGTTAATATAAATTATGTCAAAATCAATTATCAAAACTGTTAAAGTGGCTGAAAGTGTTGATTAAGTCCTGTAGAAATAATAGGATTAATAGCAAGCTGACAATGATTTGAGCAACATAGCATCATGCATGTTGTTTGTGTGAGCTAGACTAATGTAAACTGTTTACATGTTTAGTAAGTTTTGGCCAATGTGACCTGTTCCCTTAATCCAGTATTCTTTGTTTGATAAAAGTGTTACTAAACCTGCAACACATTGGTAGTACAACACGAAATGAAGCAAATGAGTCTTCACTTATGATGATACTGATCTGAAAATACAAGAAAATGTAGCCTAAATAAGTTTGTGCGATTATCCAGTTCACATGGAGACAAATAAATGTGCAGTGTTCCATAGAGTGGAGAACAGATCCTTAAATCCTTTCATTCAAATATCTTCAAAGAACTGATCTAAGCTAGACATTTTGCTTTGCTGCCAGTAAGTGAGATAGCATAGGCCTAAAGCTGATAGAAATTAAAACATACTTATCAAATAGTTGCATCGCTTGAGTACAACTTTTTGAACAACTGCATAGCACTGTAATTAAAAAAAATATGTGTAAGAACTTGGTATCAAACTGGCACTTCTGTGGTGGATATGGTGTAGTCAAACTCTCTTAAAGTCTGTTATAGCACACTCTAATAAGATTAAACTGGTTAAGTAAGTTACTCTTATTAAACTACAATAATTGACCTGAAGTACATGCATTTTTCCTGTTCTTCCCTGCCAGCACTTATTCCTTAGAATTCCTTTTCTACCTTTTTCAGAAAATAAATTAAAGCTTATGAATATCTTGCAGAACAAACTGGGACAGATGTAATTGTATCAGTGTTTGAGTTTCTGCTTGTTTTAGTGTGTCTGTATGAAGAAATTTTCACTTCCTTTCGTGAATGACAATCCCTTCCAAAGTCCATTTCACACTGTTGCCAGAATGCTCTTACATGTGGACTAAATGTGCATTTTTCAGGAAAATTTAAGCACCTGTTCAATTGCCTATAATTACAAGCTAATAGCAAAGTTTGTAGATTTAAACTGATCAAGAATTTTTACAATCAAGAATTGAAGATCACTTCAGTTTTATGCACTTATTCTTTGAAGATATTAATATTCATCACTTACCATGATTTTCATACTGAGCAATAACTTATGCTATACTACCTTAGCAGAAAGGTAAAGCAGTCATTGTCTATATATTGACAGAGTAACATATCCAATTTCTGGTCTTTTATTTTGTATGTTTGTCTATAAAGAAAATTACACTGAATTTTTTCTAAACCAGATGGTAGGTAGATTTCCAGCACTTAAAATGTTTACGATAGTGGATAAAATCATGTCTGGTTTAGCCTGAAGTTTATCATTTTAATACAACATGAATATTTCTGTGCGAAGTCTCCCGTTTCAAGGAGAGTTTAACATGTGATTAACTATGACAGTAATGATTTGAGATTATAACAGTTAGCATATACAGTTGTTTTTATTTGAAGTAACCTCACTAAGACCTAAGTAACCTAATTTTTTTTTTCTTTTTTATTCTCAGACATACAGTTTATTAGACACAATGTTGAGATTTGTAAGGGTGATTGGGAATAAAGAAGTCCAATTTATTGTAAAGACTAAATAGTGGTTATTTCCAAAACATGACACTGTATTTGATGCAGGCAGAAATTTGAAATTCTGACTATGCTACATATTAATTGATGAAATCTTAATTTATAGTTTGATTATTTATTTGATGGTAGAAAACAATTTTAGGGAAAAAAATAAAATAAAATGCCAGTTTATTTGATTGTGATTAAAATGATGTATTCCCATGTGTGAAAGGAATAATGTAGCATTTCAAGAGAATTTCCATCTCTGACCTTAGCTTTCCCAAGATCAGACCTGGATTCAACTTCTTTTCCTTCTCTGGAAACTACAAGAACTGTGATGGGTAAATACAGATTCCATTAAAATATCTATCCTTTTAGCAAAAAATAAATATGAAGAGCATAATTTTAATTTTTGGCAAAACGTCTCCTCCTTAATGTTTATGGCAGTGCAAATTGTGTCAGTGATTTGGCCAGTCCTTTACTTATAGTAAAATGAGATTAATATATTGTTAAGCTTCTCAGCCCTGCCAAGTCTATTTTCTGCTACATATGCCTAGTTCACTACAATGTTAGCTGTTTCCAATCTGTATTAACTCAGTTGAGCTACCCTGATTTAAAAGTGAAATAATACTGTAATGAGTGCACCTGTTAATGTAAAATAACAGAATGTAATATGCCCTTCATAAATTGAAAACTCCATACTGGCACTGCTTGGAAGAAAATTGCTCATCCCTGGAATCTGAAGGCAGTTCTCTGGTTTGATCTTAGCTACTCAGAGGCCAAAGCTGAAGCCTACTTCTCCATATGTTGCAATCGAAGGAAGAGTGGAGGGTAAATACGATTTTTTCTTTTTGATTTCTTTTCCCCTTCCATCACTTCACATCATTTTCATCTGCTTGGAGCAACACCAAGGTTTACTATTGTGCCCTTGTCGCTTGTCACTTGTCACGCTAGCTACATGATTCTGTAGTTTAAAGCTATGCTTTTCCCATCACCTGGAATCCATTTTTCTGGGGGGACATTTGGCACAAAGAATCCATCACGCCGTGCCTTCCTTCTCTGTGTGCCTCTCCATGCATTTCTTTTTTGTTGTTCTGAAACTTCTTTCTAGAATGCAGTTTTCCAATATGGCAGAAGCATACCTTTATTACTGCAAAGGTGTCGCTAGAGACATGGGATAGGTGTCTGAGAATTTCCTTACGGGATAACACTTATTCTTTTTTCCTTGTTTGTTTCAGTAGCTTGAGCCCTTGAGTTCTAGTTGGATGAGTAGCTGTGTTACTCGTTGACTTAGAGACTAACGCAAAGAGAGAACTGGGGTTCTCAGGTGTAACGGGGAATGGTGAGGCCTTCTGTGTGTCCTGTTTGGGAAAGATTGCATAGATATCTCAAGATCATTTCCGTCTGATCGTAGCAACCCAGAGAAGGGGCCCGGACTTCACCTCAACTGCTTCACCGAAAGCCACGAGGACTATGAAGGGTAAATAACGTGCAGTTCCCTTCCTGCTCTGAGTATTTGTGCAGTGCTTTTTCTTCTGCAGATGTGACATGTGACAGATGTTTTGCGTGCTTACCATCCTAAAAAGGGGCCAGTGATGCTGCTGGTCTCTTATGGCTCTTGAGTAGACATTGCTTCATTTATAATCTTTCTGATCCCTTCTGGGAGGTTACCTACTAGAGGCTTCACGCATTCTTAGGTTTACTCTGTTCTCATGGGCATACGTGTACCGCTTGAACAATAGGGTCATGTCACGTGGGGGGAAGTAATGCTGTAATATATGTGTAATGGAAGCCTGCTTTGAGCCGGGCTAGGTCTGCCTGCGTATAGCTGCATCTTGGAATCACTCATGTGACTGCAGCCAGTGTGAGGAGCTGGTTTCTGAGAAGGTGATTTCTGTGTTTGATCTTAGCAACCCGGAGACCGAGGCTGAAATCCACCACTCCTTCCTCCCTGACGACCCAGCAAACTGTGATTGGTAACTAGCAAACATCCTCCTTTTTCTCTTTTCTCTTGCTTCTCTGGCTCCCATTTACACTCCATGCCCCAACACACGCAGCATCATTCTCATGTTTCTTGGAGAGTCTGAAGATTTGCTGGTGAGACTTGGCTTGCAGAAACACCCGCCACACTTGTTACGCAGTTGCATTGTTTGAACTCATGCTTTATCCATTGCTTGCCAGCACTACCTGTGGGGGCTGAAAGACAGCTTCTTTAGAGGGTGTATTATTGTGCCTTGCCTCCGGTACCATTTCACTGCTCCCTTTCATCCTGGGAACAACCTTCCCTGGTGAGCTGCACCCAAATAGACGTCGCTGCTCAGAAACCCACTCCTTCTGTGCGCATCCAGGCCAGTGCAAGATGGCGGCACTGCAGTTCTGCTGTCCTTTGGTGTTTCCTTTTCCAAGGGTGCAGCTGTCAGGTTCTTCACCACTGACTTTCCAGGTGGTCAGCTGTCAGCTGTGCATGCAGAGATGCTGTCACCACCTGGAAAGGAATGCTCTGCTTTTCTGCCGCTGTTGAGGTCGCACTAGGACTTGAAACACGCTGCCTCTTCTCACCTTTTGGTGAAGCACAGCACGTCCCTTCAGGCTTTTGAGAGACCTGATGGTGACGCTGGCCTTGTCTGTTCATGGTTCTTGCCAGTCTGGTAATGGTGCAAAATGGAATTTTTTTCCCCAGATGTTGTTGTGCTTTTAGGGGAACTTATTTTTCTTGGCCTGCTTTGAGTGGCACATGCACGTGGAGGTGAAATTCCCGTGCTTGAAAATTGGTGTTTGCTGTGGCATTTGGTGACAGTGGTGGAGTAGCTTGTGGTGGCAGATTCTATAGTATTGTCAGGTGTAGAGGTCTGGTGTGTTACCTGGTAGTATCTTATCCCATGGGGTCATTACGCATTTCATAAGCAGATTCTGATTTGAAGATGTATACAAGTTGATAGAGTATGGAACATTGAAATTTCTAGACCAGTACATTGCACATTAATAGTAGGTTTCTAGATATTCTGACTCTCTGGCTCTTTTTTCTTTTTCTTTTTTTTTTCTTTTTTACTCTTAGAAGTTAATCCTGAAATGGTTGGGTTTTTTTTTTTTGTTTTTTTTTTGACAGCGTAGAAATCTTTTTTTTCATGCCTAGTACCATGAAGCTCATGCTTGCAACTGAGAAACTCACCTCATCTTGTGTCTGGTCTTTCTTTTTACTGTGTTAAATGCTATTAGGAGCTTGTAGATAGTCTTAGATAAAATCATCTTGACTAATAAGCAAATAATTAAAAATGCCTAAAGCTTAATAATAATACTGCATTTTTCTTTCAAGCTTCTTAGATACCTTAGAGCTTCTTTATTATATTCTCTGATAGGTGCATATTCATATCTTCTCCACTATTTTTTGTGCCATTATATTATGTCTCTTTCTTTTGTTATTTCTTCAAATTTATTTTGTATGTTTGTCTCAGTGCTCGTATATGTACACAGAGTATGTACACGGATTATACAGAATTAAAACTCACTGAGAGGCTCTTGATGGAAAACAAGGCACTCAAATTACGTCCTATTTAATTTTTATTATTTTATGTTTATCATTTTTTATTTTTTTGTGTGTGCTTTGTGCTTACAGCTCATTTGTTAGGAAAAAAAAAAACAAAAAAACAACTATTTTCTGAGTTGCATTCAATCATATTGACCATGCTGCATAAGATAATAATAAGCTTGGTTTGCTGCTACCTCTGTTGTCACTTTATTCATTAACTTCAGTTCCTACTTTAAATCATGATTGCTCCATTTTCAAGGTAAGGAATGCTTGTTGTGGGTGGACATCTGCACTGCAAACTTCTGTAAAACAGAAAAATCTACATGTAGAAACAATGATTATACATAATATTACCTTGTTTGTTTGTTTTAATAGCTTTCAGTGGTATTCAGCCTGTTCTTTCAAGCCCTCTGACACCTAGTAAGCCTGAAATAGCAGATGCTGAACCAGGTACAACAGTCGCTGTCTAATTCTTATTAATCAGTGCTCAGACCATGATCTAAAACTCACTGAAATGGCTGTACTGGTAATCTTCATTTGCATTAGACTTCTAACAGTTGAAAATTTTAGTTTAGATTGCTGTTAGTTGTTGACATTGTTGCTTTCTCACGCTTAGGATGCTCATGGCAATTCACAGTCTCCTGATGTGCCTTCAGTATTTTGAAAAATATGCCACAAATATAACTGAGAAAACAGTTTTTATTGTCTGGTACAGCTGATATAAATACTGTGATGTATGCTATAGGCTGTCTTCTGCTGACATCTTGCTTAGAATATTAAGGAGAGTGTCTTTTTAATGACATGAAATCGGGTAACAGTCATGGACACTTAATGCTTTTGGGCTGAAACTATAGCTGGATTAATTGTCAGCTCTCAAGTCCAATTTTATATAATTCAGATATCGTTCATCAGCCTTGACTTATTGATTGTTCAACGTGTCCTCTTCAGTAAATTGCTACATTTTACATCTTACCATCTTCCTTATGTATTGGAGCAAAATTCAAAATGTGCGAATGTCAACTTCAAAATCTTACTTGACAGTGATTAAGAGCCATACCAGTTGCAGTAAAGGCAGGAAGAAAGGAACATTCAGAATTCTGTGTGTCACAAATACAATGATTTATAGTCACTGAAGCTTTTTGCAGTTCAAAAGACTGAATTTCTCTCTAATATGTACTGAATTGATGATCTGAAAAGTGTCCAAGCATTAGTGAAATGTTTATGTTACTCTTACAAAAACAGATTTGTTTTTGCTTATGAAGCAAGAGTTTCTTCCATTAGCTCTTTACTGTATTATGACTGTCACCATTTCTTCCAACAGCAACAAGTGAATCCATTCTGGAATCTTTCACACCTAAAACTTCTCGTCCTTTTCAATGGCCAAGGGTAACATTAGGTAATGTTGTTTTCACCCAGTGAAAAGCTTTTGAGCCCATTCATCACATATGAATGCATTTCTTCCAGCATATCATTTCACATGCATAAAATTATTGTTTTTCCTGGTTATAGTCTTGTTCTGCCATTGTCATTAGACTGATTCCTTTTGATATATTTCTGTATGGGGACATAGTTCAGAGCAATTTTACTGTTCATGGAGCAGTAAAAGTTGCCTCTCAGTAACTTGCATGAAAAAGTCCATCATCCTTTTGTCAGTAAGTTTTATCTTTTTCCATCATGCATACGCATGTTCTGTCTTTCTCTCTGATATGCAGAGCTTTCATAGAGAAATTTCAGTTGATTTGAAGACATACATTTTGAGTCAATGCACAGCATTTCAATATCATCTCCATTCTGCACTTCAAACTCTAATTTCATCAGATGGCTTTGATGTTCCATGCTGAGTTATCCTTTTTTCAATGTAAATTTGTGGCATGTGCTGTTTGTTGTGAGAAACTCTTGTTAAACTGTGGTTGCAAACTGAGCTCTTTCTTTCAGCTCCTAAAGAAATACCACTTACTCCTAAACTGAAACCGTCTGCTATCCCAGAAGTACAGCATGTGGTAACCGGTAACTGTGCACACCATTCTTATAAGTTGATATACAGAAGCATGTTAGCCAAAAATATTTCAGCCAGACTTCCTAAAATGGACAGAAGATACGCAGTACATGAACATCTTGAATAATTCATCATTCTGAAATTAATCATTTGATGTTGTGTAACAGAAGAAATGAGGGGTTAAGCTCATCAGTTTGTTACACAATTTGGTCCAACAACAGAAATATAAATGCGGAAAAAACTTCTATTATTCTCTCGTCTCTTTTGTTGTCTCTTTTGCCAATTGCCATCTCCCACTTCCATGTAGACAAATAGCAAAGGTTACATCTTTGCTGATTATAACAGTATGTTGATTTGGAGTAAAGTACTTCTCATCTAATCAGTAAGACCTTCCTGAAGGAACTCACTGAAAAGAACTGTGACTTCAAGGGAAGTAGGAGAGCTACCTCAAAATAGCAAGGGAAATGTTCATATAAGTGTGAGAAGATCATTCTTTGGCCATAGGGCATTATTACAGTGTGGTATCCTTTTTCCGTTTCTGCCGTTTGATTAAAAAATATATATATCCCTGTAGTCATTTTCTTCTGATTTGTGGTTAAGGGATATGAGCTTTCCTTCTTGAGTATTTCAGGTACTGGACGAATAAATACTATGGTGTGCATTATTAGAGCTTTATAGTGTTTCTGTTCTTGTATATAAACAGGCAAAACACTAAAAGGCAGGAGTTGCCTTTGATGTCTTATGCACGCCTTGACTTCTAGTTCTGACTTCAGATTTTCAGCAAGATTTTGGCATTTAGAAGTTGCTTCTTCAGTATAGATTTTCTGGTATTTTTTATGGAACAAGATCTTTTCTTCAGTCACAGCCTTCATCTGTTTTTCCTTACTTTTCTCCCATAACTTCCAAAGAAATTTGTTTTCTTATTCAAGTAAGCAATGGGTTAAAAATAACCTGACAGCACAAATATAGGAAAGGAGCCTCAGAAGCAGATTTTTACCCAAAACCATAAGCATACAGGGTGTAATTTCATAGGAAACCAAACTAAAAGGAGTGTAGGATGTTGTACATGATATCAGGACTCATGCATGCTTATCAGGTCTATTAAAATAATAATTAAAAAAAAAAAAGTCAGCTATTGGAATTATAACATTTTTTATCTGTTCAATTTCACTTGATTTTTTTGTTTTCTAGCTCCAAAACCCCCACTTCCAGAGCCTAAAACTTCTAAGACTGTTGAACAACAAAAAGCAACTTTAGGTAATACATACTTACGCAGCTATTGGTCAATCTTCTCTGCAGCCCAAGTCACAGCTTGAACTCAATTACTTCATCTCATAGCTTCTTTTGTTTATAATCCATTTCTTTTAGAGAAAAAAAAAGTTAGGAAATAATCATTCTGAAGTACATTTTTCAGAACTTAAAAGAAAAAGTACTTGAAGTTTTTTGTGACCTTACTAGTTCTATAGTACAGTAACATTATTGGATAGCAGAATATCTTCCATTTTGTTGAGAGTGATGCTAGTAGAGCAGCAACACATTTTACCCTCAGAAAATCATTAGAAATTCCTTAGCATCATTACTGAAAGACTAAGTAGAAGGCCCTTGTTATGACTGTTAATCCTAGAAATCTCAATGAATGATTGCTGTGGCACTATGTAGATATGTTAATTCTGCTGCTCTTTTATGAATCCTTCATGAATGTTAGTTTGGCTTCAGAAGCACTTCTCAGCCATTTCACATTTCTTACTCTAGTCTGTTCTTTCTGTATCATATGCTTTTCTAGTGTGTGTCTACTACCCTGAAGTATTTGGAAACTTCTTTGAAAGGAGTCCCATTGCAATCCTTTATAAAACTGAATTAAATTACGTACTATAGTACCTGATACACACCTTAAGCTTTATTTGATGTCAGATTAATGGTCATTAGCTAACTATACTTTCAGCTCACAGAAGTTCAGGGAAAAGAACACTTCCAGGTTTCTGTTTGCTTTTTATTTTATTTTTTTTTTCAATTTAGATGAAATTGTTTCTGTTTTATCAACAGAATGCAATGAATACAGTTATGGAGCAACTTCCTTTTATAACACTGAATTTATACTTCTGCTCCCTTCCAGTGATTTCATTACTGTTGAAAACTGAGACTATTTTTGCAGATTTTGTTTATGTTTCGATGACCAAGAGAAAATTTTAAGATTGACCAAGAGAACGAATTATTTTTCCTCTTACCTATCTTACAAAAATGAATTTTATGTTTTAATGAGGAAAACATTTTGATGTGATTGTAAGCTGTACTTGCATCTCTTCGATTTACTTACTGACTTTTGCAATGATGAACAAGCAGGTTTTAGGGGAGGGTTTTGTGAAGCCTTTTTAGCAAATTAGATTTTGCCATTTGCTTTTGCTCCAGTTGCCATTTATTGCTTCATTTCTGCCTTGGAAAATGTGATTCTTATGTGACACGTTAGAAAGAATCATCTTATAATCCAGAATATTTTTTTCAGCTCCCACAGAAGCAAAACTCACACCTTCTGCATCTAAACCTAGACCGCCTGGCAGACCCAGAAAGCCACAAATTAAACCTGGTAACTAGCTTCCATACCAAACATTCGCTGTACCTTATCATTTAAATAGTTTCATATACTTTAGTTTAAATTCATTTTGTGTGAAGTTCAGCACCTTAGATTCAGAAAAAAAAATAGGCAGTGAGGGAAGCTGTGCTCTTTGAGGAGTATTTATATTGTTGTGTATATATATATATATATATATATATATATATATATATATACAAAAAAAAAAATTGAAGCAAAGTCAAGAGACTTTTAACTTTGGTCTTATATCTCAAATCACCACGCTGCACGGCCTTGTGGAAACAAATTGTTTTGCTGTTTTTCATTTCAAAATGAAAAATTTTTTGACTTGGTTTGACACTGAATCTAGAAGATGCACATTCTCTTTTTTTGCTGGTGGATGTAGCATTTTACCTAGAACTGTAGGATTTCTGTTGATCCAGTGATCATTAACTCATACATAGGCTTATCTGAAACTGAATTAGGAATGAAATGCTGATCTGGAATTTAATGAAGGCATATTTTATGGTGGCAAATGAAATCAAAAGTTACCTGGCCTGCCCAGAGGCTGAAGAATAAGTGAATAGTTTCGTGTGGTTTATAATGAAGTTCAAAAAGTGTGTTGTGAGAACATGTTACATAATCATGGAACATCTTAATCGATATTATTTATTTTTTTCCAGATTCCAAGTAAATTAGTCCCTGTTATTTTTGCTCATAAAAAGAATTACTCTCTTCAGACCCAATAATTCCTTGTGAAACTTGTTAAATAAATGATATTTATGCATTGGAGGTTTTTCAAATTAACATGCATACTTATTTTTTCATTGTGGTTACATCTCCTGCAACATTTTTAGTGTAGAAATTCAGTATTGTAATATTATAATCATTAATTTCATCTCTGCCATAGATGTCTATGTATATCTGAACATAGACATCTTTTCTTGAAATGACAGAGAAAAAACTCCTTTGGAAAATGTTGAATAAAATTGTTTTACATCTTTGTGCCATCAACATAAACTGGTATATTGATGTTTCTACATCAGTGGTTGATTGCTCTGAGCTACTATATCGCTACAGAGAAGGCAGCATGTTTCTGTATTTGTATATATGCTTCTTGTCTGTCATTTCTTTGTTAGTGATAAAATTGATCAATCCAGATAGAATCCTAAGAAACACTACTCTTTATCCACCAGTGTTTATTTTGGAGAAGACTAAGGGTAGGTATCTACTCTCTACAGCTATCTGAAAGGAAATTGCAACAAGGAAAGTACCAGTCCATTTTCTCAGGTGATGAGTTAGAGAAAATTGCATCAGGAGAAGTTTAGATTGGATATCTGAAAGGATGTTTCCATGGAAAGGCCAGGCTTTGGTAGGGGCAGCTCAGGGATGCAGTGAATTCCCCATACCTGGATGTATTTAAGAGACAAGTGGACATGGCACTAAGGGACATAGATCAGTGATGCAATTTGGGAGGCCAGATTGATGGCTGGACATGATGTTGGAGGTCTTTTTTACAACCTAGATGATTCTATTGTTCTGTGACCATAATTAAGCCTGTCACTATCCTGTGAGAAGGTATTTGCTACTTTGGCTTGTTCTGACGAGACAAATGATATTCAGAAATGATTATTTGAGGCATAAAATATATAATACATAGAGATTACACGGGTTTTGGTTAGGTGACTTCTGAAATATAGTCACATGAGAGAACTATGCCTTCTCTGACTATGATTTTTTTTCTAAAAACTTGGTGCATGTCTGTCATATTATTTTCTGTCCTTCTAAGTTTCAGATTACTTGGCTGCTCACTGCTTACAACCCAGTAACCTGGTAAACAATTTAATAATATTGAGGGTAACATGCCAAAGTCCTATTGCACTGTCTGGGAGTTTTATTTAGATGCTCTGCTTTCAGAAAGGTCAGAGAAAATGAAGAGCATTAAATTTCCTCCAGTCTTATTCCCTTTTCATCCTCCTTCTGAGAAACATCATCTCACAACTCTACCTTTTCTTTTTACCTAGAAAAATTTACATAAAATGTGAATTGTATATCTATTAGTGAATTTTTAAAACCTGCTGTAGAAGAGCATCCAACTCTTTGTTTATCCCTTTCTTCAAGGGATAAACCCTCTGCTTGTTTTATCCATATCCAATAATATCTCATATTAAACCCCCTGCTCCAATTTTCTCTGCTTATTCATTTAAATGACTGCAGGTTGTTTTCTAAATTTCATTTATTCATTGATGAATGTGTATCTTTTATGGGATACCACTTACTTTCAGCTAAAATACTGATTTTTACAAACCAGTTTTTTTCCCAGTACCCAAAACCATGTTCCAGTGCTTTTGTAGGGTTTCCTGGTTTCTGTTACATTCTTTCTATTGTTGCCAACAAGTTTGTGCATTATTTCTTAATTGATCCTGTATTATTAAAAAGCTTAATTGTCCATAGCTGAAAAAAAGTTGATTTGAAGGTAGGCATTACTGTGGTGCTGTATCAGCAGCTGCTTTTGTACTAATCAGTGGAGTGATTTTACATTTTTTGCAGTACATTCCATACTTAACTTGTCACAATGTTTCTGTTGCAGTGGTGGAATCTATTACACTTAGAGTTGAACCACCAAGGTCAACAATAGGTAATGGTACTTCTTTGGCAAGCTGTAGTTTTTGGGGTCTTTTTTTGTCACAGAAAGTGGCACCAAAGTTAATCATCTTATGTTTTAAGATAGATTCATTAAACTTCATTTTTCTTCTAGGTATTTCTTGTTTGGTATCCATGTCTGTTGGTCATATTGCTAACTTCACAATTGAAATTGAAAAGCCTACTTTTTGAGAAAAAGAGGCTTGCAGCTTTGAATGACCTTTGTCTTAATTATGCTCGTCCGTGTCAGTCTCAGTTTTTCATTTAAAAAAAAAAAATCTGGGCTTCTGTAATAACCAAAACTTCTATCTTTTGCTTAGGCTGTTGTAAACACGTGGGTATTATTATCAGACTTTCTTTCCTGTTTCCTATAAAGAGAATTCTCTGTTGCAGGTGTGAGCATTCTGTGTTTGTGTGTTCAACTCGATATCAGATGCTGATTGCTCAGTGAATTAACCAACTTATTACCCACCTTTTCTCTTCCAGCTCCAAAGGAGTTTCCTCGCATTCCTTCTAAACCTAAACCTTCACCCAAACCTCATATTCCACAGGCTAAAGATGGTAAACTGCTTTGTGTGATTATTTCTAACACAGCATATATTAGATTGAAATGTATTTCTGTGCAACTACTTATTTATTTGAACAAATTAAATCATAATCAGATTCTGTTGTGCTGTCTATTCAGTGGTATGTTTGCAATTTTCAGAAATAACAATGTTATTTTTAAATTCATGCCATAGAGCTAAAGTGTAATAGCACAATATGCAGTAATGCTTTTTAACAGCATCCAGAAAGCAAACAAGTGTTCTCCAAGTCCAGTTTTGTATACAAACAGCACTTGAAATATCTCACAAAGGAGAGAATTTTCTATCCTTAAAAAGCCATTTTGTTAATAAGTTAATGATAGATATTTGGATATCTCACTACAGCCAGTTGGAGAACTAAGCTCACACTGAAGAAGAATTTCCTCTTTCACTGCTTATTTTCTCAGTGACTTCATTTAATATAAAAGTTTTTGTATGAGGCAGTAGATTACTATAGAAATAATACTAACTATAAGTGGGGGTATTCTCTTAAATTTTTAGAACAGCTTTTATGTTTTGTTTTTCTTGATACAGTCCTGGAATCTGTAACGTTTAGAACTGATCAACCAAAACCAACAATAGGTAACAGTTCTACCTAAAGTGATCATCACATTTAGAATACATATTGTGGCTTTGCATGGTTAGAACAAATACTCAGTAGATGTCTAGCATCACAGGTACATCTTCATTGTACTTTACTGTCATGATTTTTACTATTAAATTTCATCCTTATGTAATTTGATTTTTTTTGTGTTTGTGATTTTACACTAACAATTCATATTCATCTTGTTTGGTTTTCCTCACACAAGTATGTTCTGTAAAGCGACTGGCAGCACCACAGTTTTACTTTGATTGTGTTTCATTATGCTTAGTTTGTGTCACATACTTCATCTTTTCTGCTAGTCTCCAAGTCAGACATCCATCCTGGCCTTGCTCCTCTTGATTCTATTACAGAGGCTCCCCACCAGCAGAATTTCTTTGTGTAGCAGGCATTCATACTTCTTCTTATTTGTATAAGCTTTTTTTGTATCCAGATTCCAAAGACGTGTTCAGGGTTTCCTTGTTGGTTTCTTGTTTGTTTATCTGTTTGTTTGTTTGAAATGTTATGCCTTCTGACAGTCTTCTGTCAGGAAGATATTAAAAGTTGCATTTGTTTTATTCCAGTTCCAAAAGAATCACATCGTATTCCTTCCAGACCTAGGATACCACCAAGCTCAGAGGTGCCACAGACCAAGCCTGGTAAGTACATTGTTTCTTATTTTATGCTGGTATGTGTATCTTACAAATTTTACCGTGATCAGTAGAGTTTCAGATCCATATTTATCCCTTGGGTGTTTATGTTGGTGCATTCCAGTATCATATATCATAAGAAGTGGAACCTGTAAGCAAGTTTAAGTTTTCTATCTTAGTTCTTTCTTACATTTTAAGTCACTGCAACATTTTTCTTTGCAGAAAATAGCTCTTCTTGGTTTGAATTTGGATTGGTTTAGGGATAGATGAAAAAGAAAGTGTCATTGCAAAGAGGAAGTGAATTTTTTCTGTATTTCTCAAACTGTATAAATGTGTTTTCTTTCCTAAGCACAGTCATTCTTTCATTCTTTTCAGTTACTTTTGCAGAAGCTTTATTTTATCTGTGCACTTAAGAATGTACAATATTTTTCAAAATGTTGCTCACACAGCTTGATATATAATAATATATGACCATGTCCTTATCAAGGGTGGAGGAAGAAGGTTAAATAACTCATGCTAGCAATTGCAGGATGTATTGTAGAAAGTTGACCTTGCCCATTAGCTATGTATCCACCAGTTTGCTCACCACTCTGACCCCCTGCAGGTTTGAGGAGAGAGCCAGAAAACAAATAAACAAAAAGAACAGAACAGTGATTCAAGATAAAATGTAAAAAATGAGAGAAAAAGGAGGAAAAACAACAGATGCAAACACACTCAGTCACAAACTAATGCCAGAAGACCAACACCTAGGAAGCCCACAAGCAGTGGCTCCTTCGAAAAAATTACCCACCAATTTTATTGCTGACTGTGATGTTAGATGACATGAAACAGTCCTTTGGTCAATTTAGTTCAACTGTCAAAGCTGTGTCCCCTCCCAGCCTGTTGCCTAACTTCAGCCTACTTGTGTGGTGACTGTGTGAAAAACAGGATCTGCCAAAACATTGGTTTGTTGTTAAGACTGACTTGGTCACAAATTTAAAACAGAGCACCTCAGGGACTGCTATGAAGAAAATAAACTCCTTCCCAGCCAGAACTAGTGCAAGCATCCAAGGTATTCACAGCATTAGGTGGTGCTGCTGGGAAAATGGACAGAATGATGAGGACTAAGATTCCTTTTTGCCCTGCTAAGTCTGCACCCATTGTTTGAATTAAAAAATAAAAATAAGCAAGAAAAGAGTGCAAAGTTTAAAATGGAATACCACCCACAATTTCTTGGTGGCTTATTACAAAATTTACAGATATATATTCAGAGCTCAAATCTGTATTAGAGCTATCACCCTAAAGGCAATTTTTGAGATGCATAATACTGTTGAGTATTGAGTTTCAACGAGGAGAGGCCGTCTCTCACTAGCTGTAGGAGGGATGACGTGATCATTGTGGAGGTGCTGCCTGCAATGTTTTGATTGTTCTTAGTAAGAGTTATTTTGTTGATTTCTAACGCAGCTCTGGAACCAATTACGTTTAGAACTGAAAAACCAAAGTCAACGTCAGGTAATGATACATTCTTATTTGCATATCACCTTGTTTTTCTTTTACAACACAGGTCGTTATAAGTATACCTGCAAATAATTTTAATAAATTAATTTAATAATAGATTGAATAATTTAACAGTCAAGATTTCAAGAATTCAAGAAGGGTCCTCATGCCAATCATGTTTTTAAGCACATAGGATAGGGTAATTTCTTTTGGCATTTAAAAAGGTCTGAGGACAGATCATAGCAGGTTCCTAACTACAGTATAACACAGTTATAATGTAAAGGTGACACTGTTCTAGTTAGACACATGAAATTGAGTGAGCAAAGCTGCCTGCTGTCAGTTTTCTTTCTTTCCTCTCCATCTCCTCCAGATTTTATAAATTCAGTCATTCACGGATCTAATTATTCTAAAAAATAGTTCTGTTTCTCTTAATTATCAATTCCACTGTCAAAACAAAATCACTTCAGTGATCTTTGGGATATATGAGGCAGAGCCAATTGTCTAAGGCATTTTTATTTGCTTGAATGTAGTACTGAGAATTATTCTGGTACAATTTCATTACAGCACAGTGGTGTCTTTGTATTTGAAACTTCTTCTATTTAGTAGTTTACCTTCTAAATAGAAACAATAATTCTGTCACATGCCTTCTTAATGATATGTCATAGAGAAGTATTTTCTCTGCAGCATGTTGTTCCAAAACAAACCCCTCCACCTTTTTTACACTGTTTCCATACAAGTATCATTGGTTCAAATCTTTGCTGTATTTGTACTGACTGCTATGGATTGCAGTGAACAATGATGCCTCTGAAAATGTTAACATGGTGTAACCCAGTTTCTTTCAGTTCCTAGAGAGACACGTTATGGGCCTTCCAAACCCAAAACATCTCCCAGTCCACGTGTTCCTCCAACCAGAGCAAGTAAGCTTCTCAGTATTTTGCATTTTAGCGTATGAAAGTTTTTGCAGTTTGAAAATTGACAAAATATAGGGATTTTTCAAAAATACACAAATCTTTATTGAATAGGGTATGTTTTACTGTTGTAATGAAGTGTTGCTATAAAGCTGTCATAAAACAAGACGTATATCTGTGTGCATCAGTAATTTGTATGAGGGTTGGAGTATGGGGGTTAAACACTCTCATATAAAGCCCCTGGAAGTTGGAAAACCTGGGTCTGAATTTCCTTAAGATATGAAAGACGTCCTTGTATTTTCTCATTTACAGAAACAAAATTACAGTACTTCCTTGTTCCCCAATCTTCACTTTGGGGTTATCTCTGTCCATTGGAAAGTTAGTGGTAATTTTCCATGTTTCTACTTCGACTGCTTGATGTTTTTTAATGTAAGATTGATCTAAGCAAGCAACAGATTTTTGGAATATGATATACTTGAAGTGCAGCTAGGAAAATTGTTAGAACTACAACAGTTTACTCTGTGAAAAGATCTATTTGAGATAACTGGGATGAGAGGAGGGTTAATCCAACAGTGCACTGTAACAGTCACTTTGTCTGTAGTCTCAGCACTAACATTTACTTCATTGGCAAGAGGTTTCTGTGATTACTAGCAAATGGAAAAAATACTTCCTAAAAAAATTTTTTTTGCAGAAAATTAATGTCCTGAAAGGAATATCAGATAGACTTATGATTTGTTTTTGTCTTCATTACTGTGTTCAAAACTTGGCTCATCTTCACAGGTCCAAAAGAAAGTCGACGAGTCACTGCCAAGCCTAGAACATCACCAATTCCAGATTTACCACACACAAAACCTGGTAAATAGATACATGTTTTGTCGTACTTAAATGTTCAGACATTCTTTAGGTTGTCTTTTCTCAGTGTCAAGTGTTGATTAACATCTCTTAATATTGCAAATATATAGATTTTCTAATGAGCATTAAATACATGCTTAAAGAAAGAGAGACCTGATTTAAATATTTAATTATTGAGTTTTGATGAGTTGTATATATATGCTTTTCAATCACATGACAGTTGTCATTGATGAATAATTTGTATAGAAGGTTAAACAACATACAGCCCTTTTAAGAGTATACTTGGAAGAAATCTCCTCAGTCTTCTTTTCTGATCAGGTGTCCTCATAATGGAACTAGATCCTTAAAAATATACCTGGTAGGGATTGATATGTCAGTGAACTACCAAATCTCCTCTTTAACATATAATGGTTCTGAAGATATCAGTTGAAACTTCCTTTATAGGGAATATATATTCACTATTATTTTTTCCAACTTAAGAATAAATTGGTTAAAGGGAGTATATTTACCCTTTTAATTGTATTTTCTGCTAACTGTGTACGTTCTTGTTTTTATGAGGTGCTGGCACATATTACATTTACAGCTGAGCAACCAAAGACAAGTAGGCAACTTTGGGCTGTTTGCTATTATTTTTTTTTCCCCTGCTGTTCGTTGACCAAAGATTATAAATTATTATTCTGTTTTTTACATTATTTGTTTGTAGTTTTGATTTGGTTACATAATACTAGTCTGTTCCAGATATTCAAAGATTCCTAGCTGTGTTGTCTTCACAAAAATATTCTCTCTCTTCCACACATTGCAGTTTCATTCTGTGGCTATCGCAGTTGTCAGCTTTGTAATACAAATGGAAACATCTCAGCTATGGCTGTCTGTGTTCTTTACAGATTTTTTTCCTTGGCTCCAGATGAGACTTTTCTTACTCGATCACTTTTCCATGTTTATTTTCATTCATGGTTGTCTTTTTCCCTTTAAGTTTCAGCATGTCACATCTCTACATTTTTCAATCATTCATGCAAAGATGTTGTTTTTCCTTGCAGGTATTGATTTCTAAAGAGCACACACGCTTAAAACTGGTCTTTTCTTTCAGCTCCTAAAGAAACACAACAAACTTCCTTTAAACCTAAACCAGCTCCCATTCCAGATGCTTCACAACGCAAGCCTGGTAAATTATCTTCTCTTTTATCAAGCTATGGTCAAAAACTGAACACTGGCTTTTGGGAAGGGTGCTGGTGTAGATTTCTCAGTAGTACATTTGCTGCTTTGTAGTATTCTAACTTAAGAAACATCTGCAGTACTGTGGATAACTCATACAACTGTTGGAAACAACAACAGTTCCCAGGTTGTTTTATTTTTTTTAATTGGTATTATGTGGACATTACCAGAAGAAATAATAATGACCCATATATTGTAAAGAATGATACAAAGTTATTAACAGCTTGCATCTCAGCAACATTTTAGTTATTTGCATTATGTATTTTAAGCTCTTTTGACAGAAGCCTTTTGGGGTTGTTGCAGTGCTTTCCCTTTATATATAAGCGTTTTTATCCAGATGAGGCTAAGACTTCCCATCTGTTTTACTCCATTTGGGACATTTTTCAACATAAATCTGGCTAACTTATGTAAGATCATCACTGCTTTCACTGGAGGGTTGCAAAACAAAAACAAAAATGGAACTCTTCATAACCAAAAATCTCTGAGAGGATATGTCAGTTACTGTTGTAAAACACACCTTTCCTGCTGTATATAGTGTGCTACTGAGAGTTGCTTTTAAAAAGGTAGAGGTAGGAAGAGAAAGTATCTTCATTATTCTGAGCATTTGTCCAAATTTTTTCCAACAGGAATCATTCCATCCTTCCGTGAACCTGATTCTACTATGATTCCTCAAATGCCTCAAAGAATAAAACCAACACTGGGTAATTGTGTATTTCATAAATAATTACTCTGTTTTCCATTTTTGCTGGATAAATGGTTGTGCTTTGGTATTGATAGCAACAGTAACACATGAACTAATTTAAAATTTGCTTTTGAAGGTTCTTTTCCTCATCTTCTAGCCATTCCAATAAGGAGGATATAATTCCCTCAGTTGTTACATATTCTCCTGTAAAAGGGGCTTTATTTAAAGAACAGATAGTGATTCCTGACTTTTCTGCATCTGAAGTATGATGCTGTTATCCTAAAATACTGCTCTGCTTTACTCCTCATTATCTAATTTTACAGAGAAAACTGCAAGAAAATTTTAAGTGTCAACTATAGCACAACCTGCACCAAATTGTACCAGCTACGTGACTGCGTGACAAGTCAAGCACCAGTTCTTAAAACCATCTTCTCTTTTACCTTCTAGTCATCTCTGTTGGGAAAACTTTCTTAAATATATTTAAGACATATATTTAATATATTAATGCATTGTCCTCATAATTATTTTTTCTTACTTGCCAGATGTGGACTAAATAAGGGTGAATTAATCAAAGCAGGATTGGGCAGTAGGAGTATTGATTCAGTAATTGTTGCTAATAACGAGTTCTGTGTCCCCACTTTCAGAGAAGATGTTGACCAAGATTTTCTGAGAGTGAAGTGGCATCATTATTGAAGTACTAACAGCCATTCAATAATCTTTGAAATTTTCCTCTTTGATGAAAAGGAATTCAAAAATTCTTTTCATCACATTCAAATTTTAATATATATTCCCCCTATACATTGATACTTAGATTAGTGTTCATTTTATATCTTTACATATTTTTATAAAGTTTATGTGTTTTTTTTATACACTTCTGGGGACACATGATACAATCTATATGCAGAATACATGTGAAGAATGTAAAGGGTAAGGTAGATTTTTTTTCTGAGGACCTCTCACATTGCTGTGGATAATGGACTTTCAAATGTTTGCTCTAAGTGCTAAAATACCTTTTGCATTAAGTGATCATTCAATGACAAGAATTATAAGAATAGAAAAGTTCCTGTTGGAAGGGACCTATACAGATTATTGGTTCCAACTCCCTGTTGCTTCAGGGCTAACAAAAAGTTAGAGCATGTATTATGAAGGGTATTTTATCCAAATGCCTAATGAGCATGAACAGACAGGAGGCATCAATCGCCCCCTCTAAGAAGCTTGTTCCAGTGTCTGACTACCTTCTCAGCAAGGACATTTTCCTTAAATCTGATCTGAATTCCTCTCATGCAGCTTTGAGCTATTCCCACACTGGATACTAAGGACAAAAGATGCCTCCATCTCCACTTCCCCTCCTTGGGAAGCTGTAGAGAGCAATCAGGTGAAAACAAGGAAGTTAATTTACAAATCAAGTTTGACACAAAGGGCCAATGAAAAATAGGTACTATCCTCAGGTACTTCTGTACATTACACAGGGAAGTACATTACTAATGTGTGTTTTTGTCCTATTTATTTACTGAATGCTGATGTGACTGTATTCTTCACTGATATATTCAAAGTAACAAATACACATTGATTTATTGGCAAGTGTTTGTACTAGTGGCTGTTTCATTTCTTTGCAGAAATTCCAACTGATAGATTTTCAGCTTTAGACTTACACTTCCTTGTGTTCTATGATGTTCCTTATGCACTCTGAAAATAGGGGGGGGTTGGTTTGTTTCATGGTGGGTTTTTTTGTTTGTTTTGTGTTTTTTTTGTGTGTGGGTTTTTTTTTTTGTTTGTTTGTTTGTTTGTTTTGTTTAAAAATATTTGATTTATTATTTGGGGTGTTTTTGTTTTTGTTTTTTTAATTTCAGCTGCAACTGAAAAACCATTCATTCATACCAAACCAAAAACATATGAAAAACCAAGAGTGCCATACACCAGACCTGGTAATGAAGTCATTCTTGTAATTTTGTTGGTGTTATTGTTTGTATTTAACTATTCTTTCTCCCTAGCCTGAGTTTTCGTGCTTTTTTTTTTTTAATCACAAATATTCATACCTGTTTTTGTGCTTCATCAAATGCATTGCCTTTAGGTCAGTCAATTCAAAATATGTCAAAACTACAAGTCCAAGTTACACTGCAAATAATATTAGTAAGTATAGTCTAGCATTGGAAACATTTTTCCTGCTTTCTATTACACTCAGCAAGTGATGACTGAAATGTAGTAATTGGAGTGCTGACAAATTTCAGTGGCTTAAATACAGTTTTCTCTTACAACTAGAGAGGCTCTTCGTAAGCACATTTTTCCCCCGTAAAATTCTATATTACTCCTTTGAAATATGCTTATACATTCAGCAAAGGATGTGTTATACTGAAATGAAGTACTCACAAAATAGTTAGGGTAGCCCTTGTCTCTTCCTGTTTTTGTTAAGAAATCAGTATTACAGGAGAACTTACTGGAAAGATACTGCGACCAGTTGATATTTAAGATATTCTGTTACTTTTTAGTTTGGGATGTTTTTCAAGTTTTACAGATAGTGAAATGTAATTTATTTCCATCACAGTTCAACATTTTGATATTTTAATATAAAAAACATATAAATATTTTAATATTTTAAGCATCTCCACATTTTCTCCCTTAACAGCAGTACATCAAACAACCCCGCAAACAATTATCACAAAAACTTCCACCACCACTGAGCAGTCAAGGGCAACAATGGGTAAATAAATTTCTTTAATCTTAAGATGCAGATATTTACAATTTCTGAATTGAGAAATTTCTAGAGAATGTGCTCTTGTGTGTATTTTATGAAACATCATGCTACTGTTCTTCATTCTGCTTGCATACACATTTCTGGATACAGATGAGTCTCACTTCTATCCTAGTCAGAAGACTTTATCAATTGCTCAATTAAATTCCATGGTCTAATTTATTTATTTTTTTAGAGCAAGAATTTTAGCCATTGACTCAACATACCCTACCGCTCAAATCTAGATTTTTTCTGGGTTTTGAATAGCCATCTTGTTTCAGGTTCCAGGAAACCATGAAATTGTTATTGTCTTTTTTTCAGGCGTTTGAGGCATGTGTTTTTGGTGGGCGAAATACGGTGTTGAATTGTGACTCCTAAAGAATACAGTAACAATATTTTTCCTTTTTTTTCAGCTCCAAAAGAAACAATGCTCCTTCCTTTCAAACCTAAATCATCTGTTGAGACAGAAGTACCACAGACTAAACCTGGTAATTAAAAGTTTTTAACTTTCAAAGTGTTACTGTTGTACTGAGTTATAATTTTTGCCGCGATTCCTTACTGCAGTGATATGGCACGCACAATATTTAGAGATAAATTAGCATCGTTGTTTGGCTCGCAGTACATCAATAGATTACATCAAAAATAATGCCCCAAAAGGGCATAAAATACTTGGGACACACAAATAAAGATGTATTTTCTAAAGGTTCATTTTTTTAATTGGTGGATAGAAGACATTTAAAATACGAGGAACTTGATTGATTTTGAATGAGAGTATACTACTGTAGCTGGCTTCACTAAGTTTTTTAGGAAGTTTATTACAGAAAATTAATGTGCTTTATTTTTGCAAGTTCTCTTGAAACTCAGACTACAGAATCTTGGTCAAAGATAGGTGATAGGAGTAGAAGTACTGTCTTCTGATCAGTGCAGTAATTACAGTAAATTTAGAGATCCAAAGTTATAATGAAGCATACATAGTATAACAACATCACCCTTTGTGTGAACTATTTCCATAAAAATAACTTGGTAGAACAGTTACAGCACAGAAAGAAAATAAAGGAAGGAGTGACAGCATAGATCTTAATTTTTTTTAATCCATAATTCTCAACTGTCTCCAACTAGTAATACCTTTTTTTAGGTAAGTTGATGAACAGTTTTATCATTCCCCTTTTTTTTTCCTGAGAGTTCTTATGTAGCTAGAAACAATTTAAGCACCATTAATTAAAAGAACAATACCTATATTTTGTTGTGAAAATCAAATTGAACAGTCCAGCAAAAAGACTTATTTTCTAAAGGATTATTTTGAAAAACTCTCTGTAATTAGCTAGATTCTAAGTCTCAATTGAACCCATTTCCAATCATATAGTATTTAACCAGTATCATATTTTGGCACCACTGCAAAGCTTGGTTTAATAAAAGAATTTTAGAAATTGCAGCTTAAGTAGTTACATGTTTTCCTTCTAAAATTTAGTTCACTTTACTGACTTTTACACAAAATAGAGGCTACTGTTATCGTGAAAATTGATAAAAACAAGTGGCACTATTTGGTCATCACTATTTATACTAATAAGTAGGTTATTTTCCAGCTTCTGTATTCTATTGTTATTTCTGAAAGAAGCAAAAACTCATACAGAGTGTTTCTGCTTTCAAGTCTCTCCTTTTCATCCAATAACTTAGATATTGCTGACAAAATTTTGTCATATCTGAGTCAGGATCATAGAATCATATCATAGAATCATAGAATGGCCTGGGTTGAAAAGGACCCCAATGACCATCTGGTTTCAACCCCCTGCTGTGTGCAGGGTCGCCAACCAGCAGCCCAGGCTGCCCAGAGCCACATCCAGCCTGGCCTTGAATGCCTCCAGGGATGGGGCATCCACAGCCTCCTTGGGCAACCTGTTCAGTGCATCACCACCTTTTCACCAGAAAAGAATGCCTTAAAGATAAATATGTTAGGAAAGCACAAGTTAGTGTCCACCATTAGGATTTCTGCTCTGAAACTGAAGGCCCAACAGAACACTTGCAGTGCCTAGCTGTCAGTATGAAAATACATCCAGGCTAATTAGAGCGCATGCTTATTTCCTGTCACTAAAAATTGTCTTAGCAGACTTGTAGATAAATTTTCATGAAACACACTAAAGATGAAAGATACTTAAATAAATCCAATGTCATTGATTTCATTTCTCACAGAGTAATGTTTTATTTCTCATAGCTCCAAAGACAACACACCTGGGATCAATTAACCTTATAACAGTTCATGTTGTTGATGGGTCCAAAATGACTTTGGGTAATGAAAATATTATGTCAGATTATTTTTTGTTTATACCTTTCCTTTCTCTGCTTTTCTATATGACTAAACTTACACTTTAGTCAACAGAAATAACTTAAATATATCTCTGCCTTGTTCATTTGTTAGTCTTACTCCAGTGCATGTACAAAATATTGATGTTTTTAATTTTCCTGGAACTTTCCTGACTTTTGGTTGATATTCCTTATAAACATTCTCATACATGAGGAGTCATATAAAAAGACATTAGCTGCTCATCTTTTCCACCGTCTTTTGATTTATTAATTGTGTACATCTTCCCAGTCTTTAAGTCTTTGCATGAAACCCTGATTATCAGCCAGGTTTCTACCACTGACTTTTTTTGTTTATTGTCTGCACTCAGTTTAAATTTCTCTTCTACCTGTGGTGATTTGATGTTTAAAAGAAATAATTTCCAGTTGATAAGCAATGAAATCTCCTATTTCAGTTCCCAATGAAACGTATCAGATTTCACCCAAACCCAAAACTGCTCTCACTACTGAAATTCCATGGTTGTATACAGGTAATTCTTATGATTTTCTGTGTTGCATTGACTACTTACATCTGCTAAGTAAAATCAATATGATTTAAGATTTAGTGGCTTATTCTTGTTACTCCTAAAGGCTTTTAAGTACTCTTGGCTTTATGTGTCTGGTCCTCCATTCAATAGTCTTGCAAACACAAATGTAACTGATTTCCACATTTTTCTTTCCAAAATACTAGATCTAAATTTTTGAAAAATTTCCCAACTATAACTGTCAAAAATGAGTAATACATTCTTTCCACAAGAAATGTTTTCTCAGGCACTTCAAAGAAGCTAGAGTAAGTGATGTTGATAGGATGGTTTTTAGACTCAAATATCAAATAGCTAGCTGTATTTATGTAAAGACATTTACCTCGAAGTTACTGAAGTCCATTATTTGGCATGAAATGACAGTGACAACTGCTTACATTTTTAGCTTTCAGTGAGATTCTCATACATACTGTAATAACTAAAATGTTGAAACTATCGGACAAATGAAAGGTGGCAGTAGGAAAAGGTTGAAGGCTTGTAATTTTAATCTTGCTGATGTTGCTATGTTCTACAGCTCTATATAGTGTCTGCATTGAATGCTTTTGTTTGTCTTCACAGGAATATTTCAATATTTCTTGTTTTGATCTGGATATTTGATTTGGGGAGATTCAGTTTGGTGTTTTATTTTGAGGTTTTTTGTTTGTTTGTTTTTTACAGAACCTAATTAATGTCTTAAGGCCATGGATACCTTGCAGAGCTAACTCTGTATCCATATACAGTTGGGTAACTGGCTGTAAATATTTTATATCTTTTCCTAAACCTAAACATGAATGTCACTGGTCAGACTGCATGATGGAGTAATCTGACCACTAAAGAAACTAGTGTGCATTTTGGATTGGAACTCATAGAATTCTCATTTGTCCATTTTGCTGTATCACTTTGGTGCATGGACCATTTTTTTGTGGCAAATTACGCTGCATTATTGATGTTGCTTTTACACATAGTATTTAAACTGAACTTTATTTCTTTTTAGCAGGACATAAAACACGTCTCACTTCTTTAAGACCAAGGCCATCTGATAAATCACAGGCCAGACCTGGTAATAATTATTTATTCTTTTTTTCTTTTTTTTTTTCTTTTTTTTTTTAATGGGATGGAGAAATCATTATTTAATGAATGATGTTCACTTGTTCTTAGAGGAATCTTACTTATTGTTGGGAAAAAGGCAAGTTTTTCTTCCAATTAACCAGTTTGCAGGTAAAGCCTTTCCAGTGTAGGAGAAGAAATCATACATACCACAACAGCAACTCTTAATTATTCTTCTCTAATATGGAATTGTTGCCATCACAAATAAGTCTGTTTGACTGTGTCGTCTTCTTACGAAACTTTTTTCTTTTTTCTTCTTTTTCTTACTGTTTTTTTGGCTTTTGATTTGTTTGTTTGTTTTAACTTCTTCTCAGCTCCAAGTAAAACCACAGTAGCACCAGCTAGAACAAAAGCACCTGGCTTGCCCAAGTGGATTGTGCCAACAACAGGTAGAGCTATTTTTTTTTTTTTAATGTATTAGGAATGTTACTTAATGAAATAATCTTGAACCCTGCAAAATACTTCATTACGTTTGATTTGAAGTTAATTCCTTAGAGTACAGTAGAATATAATTGCTGACTTTAATAATTCTATACTGTTCTTGAGTGCCATGAATACAGAGTTATGTTACAGTATACAGTATGTAAAAAATTTTCATTCTTCCGTATAGCAGTGCCCCGGTAGTGACATTTTTAGATGAAGTAGAAAAAATAATTAAAACAAAAGCCAGAAGTGTTAACATAATAACAGATATTTAACTATTTTAAGTGTTGTTTATTGTGCTTACTGCTATTTTAGGTCATTACTATAGTATTAATTTAAGCAATTTTTGTCTTAAATGCTTCATCTGGAGTACCCACTAGTCTTTATTTCTATGTCTTTACAGTAGGGCTACTTACCATCAAGAACTACTTTCACTGTGGTAGATGATGTCAGAAATCCTCACAAGGCTATATTACCTTGTTGTGTAAGCTGAGTATTCACAAGCAAACTGATACCTTCTTTTAAAGTTCTGAAAAATGACACTTTTGCAACACTTTCATTCCTCAGCTATTTAAGTCTTTTCCTCTAAGTGAAGACATCATGAGGAGATCTGTTAGCTAGATTTTGCATCCTGTCAAGTGGGTTCTTTAAGTTAAACAGGATGTCCAAAGTGCTAAAAAGGAGTGGACGTATATTCTCAACTTTTTATTTGTACATCTAGTCCTGCTGGCATAGCAATTCACTGATACCTTCTTATAACACGACATCTTCTCAAAAGTGCAGAGAGATCACTAATGAATTTTTCACAATCACGACATGATCAAAGAGGGCTGCAGCTTTTAGCAAATTCTTTTCATTCTCTACTATATTCTACCCTTGATGATCAGTAAGTAAAATTCCCAAACTTTCTGTAGTGCAAGTACATCACAGTATTGTGGCAAATGCAATATCTGAGCAACCCTCATAACCCTTACAACCCTCCCAAGAAATATGCAATTATGTGTTGCAAATGATCTCTTAAATCCACTGAAAAGACTTAAAAAAGAGAATTTGACTAACTTTGAACCCTAAATCTTACCGAGAAAAAAGTGATTTTTTTTTCAGTAGATGGCATGTTAGAGAAATTATAATACAAATTAATATGTTTTGATTATTTTTGAGAGTAGAGAAGTATATTTCTTCTACTATGAAAACAGTATGTTATTTTCTGTAGTTAGCTGATCAGAATTCTTTAACCTCAGGTGTAAGCTGTTCAGAATCCTTAACCAGCCTGTAAGAAACAATAAGTTTTCAAGCATTTAAACATTTTCTTTTTCTGAAGAGTACATTTGTTACTCTGTTGTTTTAAGACCAGATAGGACATTTTACTTCCATCAGGCATCAATGTTGAAAGTGCTCCAGTTCTTCTTCCTGAGCATACATGTTAGCATCAATGTTTCACCCCATGCAAAGTGTGCTTGGCAGCTGCAGGGCCCAGATGATAAGCTGTGGAGTTTGTTTTTTCCAGCAAAAGTGCATGGGACTGTGGTTGGTTTCCTGGCAGGCTTTTAATTCTCCTGGCTAGTTGTATAGGTAGCTGTTATGCCAGCTGGTTAACATGACTGTGGGAAAGGAGCAGGGGTTGCACCTTCTTGACTAGCACTCCTTTTTATTTTTCTGCCATGTTTTAAGTCATTTTAAATAAATTCTCTACAATTTAAAGACGTGGATTGTTGTATTTACTTCCATGTATGTAATATACCTTACCCAAGCATTATCTGGTTTAATTTTTAGCATTTAAAAACTTCTGGACAAAATTCAGCAAACAAAGTTTCAACAACATTTAGCCTCCGTTCTGAGAGACAGTTGGTTTTCATTGGAACAGACAGCAACTTTATGCTCTCCTTGGCTTTTATTTTTGAAACTGCGAGTGTATAGCAAAGTTCTACAGGAATTCAAATATTAAGGTGTAATGTGTAGATGCAGTACTGGGGAACTTGGTTTAATGGGCAGCATTGTTGCTAGATGGACATTTGGACTAGGTGATTTAGAGGACTTTTCCAACTTTAATAACTCTATGATTATATATGCTCTAATTTTTTATCAACAGCACTTTTCTACTTCTTCCCTTCTAATGGCATTCCTGCTTTTAGAGATGCATTAGTTAGTTTTAAGCTGTCTCAGACCCCATGCATGCTTAAAAAATAATAATTTAAAAAATTGTAACTTAGAGAAACATGGATACACATTCATCTAACGAAATTATTCTCAGTTCTATTACAAGTTCAGATGAATGTTGAAATGCTTATAATATGGCAGATAACATAGCCTGCTTAACACAAGTGCTATGATAAATACAGAAAGCTGTAGGACATTGCAGGTGCTTTGTGTAGAAACAGACAAACGTCAGTGATTTTGAAGAGCATTAAAGTACTCAAAATCGAGACTTTTGTCAAAAGGAGCATGTTTTACAAACCTCATGATGTTGCATGGTTCTGAACAAAATGTTTCTTCTGCCATCTGGAATGTTTACAACATTTTTTTTGTTGCTAGCTGATACAACTCAGAACAGATTGTGATTCCCAATTATATAGTTAAGAATAGAGGCAGGCTTTTTGAAGACACAGGTGCAGAACTAATTTAGACTTGTAATAGATACTTGCGTGCCTGGGTGATTTTGTGAGATTAGGCAATGTAATGATACATTTTGCTGAAGTATTTATTGTGGGGTAAAGTTAAGAAGTTAGTATGCTTTGCCTGATGCCTATGCTCTATAAGATTTCTTTTTCTTTTTAAAGCTAACACTGATGTTCTCATACACCTTCCTCAAATGCCATTCACAAGAAACACTGATTAGTGCTCTGGTGCTTTGTGTACCTGAAGACCTAATTAATTAACCACTTTAGTTACCTGAAGGCAAATTGCAATTATATTAAAATCACACAATATGTTTAGGATTTTCAGTCACAGGGACCAGAAGAACCACATCTTGATACAACTTACTTCAAGTCTCATTATTTTAACCTGTAGGGAATCATTTCATGTTTCCATACTGCTACTTTACTCTGTGAGAATACTGAGACTCAGTCATATTTTTAGAGTGCATACTTTCCATCCAATTCCACTTTTACTGTGGATTTCTAAGATATACTTAGCATCAATAGTGAAACAGTAAAATATATTTTAAAAAAATAGGTTCTTCATATGTTGAAATACCAGTGTAGTCAGTAACAAGTTGAAGACTGGATTATAAAAATATGAAAACCTTTGTCGAAATGTTTAGATCACATGGAAATAGGCTATCCAACTTGATCATTAATCTCTTATTTATTTTCCTTTTAGATTTCAAGGTTTTCTCTCATGTCATGAGAAAGGGTGAATTTTTCACAAACGTGATGATCACAATGTGTGATCTTCTCAGTCTACCATATTAAGAGATTTTCATAAAGTAAATACACTTATTTACTTTATCCTACGAATGGATAAAGGTTATCCTATGAATGTCAGCATGTGAAACAGTTGATCTTTACTAGAAGTTGCATTGATCTTTTTAATGTCATTTAATTTATTTATATTTTTAAAGCGTTAATATTCCTTTTAAGTAGGACATTCTTCTGTAAATAAACTGAATTTTATAGACACTTTGCCTCCAGTACTCCAAATATAGATTGTTTTTTTTCTGAATTCCTCTAGTTAGTCAATATAGACAACAACCAAAGACATTATTTTTGAGGAAAAGAAGAATTTCATCATTTACAAGAATCAACAGACATCCTCTGTGCTGAAAATCTGAAATGTTCCTTGTACTCATCTTTGCACTTATAATTTTGGTTTACATCATCAGTTTTCCCTTAATCTTATTCTCTATTTCTAAATATACCTTCATCAATGAATACTTAGAATTAAAGTGTAGACTCTCTAGATCAAGACTACTTTCTACTTACTTGAATAGGAAAATAAAATAGATATAACAAAGGTATCACTAAAAATACCAATTTTGCACTTCATGTTGGTGAGAGTTTGAACCTATACAATGTAGAATTGTTTCATAAGTCAGTACTGCCCTGTAGAAAATAGTTTATTCCCTTTCCCTTCACAGATGACATATATACACCTGAGGATATTGCCAGACATATTGGCATGGATGTAAAAAAACCTTTGGAATATATTGACACCTGGGAGAAGCCATTCTCTGGTAAGATTAACTGAAAAAAAAAGATACAGGGATTTCTAATAGCTATGAAAAATCAAGACATTACCTTTCTTACATAAAAACACCTCCGCTGAAGAAGAGAAATTATCAATCGTCATATTCATGCATATACTTCTTACTTCAGGATGGTTGTAAGAGATAAAAATAAGAATATTTTGTGGCCTCTTCTCATTCTGTGGCACATGTTTGCAACTATAAATTACCATCATCACTGTTTGTTTCACCCATTTGGTCAAACAGCCACAGTACTGTAAGCGCTGATTATTTTCATTCTTATATAGTCTAGATAGCAAGGGAGAATAGATAATCAAAATACATTCCCACTGATAAGAAGGTTTTGTTGGATGTTAGGATAGTTAGGAAAATTAGAATGCAAGGGATGTTGCAAAATACCAAGGTGGAGTGAAATAGCTTGAGTTTCTTTACATGTGCTCTCCCAGTCTTATCAGTTTTAACTCTCTTGAAAGAGAGACAATTGCATTTTCCAAACATTCAGAATATTTTAACTGAAGATATGCAAAAACATTGTATGTTATATGTGATATGTTATATCAGAATTTGGTTGCTTCAGCCTACGTGGCTGCATTTCTAGCAGAATACCAGTCTTTACACATGTCAATCCATACAGAGATTTTTTCATTTTTTTACATTAAAGTAGTATTGGATAACATATCTCTAATAATAATTCACCTTTGCTACATCTTACACTTCAATCTGGGGGGACTGGTTATATCAGTTAGAAAGTACAGAAGTAATGAATTCTGTGAGTAGGGCACTGAAGAAGTTTCCAACTACACTCAGATACTGTTTACTGTGGGAAGAAGTATCCCATTGGCTTCCAAAAAAAGAATGGTTGGCAGAAATGAGACTAACTAACTACACATAAAATGAACCTTCAAAGCATTTGTACAAAATCCTGGAGGATCTTTATATTATCACTGTAAGCTTGGTTTAAGGTACTATCACACACGCTTTCCAAAGAATTCAAGACTGAAAATACAACTGTATTTATTTTCGTGCTTCATGTCTTTGCTTTTACTACTAAATCAAACGTGAAATAGTATTTCAGATGTCAGAATATGACTTCTGTTGTATTTTCTGATTTTATTGACTTGGAGGCTAAATAATTAATGACAGTGTCCTATTATGTCATTCAGGAACTACATCACCTAGACCTCAGCATCCTCCTATACCTCCTGTCAAGCCTACACCAATGCGAAGAAAGCCTCTGCCTCCAAACACTGTGACGGGTAAACCAGGCATACCAGGTATCTCAGCCTTTTCAGCATGAACATTTTAATGTGTTACTTAACTCACTATCTGTGTACAGGAGAATTTTATAGTATAAATTCTTTCTTAAATTAAATGTGACATCTATAAAAACCAGTTTTCTTAAAGAGCCTTGTGTCTTTTGTCTGAATATATAAATTATTTCTATATAGAAACAGATATATTTAACCTTGTTATGTAACTCATCCACAGTAAGGGAGGTGAGAGCAAACCAGCATCAAATGAGCATAATACAAGTCATCCTTTAAATAGATCAACCATAAAAACATTTCATGTCTACTAATAGCATTTGCAGTTATTTAATGTATGTATCAGATGGGAGATATCAGATATTATGCTTCAATACATATCCACAGCTAAAAATTTATAAAAAATTCTGTCCTATGTATCTGGCACATGCATTAACCGCTGGATACAGCTTGAGCTAATAGGCAGGCAAAACTAACTTATCTGGGACGTAGAGGAATAGAAGTTATCACATGTACAATGAGTTTAGCTTCATTTATGTGTAACAGTGTTCTTTCTTCTCAGTATCATTGTTAGAGCATGCAGAATCTTTTACATTTCCTGTTTTATTTTAGTTTTATCCTGACAGTAATATTCAGTATCACTTCGTGTGTATTTGGATTTGAAATTAGAATCCAAAGGTTAATAGGTTAATGTTAATTCATCTCACTCTGCTTAGTATCATAATACTCCCCTCCTCATATTACTCTTTTTATTTCACTGGAAATATGAAAAACGTCTTGGTTCTGCTTTATTAATCATTTCACTTTATTTGTTTTGTTTTATTTCATTTGGGGAATTTGTGTGTTATTAAGGCAAGAAAGTTATGGATTTTTTTCTCCGTTTTCTTGAAAGCAAGGACCACCTTTCTGTTTGGGTCTGTCAAGGAAGACTCTTTTGACTTCTGTGTCCTTTGCTACAGAATCTAAGCTGATCCATCTCTGCGGACATCGTTGTGAGAAAGCTTACCCCAGTAGCAGATCTTCATGGTGGCAGGACCTAAATAAATCTTTAATATTTTGTGCAGCAATTTAGAAGTAAAGATCTCAAAGATGGTTGAAACAAGCTGTGTATCTGCACAACAGCAGAGCTAAGAAATGTTGTCTGCACTTCCTGTTGACTGGTGGTATTTTCTTAGTAATAGCTAAAACAGAACATTAGACCTTGTCAGTCTTAATATGTAGCACACAAAAAAATTTGCCTTGATGCATTTTCATTTGCTTGTAATGGGATCTGTTCTTATTTTCTCCATTAAATCTCTAATTCATCTCACAGCATTTTGGAATTCCACCTTTTTTTTTTTCCATACACTAGTGGCCAGGTTATGGAGTAGTCATCTGTTGTCATGTCTTCCTAGACATTCAAGACAGAATAAATTGGTTAGATGACCTGGACCTTCCTTGTAGGGCCAGTAGTAGATTTTCCTTTTTCTTTGTTTCATAGTGTTTATTCAGCTTAGTTTTAAACATCGTGCAAGTTTCTTTCAGTTCTCTAGAGAGGTTGTTCCACATCATTAAGGGGAAAATTTTGCTTCAATGTTCCTCTTGGATTTTTCCTGTCATAATTTTCTTCTGTTTCTCCTTCTTATTAATGCTGTGATTAATTCCTTACTTGTATCTTTCTCACTCATCCACTAGATTAATGTTATGAGAAAGTCTATATGCAGGCTTAAAAGTCTCTTAGTTATGTAAAAAAAAGAAGAAAAAAAAAAAAAAGAAAAAAAAAAAAAAAGAAAGTTCCAAAGCATTTGTGGAACTGGACTGAAGTGAGAAGTAAGAATCTAAAATTGCCACTGTCCACTTTTATACTACCTTCATTTTTTGAACTTAATTCATCAACATTCTGCCTTCAGTCATCATGTTATGTGTTGTACTGCCAGTGAAGGTGACTACATTATGTAGTTTGTGGATTTTTGAAGGTGAGATTTCATAGCCACAATTGTCTGGTAGGTTTCTGAATATCAGTTACTGACTTAGCTCTTTTGTCTTGTAAAGAAATGTGCTCTTTTATTCAAGAAACGGAATGTTAATGTTGGTTATTTTATGACTTTTACCAGTGCTTTATAGCCAGGTCATGTTCTAGCTAACTGAAGTTCTTAAAGACAGTCTCCAAATAACAAAGAATTTTATTACTAGATTTCAAGGGTAAGTTATATTGCCAATGTGAACAACTCAGACTTTTTAAATCCAACTGGAAGCTATTGAGTAAGTTTTGAAGGAAGTAGTTTTAATGAAAGTATTTACCCACATATTTTATGAAGTAGTCATCAGAAATCGGAATTCTGATGAGAATGAAGTAGCTTTTTGATTTTCTGAATAGTGAATGCCTTTTTGCCATAAGCTCCTCCTTCTGTCACCATAGCTAAACCAGCTGGACCAACAATGCCCGTGAAGACAGGAGTGCCATATAAGACACCAACAGCTTTTGCAACTCCAGAGTATTATGGTGAGTATAACACAGACAGTTCTGAACTGTTTGTTTGTTTGTTTGTTTTCTAAAATGCACTTAAGTTTCCTCTTTTTTTTCTTGTTTCCTTTTCTTGAATACACTGATCCACCATATATTTAATATAAGAAGTACTCTATCTGGGATGATTCTGATTTCTGTTTTGCCACTTTGTCTTTGGTAAATTGGCTGAATTCATATCAGTATCTTCCAATATACACCTTTGTAAAAGGAGAACATGATGACCCTTCCATCTTGGTAGAAATCAATACATGCTAAGCAGTACTATTCAGTGTCTGCTTTTAGTCTGTGAGAGAAGTAAATAAGACACTTCTTTTACTGAACATTTCATTTTGTATAGGATATAAATTAAAATTGTTAACTTGACAGTGGCAAACACTCAAGCTGGTTGTGGTATCCTACTACCTAAGATCAATATGTTACTATCTAGATCAGAAAAAAAAAAAGAATGCAATAGGATAAACATAATGATCTGTTGTGAATTAATCTGTTATAAAATCATGTAGGAGTAAGCTACAAGTGGAGGAATACTTCCAGGAATGATTTAAAATGCCAGAAGAACTGTGAAATTCTAGAGTTCTAACATTGAAACAATATTTATTGCAATCTGAGTCATAACTGTATCTCCTTACAGTTGATGCAACTGTCTTCAGTTCAAGCCCTACGTCAGAAACAGACTCTTCAGGCAAACCAAGGTACCTAGGTAGGATTTTAAAAGCTATGTTATTTCAATTTGGGGAAATATATGGAAACAGTCTTTAATCAAAATTTTCTTGTTTTATTATTTGAGGGCCAGAACTTCATTTCATTCTTTTTCACCTCAATCAGATGAAAGGGCTCTGTGGAGAATCAGGATCACCAGCCTGTTCTTGGCTACATTTTACATCTATTCTGTTTTCTTCCATATTACAGCCTCCTACTTTGCAGTCTAGCAAATTTGAATTTTAGAGCTAATGAGTTTTTAATTATAAATTTCAGTAATCTTCTTTTACAAATTTTCGTGCAGAATGCAAGACATTTGCCTCAGGTTTTCTCCAAGGTTTGATCCTGTACTGCTGAAAATGTTTGAGATTCTAGCATTTTCTAGAAGCTGCAAGTTAATGACTGAATTACTCTCAACTAAACACTACTCTTGCTGGTGGACTAGTGGGCATTATGTCTTTGTATTATCATAGCACTCAAAAGTTGCAAATGAAATTGTGGTGTCTCTTTGCTGTAGAAAGAGTACAACACGTTGTGCTCTTCACAACAAAATTTAATTATTTCAAATTGTTTAACAACATGTATTACTCATAAATGCTTGTAAAGTAACTTTTCATTCATGACCATGGGAAGAGAGTGAAGTGAGTGCAGATTCCATATCTAAAACAACCAAAAAAATAAGAAAATTTTAAAAATAAATAAATAAGTCAGAGCCGCTTAGAGAGAGTATTGAATATATAGTTTTTAATTCTTAAAGTCAAAAAATGGATTTTGACTTGTGCATATTTTTGCATTGTCCCTGAACTGGAAGTTGCATACTGGGTGGAATTGCATTGATGTTTTACTAAAACATCAGTGTTTGTACTTTGTATGGAATAATAACCTTTTCTTATTGCTTTTAGCACCCCATGTCAAATATATGAAGAAAGATGATGATGTGCCTTGCTCTATCACAAGCTCTCTTGAACATTTCCCTCAAGAAGAGGCTGGCATCAAAGAAGAACCTACTCGTCCTCCACAGAATCCTCCCACCAACCTCACAGTTGTGACTGTTGAGGGCTGTCCAACTTTTGTCATATTGGACTGGGAAAAACCAGACAATGATACTGTTACTGGTTGGTTTGATTTTTCATCTATTTTATCAGATTACAGTATTTCTGTAGTTTTATGCAATTTAAGAAAATACTGTTATTTGAGAGGAGCTTGTGTGTCATGCTACTGTCTGTCAAGTACGTGTAAGAAAATGTTAATAGATTAGAACAACATTTTCTCAGCTATATCACTGGAGACTCTGATGACACAAAAAGATACTTAAGAAATATGACCATATCTTCCCTTCATTTCTAACATTTCTGTTTACTGTAGATAAGAAAAACTTTTCAACCCTTCTGGTAAGAACAAATCAAGAAGTTCTAGCAATGTAACAGAACTCTTTATTATTAATTTACATACACACAACGGAGACATCTTTTGTGCCTTACGGATGTTTTTGATTAGTGAATCAGCAAGCCAGACGTAAGCCAGAATGCTTACATCATTCTAGTAGATCAGCAGAACTCTGCCACATATAATCTGTAGTATCCACCATAAGGTCACCAAGTTCTCTCTGTTTAAAAACATCTGTTTATTTTTTCTCGTTTGTAAAAGGTTATTGTATTGAGAGTAAACACTTTGTGAGGCAGGCATGAATGAGTACCTAGATGGGTAAACGTGTAAGAAGACCACTCGTAATTCTTCCATCATCTTCCATGTATCAACACAAGCTGACCAGATTTGAACATTTGAGAGGAATTTATGGTTCCTCTGTACTGTCAGAAAATGACTTTCATTTTTACCTCTGACATAAAAGAAAATTTTGATTTGCAGTGTCACTGGTAGTCCACTGCTATGGCCAACCGGATTTGACTGTGTTACTTTACAAGAGAATAGAACAGTTAAAAGTAGGAACTCCGGAGGGCAAGACTTGATGATTAGCCATTCGCTTTAGAATATAAGTGGGATGTTTTCAGATGTTGCTCTATGTGCCTTTCATGACAGATTTGAGTGCAGAGGTATAATAATGACTGTCACAAATTCTCTTTCCCAAATTAATCCTTTCTTGTTCCTCTAGAAATGATTGCTAGGTTCAGCCTCCATTCTTTCTTGCTCTTTCCACAGTTTTGGGAAATAATAAATGCAAATTGAATGAGACACATAAAACAAAAATTAACCTGCATCTTCTGAGAAGCAGGAAAAAAGTTGCCTGTCCTGATGAATGAAAAGGGGGAACAAATGTCTGTAGGCTAATATAAAGTATCAACAAGAGATAGGAATGGTTACCTAACTTGCTGTGTTGTGCTGTTAAAGAAGCGTGAATCTATTCATAGCCTAAGTATGAGGCTGAGGAGAGGCTATGTGAACAGTCCCCATTCTAAGCAGTACTGCAGTGCCTCTTTTTGTTTTGCTCTGTTGTTTTTGTTGACATTTAGAGACATTTTCTCCACATACCAAACCTTAGTTTGATTAGATCAGATATTCACTTAGTCTGCATGTTTTCTTGGAAGCAGGCCTGCTGTTTTTCTTGAATGTGTCATATCCACTGCAGCACAACCAGTTCAATTACAGAAATGTAAAAATATTTACATTATAGCTGGGAAAAATGTCAACATGCATCATGTAGTGATGAAAGCAAGGCCTGGTTGCCATTTAAATACAGTCTTATTTCCTTTTTTTTTTCACATTTGCAGTGAAAACAGACCAAGCAATGCACACTGTATTTTGTGTCGTTAGGTGGATGTGCTTGCTGTAATCACTGTAAAAATTAATTTTCTGTGAGATTCTTCTGGAAGACTTGTCTGAGACACCTGGCATAACCCTCTCTCTTCTGAGAATGGAGATTAAAACTTTCTGCAGAACATACAAATAGGATTCATTTTGTTTCACTGAGATGAACAGTTTTCATTCTAGGTAGCTTAATTTCTAGAAGTAACAACAATCCCATAAAAACAATTTTGATTCTTTTTAAATTCAATATGTGTAACACATAATGTTTGAACTCTGTGGTTTACAAATACTCCCGCTGAGTTTGTCTCTTTAACTTCAAAAAAAATAACTCCATTATTGATTCATCCAAAGATATTTTCTGGATTAAGGAGAAGGAGGCAATGAATCCCATTTTCTCAAAAAGGTGATTATTTCATGCTGGCACAAATACAATATTACTTGTTTAGACAAACAAATCAAATTTTCTGTCATCTCTTCTTATTTTTGTGCATGTTTTCTCAAAGTTCTGATTTGGGCGTCAGATTTTTTTTTTTTTTTCAGATAGAACTGTGGAAACAGTGCTGTAATTTTTTAAGCCTTTTTTAAGAAAGAATTGCTCTGGTTGACCTTTAGCTAATGTATTGCATGAGGGTTTTCATCATTTTGGTTATTACTAAAAACAAAGTTGTACTTCAGTAATGGAAAGGTCTGACAAATAATACCAGAGCAGTGATCAAGCTTACCTTGTTGTTTTCATAAAGGCTACAAATGTCAGGGACCAAGACATTTTTGTTGGTTTTCTGCTAGTCTGGTTGTGTTGCCTCAGTGTATTGCCTCAGAGCAGCATATTCTCTAATCCACTGGGGTTCATTGTTCGTATGTAGTAACAACCTGGTGCTGAATGCATTCCAGTAATTCTTTGTGTGTGTGCGTGCAAGCACATGCCTATGCACACATTGTTTTATGTTTTATTTGTCAACTTGAATGAGTTGAAATCACATGGTTTTTTGCATCTGAGCTATCCATTTCTGCAGGTCTGTGATTTTGTTTTTAATAGGCAGTGGTCTTCTGCTCTTCAGGGGTGTCTTCTAGAGGAGCACTTTTGAGCAATGAAAGTTTGAAATCTTCAGTATCAGCAGTAATTCTTTTCTTTATGCTGATATTCTTACATGCTCTTAAACCTATTTTAAAGTTTAATTTTGCTCCATATATGCTCCAAATAACTGAGACTATTTTAAGATATGATATAAAAATACCCTTTTGAAACTATTATGGCAAGTGATTTAAAATCCACATGTGCATGTATATATGTAATTACCAGGACTGAATGACTGGCTTAGAAGCTTGGAATTTTAGAAAACCAATGTTTTAGGGATGCTTTGCACTCCCACTTAATTTTATCACCATTAAATAACTTACTACAGTGTTTTCAGTGTCTGCTTTTTGCAAGAAGAATGCAAAGAAAGACAGAGCTGCATATTCACGGTCAAAATTAGATCAGTTCATTTCTGTATTTGTGCATACGTTCATTTTCATACACAATTAGGAGAGACAGAGAGTCTGAAAGACCAGCAATACTTGTGAGAATTTTATTCCTTTTCAATACTGAGTTTCATTGCAGGTAATGTTTTATCTTTCTATGTTGATAACAAATGGATATACTTGTATGGAGAAATTAAGAAGAAAAAAAAAAAAAAGCCCTTCGGCTTGCTAGTATTTACTTAAAAACTTGAAAATTAATAGTGTCATGAGAGAAAAAAACAAACAGGAAAGGAAGTAGTTTTGTAGGGTTCATAGGTAGTTCCTTTGTTCATTTTTGCAGTATAATACATGCTTTATTCCACCATGCTATAGATCTAAATTACGCATGTTCTTTGAAAATGTTTTGCTATGCTAGCTTACAGTTAGCAAAGCTGAACTTGGAATTATAGACAATTTTTAGGAAGATAAAGTAAGATCCTGAGAAGCTGTGAATTTCTTAACAGAGAGGAAAATCAGCAGTATACTCCATGTTTTCATTAGATGAGGCAGTTGTGAATCACATTAGGGGATGCATATAAAGAAAGACTGTGTCTTGGACTTAGCTATGGTTTCACAGACTCGTAGAATCATAGAATTACAAGGTTGGAAATGACCTATAAGATCATCTAGTCCAACCATCTCCTCATCATCATTGCCACCACAAGCTACTAAACCATATCACTTGTTGAAGGGTTATCTTCTTCCCAACCACGTGACTTGCTCTTGGTGGTACATACCGGTGAGATAAAGAGAAAGTAATAGGCCTCTATAAGTAATATAAATACAGAAATAAATTTAAACAAAATTCTAAAATGCCATATTCCCTTAGTGCACAACCAAAATTAGTGTGGAAATCTTAAAAACTTAGCTTCATCAAGGTGTAAGCATTTAGAAACTGTAATTCCATTTTTGATTCTTCTTTATTCAGACAAAAGGATATTTAAACTTCTTTGTGTTCAGAATTCTGTCAATAGCATGCCTTTGGCAGAGGTGAGATGTTGAATATCCTCTGTCCCTCAACTAAATTATGAGAAAAGATGAGGGACTAGACACTCATCAATGTGTAACTGGAACTCTTCAAGTGTTTTTCTAGCTGTTTAAGAATAATGATGCCCAGACTTGTTCACATGAGACATCCATGCAGCCTGTTAAACAGTGGAAGATGAGAAAAAGATGAGAAAAGAGAGAGCAATAAAGATGCTCAAGCTAGAGCTACTATTTAAGCAAATTTCTCTTTACGGTAATTTTGCAGAGTATGAGGTCGTGTCAACTGAAAATGGAGCGACTGATGGTGAAAAGGAGAAGTCAATTATCACTACAAATCAAACTCATTCTACTGTGGAAAACCTAAAACCTGACACAAGGTAATTAAATAAGAATATTTTTTAAGTTAATTCAACTAATCTAGACTGTCTGCTAAGTTCTACTTCAAATGAAAATGTATTATATGTATAAATGTAAGAACAGTTACTTCAAATAATACATATATTTATAATGTATTAGAGCAAATTGGTTTTAATCCTGCTCTGATAGGAAAAGGTATGCTCGTATACTGCTTTCTTTTAACAGATAATGCAGTTCTGAGGAACGTTTAGGAAATTTCCGATAAAATATGTATGGTCTGGGGAGAGGGGGAGAAAAGCACTGTCCTGTGTTTCTGTTGTTCATTTATTGCATTGTAAAGTTAGTGAATGACAAGTGTATTTTTCTGTAATACCGTTTGACTACGGCAATCATATTTTTCCATCACAAATACACTCCCCTTTTCTCTTACTATCATTAAATTTGTAATACAGCACAAAATTCTGTGCAGAACCCGTCACAAACTTTAACTTTTAGGCGAGATGGATTAATCCAGCACACTGGTTTTAGCTCACCTACTTTTACCAGCAGCTTCCAGAAGGAGGAATAAGGAGCTGTTGTAGAAAGTGAAGAGGAAAGGAAGTAGAAAAGAAAAGCTAAGCAAAACCAAACAATAAATAAATTAAAAAACAGCAACAACAAAACTTTGAGAGACTCCAAAACTCAAAATACGGTTAGAATGCTGATAATCACAATTATCTCTGTTATTTCCTCAGGGAAATTATTCTGTTATTTCCTAGAGTCACACTGCTGGTGAAAGGGTGAATTGACAATATGTTGTTCTGTCACTTATGTCAGCAATACAACTGGTGCTGGAGACCAAGCCTTAGTTTCCTCCATTTCATCAACAAATGAGGAGGCTGAGATGAGACAGCAAAGCAAAAGATCTCTGGACTAGCAGCTAAAGAAAGACAGTGGGCACTGCTGTTTGTGCTTTCGCTTCTATTTTAATCTCTGCTTTGGAATGAGGCAGTTCCATTCTTGAAAACCATCTTCAGACAACTGTTTTGGGGTGGTTTTTTTTTTTTTTCCAGAAAGGATGCAAGATGGAGGCAGGCAGAACCAGCTAGAACTCTTGGAAAGGTCATAAGGAGGACAGGAACTGTGGGAAATAGATAAGCTGGTTTATTTAACTTTAATTTGTAACAGTTCTGTCAATACCTATGAGAAGATGTGGGAAGCAAGAGCAGAGCAGAGACCATGGAGACCAGCTGTCTTTTGTAGTGTGGATTTTGTGAAAATAAACTTGAGATCAGCACCAACAGGCAGATGATGTCTTAGGATAAAGAGGAGTACCTTCACCCTGATGAGGTGATGGTTATAATCTCCATTCCCACTCTCAAAAGAGAAAGGCAGCAAGTATTTCTGGATTCAGGAAGCCATCATCCAAAATTGAAAATATTTTATGTGAATTGCAGTACTGCATGTCCCTTGAGTCCCACAGGATTTCAAGGAGGTGAAGTCCTCTGTGCAGTTCTGCTTGATTAAATTGCAGTTTCAAAATGTGTGTTTCCTAATTTTGAAGACTCAAAAGGACAAGAAGTTATTACTGTTGCTGTTTGAATCCAGGCTTGTTGGCACATTAAGTTCAGGAAAAGTAAGAAAGTCATTGAAGATGACTGGCATCATGTAGACAGTGTTAGTGTTGCAAAGAAAAACGTATATCCACAACAAAGGTTTCCTATTTGTCAGGAGCTGATTGCTCACTGATTATGTAAATGGCCAGGTGGGTAAAGGTGACTGAAAATAGAAGGGAGAGACACACAGTGAAACACAACTGAATAATTAACAGAGTCCCTGAAATGTCTGCAATTTCATCAAGTAATACATTAAATCTAGGAAGTGGATTTTTCCATAACTAGCTTTAAAAGAAAGAGCTGTAGAAGAGGTGGAGCTGGAAAAAAAACTTGGAGCAGAAAAAGAAATCTGACTTGCAAAGGACCAACATTTACAAAACTACTAGCAAGTATATGGAAAGAGATGCTCAGTAGCAGAAAGTGAATTAGCTAGGAAAGAACCTCTTGGCCCTGAAACACTTTGGAGAAGCTGACGAGCTGAATTTGAGATTCTAGTTTTTCCAACTTTCCTGAAGCCATCAGTGATGCTGTGTGAATCCCATATGCGGCTCTGAAGATTCAGTGCCTCCAGAGCTGAGGAAAGTTCAAGATTGATCCAATCTGGGCAGATCTAAATTGAGAACTGCCAAAAGGAATAAGGATGACTGTGAATGTTGAATCTCAGTTTCTGTCAGTAAATTTTAACCAGAAACTTCCTATGGCAGCAGAACTACAGTTCAAGCCTGTAATTCTCCAGAAGTTTAGTCTTGAGGAGCTTTACATGACAAAATGGTCTGTAGCCCCCCCTTGTCCTGTTGAGGTAAAACAGATAGGATATGCTAATGCCTGGCCAGAAGCTGAAGAATTAACTGTCCACATCCAGGAGGACCGAAGCAACATGAACAAATCATCAGTGCAAAGGGGACAGAGCAGGCAGCTGTGAAAAATTGAGTGTATCTGTGCCTGACAGATCATGCTGTTCCTTTTTTCTGTTGCATTCTTCTTTCAAGTACATCATACTGCTACCTCTGGAAAGCTCTGCAGTAAGCCAGGCACCCCTATTGAGGAAGACAGCTTTTACAGATGAGGAGATAATGGCCAGACTTGGAGTATTTAAGAAATTTGGACTGTGCTAGGAAGACAGTTGCAATGAGAGACTGTCAGTCTGTCTTGAAAAATTGCTTGTGTGGTTGCACCTGTCAGTAACTATAAACGTGGAAGTTAAACAGGATACAAATTACTCTGAAAAGGAGGATTATTATAATGGCCATTTACCTGAAAAGTGACTAGATCCAGAAAAAATAGTTTTGCCAAAAGAGAAATGGAGTTCTCATTAGCAGTGCAGTTATCAGCTACTTGTTTTTCAGACATTCATACCATCTTAATATGGAAATGAAAATGAATCTTCATAGACAAACAGCAACTTATGAGAGCTATTTCTAAATAAATGAAGTTTCTGGATGTTTGTCATATTTCCTGTTTGTCTTATATGCCAACCTTATTCCTTTTTGGTGACTTGATCACAACACATCTGGACTTGAGATCAGAGTAGAAATTAAAAATCTGTCAGAATGTGAGGACATATGCCCTTTAAATAAATTTGAGGCACAGTCATTTGCTTCCCACACAAATGCTTGTTAAAAAAAAGACTTCTACAAACTCCTGTATGGTTTGATTTCCTTGGAGCATTAAGATTCCTGCACATTTTTCCAGAAAAAAAGGGGACATTATATCTATTCCATTCTCTCTTAGTAAAGCATGCCTGGCAGTGGCATTTATTTAAAGAGTTTTCCTTATAGGACAAGTATGTCTTTTTCACCTGGAGATTTGCCAAATACAATGCTTGAGGTATTTCACTATCACATCTTAGAAAGCTGCTGTTTATCTTAGCGACCTGGAAAGTATTAATTGTGATTTACATAATATGGTTGGTCAGAGTTCTTGAAACTGCTACTCCTCCTGGCATCAAGCTGTTATCTGACTTCACATACTCTGGATCTAGATTTCTGTTTAGTTTCATCAAGTATTTTGCTTTTACCTGAAATATCTCAAAAGTTGTACATAATGCAAGCTAAAAGACTATGGATAATTCTTACACAGAGACTTACCATGGAATCATAAAATCATAGAATGGTTTGGGTTGGAAGAGACCTTTTAGATCATCTAGTTGCAACCCTCTGCTATAGGCAGGGACACTTCCCTCTAGATCAGGTTCTCAAAGCTCCATCTAGCCTGGCCTTGAATGCTTCCAGGATAGGGGCATCCACAGCCTCACTGGGCAACCTGTTCCAGTGTCAGTGTCTCACCACCTTCACAGTAAAGAATTTCTTTCTAATATCTAGTCTAAATCTACCCTCTTCCAGTTCAAAACCATTTATCCTTGTCATGTTACTGCAGGCCATTATCAAAAGTCCCTCTCCAGCTTTCCTACAGGCCCACTTCATCTAATTGTGCTCGAAGATGAAATCTTTCTCTTGTTTTACAAATGTCTTCTGCTTAAGAATTTCTGTTGTAGATGTGCTCCTGTGAGCTAATAATCACATGTACAACTTTATACTGAAGGTAGCTATTATTATCTTTCACATTATTTTCAAGAGTTCTAGAATAGATTCAGATCACATTTCAGTCATCCCTCTGTTTGTTGTCACACATCCCACACTAAATTTTCTGCAGCTTTTACTATCTTTATCCTTCAATTAGTCCTTCTCATTAAACAAAGCTAAATAGCTCAACTCCATTCATCCTTCTTTCTTCTAGTTCATTCAAGCATTGAGTAACTGTGAGCTTGTTTGTGAACCTCTGAGCAACCTCACGTAGCTTTTAAGTTGGCTCTGTAATGAAAAGAGGCCTGGATCAGATCGACCTTCAGACTCCATTCCAACCTGAATTGTTGTACGATTTCTTCTTATGCGAGTAATTTCTGATCTTATTAATCTTAACTTTGCTCATATTCTTTAATGCAGGCTGAGATATTTTTGTATGTTTTGTATATTATCAATTATTTCTTAGCAAAGAAAAGAGAGAAAAGAATGTTCTAGTATGAACTATGTTGTCAGCTTAATATTTGCCCCCCAAATGGAAAATTCACAGTTTTTATGCTGAGAGCAGGTTTTTGAGAAGTGCACCATCTACTTTACTTGGAAAACATCCAAAGCCAAACCACAAGATTTATCATTTTGGTCAAAACAATTTCAGACTATTTTCCAAGCAGTCATTTGAGGAGACCTGTAACATTCCATCTAACTTGTCATACAGATCTCATATATTTGAGTTTGTTTGTAAGACTGCCCCCACAGGAACTCTTATTTTCACTGGCATACCCAGAAGCCCATTCTTTGTGCTTTTTGTCTGTCTTAATTTTACACTGCCCTTAAACAAAGAAAGTACTGCAGTAATTTCTCCTATGATAATAGTCAAGCAAGATCTGCCAAGTGAGCATCTAGCAAAGTAAACTAATTATTCAGATTTTTCAGCATTTCCTTAATTGAGATGTTTGCTTGTAATCAGCCTAGAGGGACCTGACATAGAAATGGGCTTAGTATGATTTTTGATACCTTCATTTTGTCTCATGCATAGTAATGATGGTGTTCAACTCCATTATCTCCATCATTAAGATCAGCTTTACTTTTTAATGGATCTTTCCTAACCTAAAATATTAAAAACAGATGGGATTTTCGTTTGGGTTTTGGTTTGTTTGGGTTTTTTCGGGTTTGGTTTGGTTTGTTTTGGGTTTTTTTTTTTTGTTTTGTTTTGTTTTGTTTGTTGGTTGGTTGGTTGTTTTTCTTTTTCGCTTTTACTTTCTCATTTCCATAGGAATTTTGCCTTTATATTTTTTTTAACAGTTTTTTAACTGCTTAAAATTGATCTAATTTTTCTAAGTCTCCATATCATCTGATCTGGTTTCATTTTTACTTTCCTGTTTCTGCTGGTTCTCCTGCCAAAATATGTCATTTTTGTTTATCTTTGCCCTATCTTCAAATATTTTTTTTTAAATTAAGTGTATATTTTTTCTTTCATTCGGGGGGGGTTGTTTAAGGGCAGCTAGGTTCATAGAATATGTCACTAGCGTCCAGGAAACTTTGCAGAACTAATTACTATACAAGCTTTCAAAAAAGAGTCTGAATATTGTTGAAAACAAGTTCTCATGCATGTTTGTATTGGCAGTAATTGGAAGGTAATAAAGGAAAATATGAAGACTGCAGTTCTGCTGTGTTAGTCAGAGATGTGCCAAAGTAACCCTAGGGAAATTCAGATAGTCATTAAAATAGGGGGTGTGTCCCCTCAGTCTATTGGTGATAGATTTTATTCCAAAAAATATTATTAATAAACAAAAAGGCTGTGATGCTTGCATTCCCCAGGAAAAGGTTCTGATCTTTTCTCTGGTTGAGTAGTTTGATAATTTCAAATATACTTTTCTCCTTTTTAAGTACATTTGGAGGGGTCTTTTTGGACTTTTGGTTTAGATTATATCCCTAGGTAAAGTAAAGTATGTTTCCAACCATAATGTTTCTTGAGGAAATATAAATGCAGAAATAAAACCTAATAAAAATAAATACATATGAGAACACACACAAAAAAAAAAAAAAAGAGAGAGAGAGAGAAAACAAAAACCATGAAGTAAAGATAAAATGTGTAGCATATATATAGGATATACTGTTTTGGGGTTTTTTGTTTGTTTGTTTGTTTGTTTCATGTTTAAAGGTATGAAACAAAAAAAAAAGTCATAATTAATTTACTCAAAGGCCATGCCGAGTAAATCTTCATTCCTCTACTGAACAGTAGAATCATAGAATGTTTTAGGTTAGAAGGGATCCTATATATCATCTGGCTCCTTTCCCCTGCTCTGGGCAGAGATACCACCCACTCAACCAGGTTTGCCCAAAGCCCCATCCAACACTTCCACGGATGACCACTTCTCTGGGCAACCTGCTTCAGTGCCACACCATCCTCGTGTTTAAGAATTTCTTCTTAATAGTAATCTCAATCTAAATAATGAGTTTAAATCATTACCCTTTGTTCAGTCACTACACTATCTCATAACAAATCCCTCCCCTAGTTTTCCCCTCTAAATATTGGAAGGCCTCCACCTTGGAAGGCCTCCATTGTAATATTGAAAAGCCTCCATTGTAACGTCTGCACAGAGCCTTATCTTCTCTAGGCTAAATAATCCCAACTGGAAGCCAGAACCTTTTTGAAAGTTTATAGTAATATCCATACCACCTGCTCATGTCATTATTATCTAGGTGGTATTGCACTTAGCCAAAAGGTGCTAACGACATAGAAAAGAAAAATTTCCTGATGCATATAGGTAAGTTTTTGTTAACAGCAAGGGTCAAAAGATGAGAACTACAGTGAAACCTGCAATGCTGTTAGGATAGGAATTTGAAGGTAATAGGGGAAAGAAAAAAAAAAAAAACCCTACAGAAAAAGCCTTGAGGGTTTTTTTTGTACTATTTATCACAAAACTGACAATTTTTTTTTACTAAATTTCTGTTGATGCCACAGTCACTTGTAAGCACTTCCCTTTTCTCTTGGCCCTTCTCCTAGCCTGGTTGAGAGATTCCTCAAAGAAGCTAAGCATCATTTGCTGAAGGAAATGTTTCCTGCTGTTAACCTAGTTTTGTTTGTTATGTGTGGTGACACAGCAACTCACAGCACATTCTCCAGAGAAAGAGAAGCTCATTACATTGAAACAGTCCTGCATGATTGTTATTTAACCACAGGCACCTCACAACCTGTTGACCTTATATCCCAGGACTGGACTCGACTCCTCCAATCCTCAGCATTATGATGAAAACCTTTCTTCAGATATTCTCTGTTCTGCAGTCTTCCATCTTCTCCTTTTGCATGATTTGAAAAATGCAGGAACAGTTACATCTGCCAAGGTTCCATGTGGAATAGTGATTTCCTATGGTGGAAAAATGTGCTCTGCACAGTAATTACTGTTGAGTCAAGTCCATTTAATCTGTACAATGACTTTTATTGTCTTGTGCAGTTTGGAAGGATTTGGGAGGCCTAGTTCTCTCCCAAGTGTCTAAGACATCAGTCTTAAAGAGGTTAGA